TTTTTTTCTGAAAAATTGCAACTTTTTATGAAAAATTACACTTTTCTTGAAAATTTACACTTTTTTTGAAAAATTTCACTTTTTTCTGAAAATTTACACTTTTTCTGTAAATTTACATTTTTTTCTGAAAAATTGCAACTTTTTATGAAAAATTACACTTTTCTTGAAAATTTATACTTTTTTTGAAAAATTTCACTTTTTCTGAAAATTTACACTTTTTCTGTAAATTTACATTTTTTTCTGAAAAATTGCAACTTTTTATGAAAAATTACACTTTTCTTGAAAATTTATACTTTTTTTTGAAAAATTTCATTTTTTTCTGAAAATTTACACTTTTTCTGTAAATTTGCATTTTTTTCTGAAAAATTGCAACTTTTTATGAAAAATTACACTTTTCTTGAAAATTTACACTTTTTTTGAAAAATTTCATTTTTTTCTGAAAATTTACACTTTTTCTGAAAAGTTTTTTACAGAAAAAGTGAAATTTTTCAGAAAAAGTGTAAATTTACAGAAAAAATGTAAATTTTCAGAACATGTGTAAACTTTCAGGAAATGTGTATTTTTTCATAAAAAGTGCAATTTTTCAGAAATAGTGTAAATTTACAGAAACAGTGTAAATTTTCAGAAAAAGTGTAATTTTTCAAGAAATTTGTAAATTTTCAGAAAAATGTAGTTTTTCAGAGAATTTATAAATTTTCAGAGAAAGTGTAATTTTTCAAGAAAATTGTAAATTTTCAGAATGTGTAATTTGTCAGAAAAAATGTAAGTTTTCTCAAAATTGTAACTAATTAATTAATAGTAATTTAATTACTTAATTTTTATTAGTTTGTAAATTTTGAGTAAACTGCTAACCATATAACCGGAAATCACTGCAAACCCTCAGTTTACTTCAGGATCTCATATAAAGATTTTGCTTGAGCCTTTAAAAGTTCAGAAATCACTGGAAGATTATGTGATACAAAACAATTCGTACAGTTTTTTTCTCTTCTGGGATTTTCACCCGATTTCAAAGTTTTTCTTTAAATACTTTTTATATTACCAGCATAACTCATCGTTAAACTTAGGATAATCACTTTATTGTTTTTTTACACGCGGTAAACTTAGCGATCACTTTTTTGCGAGGAAATTAACATTCATTCAATTTTCTAAACTTTTTATAATATTTTTTTTTAATTCTTTTCTTATCGAACAACGTCAACACTTTTTATTTCATTTTTTCCTTTGGTACTGATGGGCTTTTTTCAAACACTGTATGTATAACAACTACTTCCGCCCAATCTTTACTAATTTGGGTTGTATTTACATTCCCAATAACGAAAAAAAAAAAAAACAAATATTAAGTGGATTAGAAACGGCGTTTATACAAAAAGTATATTTCTAGGCTCTGGTTCTATGTAGGTATGTATGTTCACTAAACTTTAAATTTGGGTCAGGCGTTAGTGCTTCGGAGCTTCTATAATACTTAAATAATTTAAAAATTTTGTTAGATATCCGACGCAGTAGGCCCCTGTATGCAAATAACAAATGTTTGATAAGTAAACGAGTCGACTGGGCGTTTTGCAAGTCCTGGAGCATCAGCTTCTTCGTAGAATTATATTTAAGCGATTCCAAATTGCGGAAATTACATCTACAGGTCTAAAACAAGATTTAAAAAACACCTTTTCAAACAACTGTTATTTAAAATATTAATTTTCCAATTTTTCATGTACTACAAACGCAATTAGAGCTAATACTCTTTATTGGTCTCGGCTTTCCATAAAATGAAAAATATACGGAATTCTATATAGATATTCTATATAATATAATATTATATATTCGTTGATAAATATTTCGGAAAACAAAAAATATTTTTTTTGTAGATTTTCCCAAAAAAACTCGAGATCTGTTAGAGATATCGAAAAACGGTTTACTGCAATCAATTACAAAAAATGTACTACATTTTGTATGTGATCTGTGGTACTACATAAAAAGAACATTCACTAACGATCTGAAACATCTCGATTTTTAACAAAATTTCCATGGATTTGCATGAATTTTTTTCGATAAGTTTAATGAACGTAAAAAGTGGTAGCTTTGCATAGATATAAGAGAGATAAATTATTGTGTCTAACGACCTTTTTTCATTCAAAAATACGTTGTGGTTTATATCTTGTTTATATCCAAGGAATATTGGCACGTTGTATTGGATTATTATACAATAGCATAAAATAGAGAAACAAATTAGCTCTAGGGTTAAAAATTTACTAGGAATAAAACAAAATCATACTCATTTGTAATATTTAATTTATTAAAGTGTCTGCAAATACTTTTCCTATAGTTATAAAAAATAGTTTCCGTTATTTTATAGTAATTGCTCACTATTTTTGTTTGTACGCAAATACAAAAATTATAATTTGTTATGATGCAGTTCAAGAGAGGTCCATCTGGTCAAATTAGGTCAGAACTAAAGTGTCCAGAACGTGGCAGGGTTATATCGTCCAGAATCAGAATGTGCAGGAACAGAAAATAACTCAAAACATTTATTTCTGTTGCTGTATATCTGTTTAGATCATAACATTACACACTTTGTAACAAAATTGTTGTTTATGATTAGAATATTTACATTAATCTTCAGGTAAAATATAGGTTAATCATAGGTAAAACAAAAGAATATTCTCTTCATATATATAAAAGAAACGTGAGCAAATTTAAAACAATGTGAGCAAATTATAAACAAATAGTTATAATGGTAATATGGTTTTTATCACATACAACGTGTTTCAAAAAAATTTAACGTAAAAATCACGACTAATTTTTCATATCAACTTAAGTCCGAGTATGCTTTGTTTCGTAGCTACAGGGGGTTAGTCTTCAGTTTTTTTTTGATTTTTTATAATTTCCTTCCAAGTGCTTTTAGCAATTCGAATGAAATTTGGAGGGTAAAAGTTATTATAAGTGGGACATATTTTAATGCTAAAAAAGTGTCGACATATTCACCATGGACGTGCACATGTGTTATCACTGGAATATTTTTCAAAAATTAACGTGTACGCCACTGACTTTGATATTTTCTGTTAGCAAAATTGTGTAAATCGTTTAATGCCGATTCAAAGTTGTCTCTGTACATTCTGTCGATTTCGGTCTCCTTGATGAGATAAACGCAATTTTATTAATTTGCCTTAATCCAAGTTTAATAACAACCTTTAAAATTTAAGATCATTAACTAGCCAACGTGTTAAATAAGTACCCATCGATTCCTCATCAAAAATATAAAAAGATAGCACTGAACATCAGTGTTATAAATTAGCTTAAGTAAATAATTTATTAATTTAATTTTTATTTTAAGTGTATTAATTGTCATTAATAAAATTGCGTTTATCTCATCAAGAAGATCGAAATCGTCAAAATATCTAAATACAACTTTTAATAGGCATTAAAATGTCCATACAATTTTGCTAATAAGAGAAAAGTCAGTAGCGCACGCATTTTATAGAAAATATTGCAGCGATAACCCATAAGCACTTCCTGGTAAATCTATCGGTACTTTTATAGTATTAAATTATGTAGCACATAAAAATTTTTTGCTTGTTCTAAAATGGTTAATCCCGTTTATACTTTTCCAACCTTCCATACCGTTTTTTTTTAAATAAATCTGATTTTTATGTGAGGAATCTCCCCACGAGAGATGGCACATATTTTTTGAAACACCCTGTATAGTGAACATTATGAACATTATAAGGTCACCATTGTAACATTTACATCTTTTCAACTAGAATTTTAAAATAGTGATAATCTTCATTTGTATATGGTTTCAACAGATTGTAAGGAATAAGAATTCCATCGCCATCTTCAGGATCAAAGTCTTCATACAAAGTACTAAAACAAGGTATATTGGACAAGCATAAACTCTTAAAATTAGAACATCCCTTGCTGAACTCTATTGAGAGAAAGTGTACGTATTTTTTGGGAAAATTGGAATCGTCTTACAAAAAGAATATTAGATGCAAAAAATATATGTTGTAATAAGAGTTTCGATTTGATTTTAGTAAATCAAAATTAATAAGTAATGTAATAATTCCATAAATCAAAATTAATTAATAATGTAATAGAAATACAAGACTAAATTAAGACTTAGTTTGTGATTTATATTAAGATCTTTCTTATAATATTTGTTATGTCTTCATCTTAATACTATATTATGCTTGGTCTGGAAAATAAATGTTAAAATATCTTAATTTTGCATATCCTATTCATCCTTCCATTAGGAAAAATATGGTTTATAAATCATATATGCTAAGAAAATCAGATAAATTAGGTGTAAGAATGGAGAAATCTTAATGTAGCAGAAAAATTAATGCAATATATGTATAAGCAGAATTAAACAAGGTAACTGTTAATGTTGCTGAAGCTGATTCTACAATTTTAATTACGGAGGCGAAAAGGCCTTTTAAGGCCTCCGTAGTTTTGATGGAATGTTAAAAAAAAATCTATTATGAACATGAGATGAGCTACAGCATTTAAAAATTAAAAAAAAGAAAAAACTTGGACACATCCCTTTTAATTTCCCGAATTTTTAATAAAGCACTTTTTAAACGTAGCATAATAATCTAGATAGGAATCTAGAGTTTTATTTCTATATAATTTTATTGACTATGAAAATACATAATAAGCGTTCACATGTTGTGCGAAATATTAAAATAATATACCGCGTACTATGATTGAAAAAAAAAAATAGCGTAAGCAATGACTATAAAATGAAGATCGCTGTCATTTTATGGAAATGTCCTAAATCGTCATTTCCCAGCCAACTGGACGCCGTTTTTTCGATCATACGGTATATATTGACAAAAAAACACTGAAAAGCACATATTTGTTTTCTACTGAAAATAATTCCAAAATAACTCGCAATCTGGCAACATCGAAGATGTGCGCATGCGTAGTGTCTGTGACTATATGCAGCAAAAACTCGTTTCAAGGTCAGCCACCGGATCCACACCATTACCCAATCCCCAAATAATTTTACATATAAAATGACAGCGATGTTCATGTTCATTTTATAGCCATCGCTGACGCCGTTTTTTTTTTCGATCATACGGTATATCTCTTGTCTCTGGTCTATGGTCTATGGAATTTATAATCTAACCTTAGATTCTAGGCGCTTTTTGCTTTTTTCAGCTTTTTTGTATGTTTTTTTTTCATAAATTACATACATTACATGTCTGATGTCTATGTCACAGTCCACAGTCACAGTCTATGTTTCATGTGAAAATGAGCGATTTAGAAAGAAAAAAAGCAATTTCTAATAAATCTAGACCTGTTGCTCGCGTATGCTATTGGAATTATACAATATTTTAAATTTTATTTTGTAACCTTTTAGGCCAGTTTATCTGGTAGTAAAAGTTTTTCAAACATGCTTACTAGTACACCATCAAAAGAGAAGAAAGATTCAAGTTCGGAAGAGATAAAACAGCCTACAATATTATCGAAGAACAGAGAAACAGTAAGCGATGAAAGTACACTTAATTTCAGAGGAATACCAAAAGAAAATGATGCCAGTTTGGGTGTTGCTTCGAGAGAAAACCCAGGTATAAATGCTATATAACCCATAGACTTTTCTTCTGTAATTTCTTCATTGAAGTAACATAATTCCTAGGAACACCCTTTTTGAAATACATGAAACAATCAATAAAGCTCATAGACGATGGAATAATTAATACTGAACATTTACAAGATTATCTTCAGGAAAACAATAATTTTCTTGTTATCGGAGTTATTGGTGGACAAGGTGTGGGTAAATCAACCCTTTTAAATATGTTAACAGAAACAGAGGTAAGACTGTTTAAACAGTTATTAGAACTACACTTAATTATATTTGTTTTTAAGTTAACAGAAAAATACAAACAAAAGCTATTCAAATTGCAATCGGAAGCATTACTGAAGTCTGAAAATGATGTAACAATCCCAGTACAGTATTTAGAAGATACTTATTTAAATGATGACTTAATATTCAAAGCTGAAACTATTGGAAACGTTGTAAATTGTACAAATGCCACCGAAGGAATTGATATTTACGTATCAGCCGACAGAGTAATTTTTTTGGATTGCCAACCTATTCTGTCGGTGGGAACTTTAGTGAATCTTTTAGAGAACAACAATAAAAGAAAAAATCTGGGCAGTGACTTTATTCCCCCCGAAAACTGTGGGGAAATACGGGGATTACAATATGCATCGTTTTTAATGGCTGTTTGTCATATTTTGATGGTTGTACAAGAGTGGTTCTTTGATAGTAATGTTATAAGGTAACACGTCTTGAATAACATCATGTTTATACAGAATTACTGACACTATGTGATGAGTATTGAGGCTTAATGTTGTTCTTCAATATTCAACATTTAAAAAAAAATCTATTTAGCTGGAAAACTTTGCATCAAATAGAGTGAATAACCCTGTACATATTAATCAAATTAAATGCAGATTTATACACACAGCTGAAAGGCTGAAACCCACAATTTCCAACAGTACTGAGGATGAATTCAGTGAACACTTTCCCCATTTAGTTATGGTGCATAATAGAGCACAAATGTCTGATTTTACACCCAAACAAGTTAGGGCAGTGCAAAAAGTATTATAAATAGTACGTAATCACGTAATTATAATTAAATTTTTTTTTTTAGACTTATGAAATGTTATTTAATAGTTCAAAGTTACAATTCCATTCGGACTTAGGATTAGCAACGGGTGGAATAATGAACACTCTAGATCTGGATAACTGTGGAAATAGAGTTAATTTATTCATAATACCAGACTATAATGAGAGTGGTGGTTAGTTTCATGGTAAAAAAAAATATATATATTATTTGGCACGTTTTAGATGGTATTTACTCTGGCCATCCACCACTGGAATATCTCGTTAAAAAACTAAGAGCCAATTTATTTGGAGCTACAAAAAAAATCTTAACTCGTGAGCAACTGACTGAGAAGACATGGTTGTTCCATTGTAAGAAGGCGTGGGATATGATTAAGACAAACCCCGATTTTGTTCAGTACTCAAAATTAATGCCTTAAAAAAATAATCTAGAAGTTATGTACATTACAGCAATTACAACAATAAACAGTTATTATCAGCCAAACTGTTCTCTAATTTCTGTTACAGAACTGCAAGCTCACAAAAAAATTAAGTCTTTTTTTGTTAAATCATTTGATTTTAAATAATTTTTCGAAAACTGTTAAGACTTAAAATGTAAGTCTTTTTCAAAATGACTTGTGATTTAAATGTTTATTCCAAAATAGAAAATGATTAGGTCTTTTCAGAAAAGACTCATTAAACAGATTTAAGTCTTTATAAAAGGGCTCTAGTAGATGCACTATTAGCCAAATTCAAAAAGTATAACAAAAGAAAATATAAGGGAATCATGAAAGGAAGCTAAACAATTTAAAAAGAAAAAGTAAAATAAGCTTTTGAATAAAGAAATATTTTTATTTATAGGTAAGTATTGTCATTTTATTCCACATTTTTATCATTTAAAAACCACCAGTAACTTCAATGGAAGCTCCATTGATGTACGAACTCTTATCTGACGCAAGGAATGAAATCACTTCTGCAACCTCTAAAAATTTTGTTTGGAACTGAAAGTTGTTTATTAACTAAAAATCTTATTTGTTTACCTTCCGGATAACCGAGCCGAGCTAAAGGAATCCTTTCAACAAATTTAGCTTTAACTTTCTCAGGCACTGCGTTAAACATTGGCGTCTGTATAACGCCTGGCAAAACAGTGTTAACTCTAATATTAACTTTTCCAAATTCCCTGGCAGCCACTTTAGTTAGCAACTCTACACCGGCTTTGCTAGCACAGTAATTTCCTTGGCCAATATTGCCAAACTTTGCTACAACACTGCCAATATTTATTATCGATGCCTTTTCAACTTTCCCTTCCACGATAGCATTGGCAAACGTTTGAATCACCAAAAAAGTACCCTATAAATACATTGTTATTACGATATTAAAAATATGGTTTGGTTACCTTCAAATTGACGTCTAAAACCTCATCAAAGTCGGCCTCTGATAATTTACTGATAAAATTGTCCCTGGTTATGCCCGCTGCATTTACCACAATTGAAGGTGCCCTAGAATAAGTGTTTAGAGACTCCTTTAAGGCCGCTTGAACCTGGGAGGCATTTTCAACAGATATCTCTATAGATAAATGACTCTCCGACAATAATTTTGGTAAAGATTCCACAGTCTCTCTGGCGCTACCGATGTTTTTATCGGCAGCTATTACCAATGCGCCTTCTCTGGCTAAGCACTGGCACGTAGCCCTACCAATTCCTGATCCGGCCCCTAAAAGCTAGATTACTATAGATGTTGCTTCTTTAGAAAATTCGCTACTTTACCTGTTACGAATGCTAATCGTCCTGTTAACGACATGTTTTAATCTTGATTCATTTTCATTTTATAAAACTGTTCTAAAGAGATAATGAAAGAAGCAAAGGTCATCATAAAATTGGAATTAAATATTTATTTAACATCCCAGTCCCAGTCTACTATTATTACCATTAGACTTTTTATATTATAGGCAAATAGCTTTCCATTATAATGAATTATCTATTTTAACTGTATAGTTCATTTTGTTTCAATTTTTATCAATTAAAAAAACATAAAAACAAAATTATACAGGAACCAGGAACACCAGTGGAGTGAAATAAAAAATATTTTTTTGTGTATGTTTGGTTGCATCTGGCTTGCAGCCCTTGCAGCTCGCATAATTATAAAAACTGCAAATTCAAACCTTTGAATTTTGAATAAAAAGCTTCAGATAAAATATTTCTAATTTTATGAATTAACTACTACCCCATCAAAAACATAGAATGTAAAAAATGCCAAGTCTCGCAAACAATTCTTTCACTATAAAAAGTTGTGAGATCTCATGTAAAACCAAGTCAGTTTATTTTATTTAGTTTCTCTTTAAGCACCTATTCAACAATTTTATTACAAATTGTGAAATTGTTAATAGGTATCAATATTAAACATCTTTATCACAATAATTAAAAAAAATAATCTACTATTTCGATTACTAAGTAAATCTAAACAGTGCCCTTAAAGCGTAGTTTACACGTGCAAATAAATTATCGCAAGTATATGTCTGAGAGAGAGAGCACTTCTACCAAACTTGCATAATGTAAACAGTATCCGAAAGCACTCTCCCAGCAAGTCACAAAACTGGCGGGGAAGTGGTTGCGGCGAAAGACGCTTGCAAATGTACACAGGTTGGTAGAGTGCTCTGGCAAGTTAAAATTTATTTCCGTCTTGTTGAAAGTTTTTGGTGCAAGTGATTTTCGGAGGCATGTTACATAACGATATTAAAATCAAATTCTGTAAACTTTGTTAAAATGGAGGGGTCAAGTTTCGTTTAGCCGAAATCTGTTAAAAAAAAAAAACAATTTTTTTGTCATTTAGGTACCTCAGGCAGTATATTACTGAAAAAATTTTGCCGCGGAAACGCGTCACCATTTTTTGAATGCGGTTTAAAAGTAACGAAATGACATACATGAAAAATTAATGTTATTTCATATTTTAGACGTCTTTGTAAATACTAATACGAAAATGAAATTCCGCGGAAATGCGCTGTTGCCATTTTTTTGAATATGGTTCACAAGTAACGAAATGAGATATATAAAAAACTAATATTATTTTATATTGTAGACTTATTTTTAAGCACCGATACAAAAATGAAAATCCGCGGAAATGCCTTGTTTCACCACTATGCAGTGATCTTCTTCCCGACCTTTGACACAGATCAATGAATATTATCTATTCTTATCAACTTAATATCGCTATGGTCAACAAATGCGAAAATTTAAAAACAATTGTCAATAAAGCATAAAAACGACAACTAAACCAAACCAACTAAAACCAAACCGAAAGTATGCAAAATAGTTGAGAATACTATGGAAAACTTAATATTGAAGATTTTCCATTACACCGCCCTTATGATAGATTTCCGCGGAAATAGTTATATAGAAAAGTTATAGCAAATTATTAATCAAACAAAAATATGTAGTTTTTATCTTCCTATCACATTTCGGCACTTCTAAACCCGAAAAAATCAATGAAAATTATTGTGATAAAAATATATTTTCGAATAAAAATTAGATCACATTGTTATATCAAATGTTTTTACGTCATTCTATAATGAAAAAAACTATTAAAAACACCGTAAAGTTTTAAATTTTAGTTAATAATAGAAAAATTAAAAATTCGAGTTTACTCAAAAGCAAAGAATTTCCGCGGCAAAAATCAAATTATGTAGTGCTAGTTTTCTTGTATAGAATCATCCTATAAACCGATATTCTATATAACTGATTTCGGCTAAACGAAACTTGAGCCAAATGGAGAAACGTTATTTGGTCGAAAGAAGATACCATCACTTTGATTAATATATTTGAAGAATTTTCGTAATTGTGGCATATCCAATTTTGATATTTTATTGATTATATCCAATTTCGAAATTAGTTGTAGTAAAAAGTTAAGATCGACTTCTGACATTCGCAGAAAATTGTTTAAATGCTTTGGGTCTCCATTTCTTAATTCTTTTAATAACATCGCGTAAGCTCCAAGACTATAGGCCTTCTGGCAATCCATTCTTTAACCCATATTCTTTTTCTAGATTTTCTTGACTGTTTGAGTAAAATTTCAACAAGAAGAGCTGCAGCTCTCTTTTTACGACGCGACATTTTTCTACTAAGCAATATACTTGTGCAATATACACCATACCGTGGATACGTGCATGCAATTTCTTGCTCAAAGCATATGCCGAGAAAGTACTTTGTTTAAATGTAAACTAAAAATGTTACTCTAGCAAGTTCTATCTCAATTTTCTATCCCGTGTAAACTACGCTTTAGAATAACGTTTTTTAATTAGCAGAGCATATCGTGTTACTATACTGATCGAGTCAATGTTACTGTTACTATACTCACTATACTGAGTCAATGTCGAAATTAAAAAAATTTGACAAGCTATAATTTATAAACTATGTGCTATAATTACTAGACATTTTAGTAATCTAGCCAGCTATAGCTATAAATAATATTCTTGCTACCCACAACGAAATTACTGGGTGGTGAAAATTGCCGCTAATAACTTCGAGAAAAAGATGGTACGGCTGTGTTCGACTTGGGAGATTTATTTAATTAGGGATTTCAAATATATGTGGCAAATAAGTACATAAAAAATGTCTGTGCCGGATTCATCTCTTCAAAAAAGTCCAATGGATATTTCGCCACTTGTATTGCAAGAAAAACCACAAAATAAAACATGTAGTTATTTTGGCTAATACACAAAATAAACATAGCAAATATTTTTGAAGAATAAAATTTCCCATAGAATAAATCTTGAACGACACTTTTTATATGACTCATTAAAATGAAGCAATTTGTTCGTTTTGGATAGTTTATTGGGCTTAGAATATCTATGGCTTTAGGCATTAAAAGAAATAATTCAAATTTGAATTGAAACAAAATTTATTTATTGGCATTGCATGATCTTTTAAGGAACCTTTCGTTAATAATCTTTAACAAAGACTTTATTAATTCGATTAAATCAGTTTTCTTTTGCTTGACATCTGTATTAGTCTCCTTTATATCATAAACTTTTTGCCAGGAATTGTGCAGATCGTCCTTTAAAGAAGGATAATGAACGAATAGATCTGAATCTGAGATTGCATTAATTTTATTCTCTATATCTTCAACATGGTCAATAAGCAAAATTAGACTTGGAGGGTACTTTATTTTATCTTCGGGCACTTTCACTGGTATCGGTAATGTACCGATAACGGAAGTTCCATTCACTTGAGGTAAGTTAAAGTTATTAATAACTTTAGGATCGTCGGAAGCTGTTCCTGAATCGCTGAATTCAAAATCGACTACTTCGGTAAAGTCGAAAGTCCTTGACGAAATGGACTTTAATCGTTGGTGTGAAGAAGTATGACTACCCATACTGATCTAAAAATTAAGTCACTTGATAAATCGTATAAAATAAACATTGCATTTATACAATAACGTTGCTGTAAAAAGTGGATGGATTTGACAAATTTCTACATATCAGCCATCCGGCACTATATTTTGGATAAATTGTGTGCAATTATTGCAAATTTGATGCAACAATTGTCTAGTACTTCTTCCTACTAATTCCACTTTTGAGATTTTATGTGCCCTATTTGCGTATCCACTTCAAACTGGGTACCACTGAAAATTAGAATTTCTTGACTCAAAAATCTTCTGTCAGCACGAGGTAAATATTTTTAATTATTGATAATCCCTTGCTATACACTATGTCCCCGTATTGTTTACAAGAGGAAAAACTTTTGTTATTATTGACATTTTGGGAAAAATGGTATTCTTCATAACAATTTTTGCTTGTTCTATAATGTTTAATCCCGTTTATGCTTTACCAAATTTTCATACCATTTTAGAGAAAATTCGAAAAAACATGAAAATATATTGTTGAATTGTTTCAAAGTCCTAAAAATCATAACGCGTTTCTATATATATTATAGTAATATAATTTCGTTTTCATTCTTTGATAGATTGTTGTGAATAGAATTTTAATTAACATCATATTTTTTGTTGTTTTCAAATATTAAAGAAGCACAAAATTTATTTAGTTTACTGCTACGAAAAGGGTGATACTAGTTATCGGAAAATGTGATACTTCAGCAACAGCAGAAAATATGACGTTAATAAAAATTACTAATATCCATCCAAAGACATCTATCAAAGAATGAAATCGAAATTATATAACCATAGAAACGCCTTTATATTTTTATGACTTAGCTTTGAATAAGAAGACTAAGGAAGGAGCATAATGCTATCCATGTATTTATGCATGGTGGGCGGAAAAGCCACCATAAAAGCTCTCTAGGGTGGGGATCCTTGACAGTTCTGTTTGACGATTCATTTGACACATTTGAATTTGATTTGAAATTTTGTGGATTTGTCAGTCTTTACGGAGCTTATTTTATGTTATTTATTATTTATTCTACTACTGATAGTTGTATAAAGGTAGTAAATCTAGATGGAAATTGTGGCAGAACTTAAATTAACAGTGACACTATCGCGATTTATCGAAAAAGACTGTAAAATAGTTGGTTGTGTAGCGTGCGGTAGATCTCGGCAAAAATTGAGTGAAATAATGGAACAACTTTTCGCTAGTAAGTGACTATATATTATACATACGTGTAGTAAACCGATCATTTATGAAATTCACTTAAATTAACTAAATTATATATTTTTCTTGCATTTATTTATTACTTGTCAAAGATTAGATGTCAAAGAATTTAGATACGTTAATTTGACTTACCTGCTTCAGTAGCGTATCGGATGTTTGTGTTAATAAATACTTATTATAACTTATCTATTTTTATTAGAATTATATATTTTTATAACAATTTTAATAACTACCAACATTTATTCACAACGTAAAATAAAACAAAAAATTATTGAGTCTACCCCACGTCTACCCTACATCATAGTTTTATATTTTTTAAATAAAATTAGAACGACACTGATAAACCGGAATTTAAGTCGGCCATATTTGAGGCCCATCGCAGTGTACCTAAGATTTTTGATATGCTCCTTCCTTAGTCTTCTTATTCAAAGGGACTTAGAAAAATTCAACAATATTTTCATGTTTTTTCTATTTTTCTCTAAAACGGTATGGAATTTGAAATTTGGATAAGTATAAACGGGATTAACCATTTTAGAACAAGCAAAAAATTTTATGAACATTCAAAAAATTTTATGAACAAGCAAAAAATTTTATGAACATTCAAAATTCAAAATTCATTTTTCTCAAAATGCAAATAATAAAAAAGTTTTTCCTTTTGTAAAGACAATCCGGGTACATACTGTATAATGTTTAAAACAGATGGCATTTCAAGGTGTTTCTTTTTAATATATCTTACACTTTGGAACTTATTCCGATTTAGCTGAAAGTAGCTATCAATTTCTTTTTCAAATATTTAACTGAAAAAAAACATTTTATAAAAGAAAATTAAGTATAATAAATTTACAAAAAATAAAAACAATGCTGATTTCTCTCTAAAATATATAGGTATATAATATATTGATTGATTGATTGGATATTATATTGTACGATTGTCTAAACTACATACCCAGCGTCGCACTTTATGTATTATACATTTTTATTCTTACCAATTATTTCATTAAGTTATAATTCTTTTAATTTTTTTCTGGAGTAGTTTTTTTAGATACAAAAACGTTTAAAATATATTTTATCTTCACTCTATTGTTATATCTTTTATCTACGCCAATTTCACAGCTAATATCGACTATCTAATCTATGTGTACGTTGTGATAGTATAATTTGATGTTAGATTATTGTCAACTAATTTTCTACGGATATTAAAAATATTTATGATTAATGTATAAAAGAATCTGATTACTTCCGAAAAAAATACAGAAAAAAACGAATTTCCCAATTTGTTTTTTTTTAACTTTCTGACTCTATTTGAAAATATCTGACTATACAATTTTCATCTTCCTATTATTACTTCTGCTCTACAAGTTAATGTTATTAGATTTGCGTCTGACATTTTGTTTCTTAGAGAATCCATCATTAACATAATCTTTTTAAATTCGGAGCGGAAATTTTCATTTCCATATTTAAAAGCTTATGAAATGGCAAGCGGATGAGGTATATTAAGTAAACGGATTTTTGAATTTCAAAACATGATATTAGATTTAGACGTAACTTTTCATGTCTTTGTATCTCTTCTGGTTAAGGTATAGGTAGGAAATAAAAACAAGTTATACACAGGTATGATTATTATTCTCACATTTTCGATACAGGCCTTAAGTTCGAGAATATAAAAACAACTTTCTAAAACTGTATACAGTATGTTCCCGGATTTCTTTACAGAGGAAAAACTTTTTTATTATTGATATTTTGGAAAAATGCTTTCAACAAATTTTTCATAAAAATTTTTGCTTGTTCCAAATTTCCATACCGTTTTAGAGAAAATGAAGCAAATAGTGTTGAATTTTTCCTGTTGATAGTCCAAAAAATCAAAAGGCGTTTCTATATGGTAATATCAATATATTTCATTCTTTGATTGATGGCTATTAATAACTTTGATTAACTTCATATTCTCTGCTGATAATGTATCAGATTTTCCGGTAACTATCATCATCACCCTTCCGTAGTATTGAAGTAAATAATTTTTGTGCTTTAACATTAAAAAAAACTTTCTTATTAATTTAAAACAACAAAAAAATATGAGGTTAATTAAAATTATATGAATATCAATCTATTAAAGAATGAAAATGAAGTTAAATTATCATAGAAACGCGTTTTGATTTTAGGACTAAATACAAAAATATTTTCATGTTTTTCTTAATTTTCTCTAAAACCGTATGGAAATTTGGAAAAGTATAAACGGGATTAATCCTTTTTGAACAAGCAAAAATTTTTATGAAGAATGCATTTTTCTCTAATGACAATAATAAATTTTTTTCCTCTTGTAAAGACAATCCGGGGACATACTGTATACATTTATATTATTATTATACAAAAAAAAAACAGAAGTACTTGCAATTCTATTACTCTTATTTCTAGATTTTGTGCAACATTTAAAAACGTTTCCAGCAAAAACACTTGAAAATGAAATATACAAGTCAGCAATAGGCCTAGTTAATTCTACCATCTGGTTTATCCTCTGGTTTACAAAATAACCTGTAGTGAGCATTTTTGTATGGGACACCGTGTAGATGCTTTCAATATTTATAAAAACTCCAATGTATCTATTTAAAATGCTTTTTATTACAAACAACATACATATATGTAATTCCAATTCAATCTTTAAAATAAAAGGAATAAATAAAACAGATGTCTTTTTTTCCATATAAACATTAAAACATTTTAAATACATCACAAAATTATAAAAACATTTAAAAAAATTGTCTTAAATGCACAGGGTGTTCCTTAATGATATACGGTGATTTTTGGATGTATTCTAAGAAAAAAATTACAATATATTAGCATTACCTGGAATATTAAAGTCTCTCCCTATGTCTTTTTGGGTCGAAAGTAGGAAAATTACAAATTTGAATATCTTTTTTAGCAACGGGCTATGCAAAGACTACATGGAAACTGTGAGTGTCACTTTCCAAGTCATCATGACGCCGTCTTTTCTAATTCGTACGATACTTATTTCGTCGCTAAAATCTGTATAACACACACTCGGTGCTGATTTTAAAAGGAGCGTTAATACTATCTTTTACAAACAACCTAAAAATATATCCGTATATTCATACTTTTTTAGAATCACCCCCTCAAACACTAGCACGTCATTAGGGAACACCCCGTACACAAATAGAAAAACATCATTAACATCTAAATTTGTTTCGTTACCAACTTTTAGATTCAACCATCGACTTCAATAACAAATTACTAATTAACAAATAAATACAATTTTTCGTTCAAGCTTAATATATTCCTAATATAGTTTTAAACCTAAATCTTAATTTTTTTCTTCCTTCGCGTTTAGTGCGTTTAAAAATTCCGGATTTTACCGGAAAAATAAAAACCTAGTTGTTATATTGCTCCGGTAGAACGTAGGAAATGTCGTCCCAGGGGTGCCTGTACAGGCCCTGTTTCAGTCTCTTCTGATCCATAAAATGGCCGATAAACCCGATGGTTCTGCCCAGTACGAACAGGGAATTGATGGCGCCGATATTGATGTATTCCTGGGCCTCCTCGCTGGTGAAACTGCCACAATTCCGAAGCATATCCACGAAGGAGCACGCTATGCAACCATCGACGTTTAAAATTAAGTTGGGTTTTTTGCTGGTGGTAATTTTCTCCACCTCCAGCGCGTAGAGAAGCAACGGCGTGGCTGGGAAATTTGCCAGCACGTATTCCTTGATAATTTTCACTCTCTGATCGGGATTGTTGATGGACTTTACCCTGGAAAATGTAAAAAAATACGTTAAATAAAAATCACTTTCTTTTAAATTTTATACTAACCTGTGTCCAATGCCCATAATTAGTTCACCCTTGTTTCTCATGTGATTTACAAACTCTGCAGGATGCATACCTTAAAATACACAAAAATAAAAAAATATTTTTTCGTGTAAAGTGTAATTTAAAACAGTATTTTTATTATTACTTATATTTGATACTTGAAAAAATTATTCAAAAAATTATACCATTTTTTAATATTATTGTGCATAGTTTTTACAGAGAGAAACTTGCGCTAAAAAATTTACTAACTAATTTTACAAAGCAATTCCAGGGTATCAATTTTACAGAGCAATTTACACTGAGAAACCCGTAAAACTCTCGAAAATTACACCCTGTACATTTCAAGCAAGAGTCTATCCAGGACATGTGATTGCCTAAGATGTTTGCACCATATTTAGTGAATTTTTGATATGAGAATGTAATCAAAGGGATGTGATTACCTAAAAAATTTGTACGATTTTAGTACATTTTTAATTATGCGAAAAATGAAAGGAATCAACTGAAATGGACTGTAATAAAGTATTTATTGGTCTACCTGTATCGTAAGCGTCGCTGAATTGTTTGGCGGCGCTGTCTAGGGCTCCGCCAAATCTGTCGCCGATCGTGAGCAAACCGGAAACCAAACTCGACACCAGGTCCTTCCCCGCTCTTGCGCAGACGATGGTGTTATGGGCACCGGAAACGGCCGGTCCGTGGTCGGCTGTCACCTGCCAAAAAAACACGATTTTTTTCGAAATAATTCGGATAAAATCGAATAAAAAAATATGAACGTACCATAAGACACATTTCGAAGAATTTACACACGTACGGGGGCAAACATCTCTGGAACCACAGGAGCGATATTACGCCTCCGATTCCCACGTTTTTCTGCAAAACCTCCGAAATTGGCATACCTAAACAATAATTATTTTGATGAGCAAACGGGGAGCTGTAGAGACCGTGTGACAAAAAAAAAACGGCGTCAAAGATAATTTGCACTTGCTTTGTAATTGTTACCATAAAATTTGTCAAACACCGTTTTTTTTCGATCGTATATTTACCTAAAGAAAAAGACTATAAAAATAAAGAGGCATAGAAATTGTTTGAAAAATGAATTAAAAATTAAAAAAAAATGTTGTGCTAACCTGCGTAGATCAATTCTTGTCCTCTTTCGTCGCAAATCGACGTCATAAAACTGGCCGGTTTTCTAATCAGACCCAATTCCCTGGCCCAATTGTAGTCCATGGGTACGGTGGGCGGGGGTACTTCAGGTGCCGGTACTATCACTCCCTGTTTAACCAGACCCTCGTAAACCGATCGAATCACTTCGCCTAAACACAAATTTTTACCAAATTTACACAGTAAATATATATTTATCCAACCTAAATCCCTGTCTACACGTAACGTTTTACCTTTCAGTCTTAGCTGTCCAGTCAAGACGTACCAAATAAAACGTTGTGTTTAGAGGACAAATCGGTTTTTTCTCATTTAGTTTTACGACACAACTGTCGTTTAACTTTAACCCAAACCCCTGTCTACACATAACGTACACCTGTCATTCTTATACTGTATAAACTATTTCAATCGAAGATAAAACCTTCTTCCAATATGCGTTTGCACTGGAAAAACGTTATATCGTTTATGATACTTCTTTGTTTAAAGAAAGTACATTAAGATAAAAAAAACGGCGTCAGAGATGGCTAGGAACTTTTATATGGGGAATCGTCATTTCCAAGCTAACTTGACGCTGTTTTTTTTCGCTCGTACGGTACTTTACCTAAGTAATCGAAGGAATCCGGCACGTGAGCACCTGCTTCCCGAAGCGCGGCGTTTTTGGCCGTGGCAGTTTCGCTGGCGGAATTAGCACAAGAACCGGCGTGCCCGAACTGTACTTCGGAGGTGAACATGCTAGCGCAAGTACCTAGAATTAAATTGTTTTAAAATAGTACTACTAGAATAAAAAAAATCTATTATTCGTACCTATACACCAGGCCACCAAAGGTTTCGTCAGTTCACCATTTTTAAGAGCTTCGCATACGTAATATTCCTCGGTACCGCCCACCTCGCCCAGAAGAATAATCATTTTCACTTTATCGTCGGCCTAGTACCAGAAAAAATAATAGAAGATGTTTTTTTTATTATTAATATACACGATTTACCTGATATCGCCTAATATGATCCATAAACGTAGTGCCAGGATACCTAAAAGAATATATTACATATTAAATACCGTATGACCCCCTTGAAAAAAACGGCGTCATAGACGGCTGACGAACGACAATCGATGATAATTTTGGCGAGGTCAAAAACTTGTCAAGTAAAATGACGTCTAGAGCTCGACCTTGCCAAAAATACGATCGTCATTCCCAACCTTCTTTGACGCCGTTTTTTTCTGATCGTAGGATATTTTTTTACCTGTCACCCCCGATAGCAACGCCTTCATACACGCCGTCCGTCGTATGCGACACGATATTGTTCAACTCATTCGACATACCGCCCGACTTGGAAACGTAGGCAACGCTGCCAGGTCGGTACAGTTTCGAGTGCAGAATGTTATCCATCATGCCGCCGGTGTTGCCGATTTTAAAACAGCCCGGTTTTAGTCCGCCCACCGTCGCCGGGCCTATTATGACGATTCCCTTTTCGTCCGCCATTTTGATCAGTTTCCGCGTCATATTTTCGGGGATTCCCTCGGCGATTATGGCTATGGTACGGATCTGGGGGTACTCCATCGTTTCCACGGTGCTCTGGTACGCGGACCGCAACGAGGCGAACGATATTAGCACGTCGGAGTCGGGATGTTTGCTCATCGCGTCGTTCATTTTCTTGTAGACGGGAATGAGGATTTCTTTGTGGCCCCAGTAGAATTTCTAGGGGGAAACGAACGAAGTAAAATAAAAATATACTGGGTGCGTAACTAAATAGTACCTGTTTGTGGTCGCCCGTAAAGGGATAGATGATGGCGACGACGCTGGGTTCCTGCCTGCGGCAAACGAAATCGAAATCCAACATCGACTGTACAGCCCTATTCTGCATGCCCCACACTATCGATTTTGTCGTTGCCGTGAAAAGGGGGTCGTATTTTTTAACAGCCTGGTATATATACAAAAAATAAAACAATAAAAACACAAAATTTACCTTAATTTTCAAATGATTTTTTATGGTCGGTATGGATAGAAAAAAAAGGAGTCAAAAAAAGGCGAGATCAAAATTCCCCAGCCGTTTTTAACGTTTTTTCTTTCGATCATAAAGTATTATTCTATGTAATGATGATTACCTGGTATGATAGGTGGTCTTTAGTGTCCATCCGGTTCACTTCCTTAAAAATTATAGAATTTTCAAAAAAAAAATATTTTTTTTTATAAAAGATAACAATCATAATTAATCTACATCAGCACACACTATTATTTTTATTAAACTGCAGAGAATAATTTTAAGTTCATTTTAAAATTTGCTTCGAAACATTTTCGAAACGCTTGTTAGTAATAAGAATAGAAAATAAAGACCAAACCACCATAAACATAGTTGTAAACCTCCGCCCAAACGTAACGTTTTGTCGGTCGGGTAAGATGGATAATAACTAAGGGAAGGAACAAAACTGGAAGTTTTGCTTGCAGTTTTAGATTAGCACTGTGCTAAGTTGAAAAGAAAAAACACGGAATTTTACTACAAAATTACTAAAACGACGTTATTATTGGTCGGTAATGATCACTAAATATCTTTAAACGATTTTGTAGGACCCTAAAAATATATGAAATTTAAAGATGCTGTAATATAAACCTACTTATTTTTTTCATTGCAAGCAAAACCATAGCTCCGTCAGTAAAACCATCTTAATTCTACACAGTCACACACGATATTTTATTGATAAGGTTTGACTGGAACAGGCAAGACTGACAGTTAAAACGTTACGTGTAGACGGTGCTTAACAGTAAAAGAAATGAATTAAAGGAAAAGGTACAGAATTTTTTTTTAATTAGAATTTAAATACCCTAAAACAACATATTTAGTAAAGAAGACAATATACCAGCAGAAGTACTATTTCCCTTGACTACACTTTACAATATTTTATATTGTATGTATAGTCCATTCAACAAGAGAGAGGACACCTGACAATGACAGTTTAGTTAACAGTTGTCACTTTTGTCTTTATTTTAGATGTCGTAGTCTGTCAAAATCTTCCCCCACTCGTTGCACAGACTTTAGATAAAATTTACGAAACTTTATTGTACTCTCATACTCTCATAGTACAAAGTGTCCCAAAAAATCATCGAGTAATTTAAAAAACATTCTTTTTCATAACTTACGGTTCTCCTTTCAGCTGCCGATGCGGCTGCAGCTTTCAAAGCTGTTTCCCGCGCAGCCGCCACTTCCTCGGGTTTCTTCTTAATTGGTTGTTTATCTCCGGACGGTAATAGAAAGTTGGCCGTGGCAAATTCGACGTTGTTTTCTTGCGGTATGGGTCTGGTACCGAGCGCCATACCGCAGATCGCCGTCATATGCGTTTCGGGACCGAAAACGTACAAGGGAATACCTAAAAAAAAATTTCGTCGTTTTTAAAAAATGGAACACTCGGTATAGTATTTTTTTTTGTCAGATGGAGAATTAAAAATCGAACATTTTTTTGTATTAAAGTGTTTGAAAATTTTTAACGGTTCCTCAGATATTCGCGGTTTTATATTACATATGGCTCATTCAACTATAAAATACCAGAGAAAAATCATAGGTGTCTTTGATAATTTTTTTCTATTGAAAGAGCCATACGTAATATAATAAATTACCGGAACACCCGGTATATTATACCGGGTGTTCCGTTTATATAGACTCTAAAAACGTACCTAAAGTTTGCCCGACCTCGCGCATCCTCCTCAAGCCCTCCTGATAATTGGGACCCGCTCTTCTCACGAAAATTTTGATGTTGTGATCGATCATGCGGTCCTTGAATTCAACGAAAGCCGTTATAATGCCCCTAAACAATAAAAACATGCAAATAAAATAATCAGATACGAAAATCTACTTTTTTGAAATTAGAAATATTTTAATTTTTTTTTAATTGGCACCTTCGCCATTTCGTCAAAAAGAAAATGTTGATCAGTACTGGCGTAAAAAAACAGGAGGGGAAACACGAAAATAAGTAAAATTTTAAATAGACGTGCGGATAGTACCTAAATGTAGCTGCTACGTTGGTAAAATTGGCGATACCACCCCCGATAATTAGTACTTTTCCTTGAGGATGTTTCTCGTGCGTCATTAAAGATAAAATAGTCTTCGCATATTCGTAAGTTTGTTGCTCGGAAGGCGCACCAGAATATTCCCCATAATTTGCCAGCTCAGAACTGCCTCCTAGATCGCAAATAGTGTCGCTGAAAAAAAAATAAATAAAAAAAAGAGATTTTTTTGGGACACCCTGTATAGCAATTTACCTGTATATAACGGAGGCTCCCCCTCCGGCTACCATGGTCCATATGCGTCCTTTCCTGTTTAAAATTGTCAATTTTAGAGAGGCGCCAGATTTCGAATCCAAATCCGCGATATATGCTTCCTCTAAAAAAACACAAAAAAATACAATATAGAATTGTGAAAACCAGGAGAGACACATTTTTTATTTTATTCATACAGTAGTTCCCCGGATGGATCGTTATCTTTACAGGAGGAAAAACTTTTTTGTTATTAACTTTTTGAAAATGTATAATTTTTTATAAAAAGAAAATTACCTGGATAAGCATCGCGCCCAAAAGGAGGGGGATAGTCGATCTCCCCCCATTTCGGTCGGCAAATAAAGTCGGCAGTGGCGTCCAGTTTCGCAGCCAAATCCAGAATAAATATTTCCTTATCCGTCACGACCAAGGGATTTATTTCTAAATAGGTAAAATACAGATCGACGTACAGTTCATATAGGTTGTAAATAAACTTAGAAATCATCGCTTTTTTGGCCGATTTAACTTGCCCAAGTAAAACTTTTGTTATGCTATCTTCTGTCAAATTTTCTCCCACGGGGACGTCGAGTTTGACTGCTTTGCTGTCTACGTCTCCGATATCCACGCCGCCTAAAAAATATTATATCTCTCTGGTATTTTTCTAAACTACTTTTCTAGTAAAGCAAAATGCTGTCTATTTCACAAAAGAGACGACACATTAAATATAATCTAATGTGTTGGACAAAGAGACTCCATACACATATATGTATACAAATAATAATAGATTATAGACAAGGTGTTTCAAATGCGTTTTTTTTCAGTGCAATAAATCATTAAATAGTCCAAAACATGGGCGCCTATCTCATCTAATCAACTAATACTGTCAAAATAAAGTCCTAGATCCCAATTTGAAACACCGTGTACACGGGTCTTAGAAATATTCAAGACACGAGATATACCAAAAAACGATGAATTTTTGAGATAAACAGAATAGAATCGATACTCCGAATCGATTCGATCCTGACCATCCCTAGTCTTTATCTATGGCCTACTCTATGCACACATTCTCTCTCCTTCATCTGTGGTAGCTAATCAGCTGAAGCCAGTTGTGATTTAAGTGTGAGAAGTTAACCACAAAAATAAAAATGTTTCATTTCTTTTTTGTTTTACATCTTGTTTAATACCTGTAAACGTTAATAAATATTGTTCCTGTAATTATTACATGATTATTTTGTAAAATGAGTGAGGACATTAAAAACAAACCTCCAACACATATACTAGTGGACTGGAACTTCTTTCTCAACCATCAGAAAAACGTCAAAATTCCCATCTACTTCGACAAAGAAAATTGGATACTTAACAATTTATACAGAGTTCGAATCAGTCACGTATACGATCCATCGAAATTCTGGGTGGTGCCCAAAGAAAAAGAACTAGACCTCTTCCAAAGATATCTACACAATTTCTATTCAAAATACAAAGATTCTTATCGCATCCCTGAAATCAACTTCAGTCTGCAAATGTACTGTGTGGCATATACAGAGGAAACATTTTACAGAGGCAGATTGGTCAATGTTCCATTAACTAATCAGGAGAAACACCTGGCCTGGGTATTTCTCATAGATTTTGGATATATGGTCAAAGTTGAATTAAACAACATTTATTTTATGACTACCAAGATGTATACGGTACCACAATTTGCAATTAGAAGTGGATTGTCAGGTAAACGTTGGTTTTATATCTTCTTGTGCCTTGTAAAAAAAAGGCGTCAAAGACGGCTGGGGAACGACGATCGATAATAATTTTGACCAGGTCAGATCCAGACCCGTCAAAACCATTAAAAAATCATTTTAACTCAATATAAAAAAAAATGGCGCCGGGAGGCACGTATAGCCGCCCATACTAAAATATGTTAATAAACAGTTGGTAGGCAGTTCTTTTAGTTTCAAAGTAAAGGAATTTTTCCAATTTTGGTCTGCGGTTATTTCCCCTATCCGCCACCTGGGGTAGCGTCCGATGGGGGGAGTTTGGAGTTCTCCACATGGATTTTCTCAAAAACGGACTACGGAAACACGGAATATCTCAAAAACTGCGACTTTGACTAATTTTGATGTTATTACAAATATTATTCCTAATCTTAAATTGAAAACCGCGTTTCGCTAGCTACTGTAATTTTGGAGTTACGATTTTTGAAAATTTTTAAACCCGTCCCATACCACCTTACCAACCCCCCACCCCCACCAAAAACTAATGGCCAGATTCTCGGGTGCCACAGTATTTTTGTGCCAAATTTGGTTAAAATCGGTTTAGCGGTTTTTCAGTTATAGTGTTACAGACGGACAGACAGACACCATGAAAATATTTCGTATTTAGGTCATTTATGACCCAAATAACTCATTCTGAGTGAAATTAAAAAAACTTTTTTTTGCCGATCTTAATAGCCTACCATAGCTGTTGGTATCTTAAGGCATCTAACTGGCAGTAAGCTCCATGAAAAAATAAAGAAGAGTAGTAGAGCTTGACGCCAAAATTATCATCGATCGCCGTTCCTCAGCCGTCTTTGACGCCCTTTTTTTTTCGATTACCATCATTTATTATTAGGATTGGGTCCTATCGATTCTAGTACCTGGCATTCAGATGCAGTTACAAAATTTACCGAACTTGTACTGAACAAAGTACTTTTTGGTCTAGTTACTAGTAAAGACGACAAAAACAAAATACTGTGGCTGAACTTGGGTGAATATCAGGGGAGCTCCCAAAGTTTACAGTCCATAAACGAAATTTTGATTCGGGAAAAGATAGCAAAGCAATTGACGGTTGCAGATGTTAGGGGATTGAAACGCACAGAGAGAAAGAAACGTACACCGTACATGGCGTTTCACAATATCGAGCCCATTATACCGTTTTTGTTACCGACGTTTGACAGTCTGGAGAATAATTTCTGTGCAGATACGGCTGTAGCCAATGATCTATTACAGCAGTTTCAACTGAAGAGATACTAAAGACTAATTTTTTATCTGTTATTTCTTAATCTAAAGCTTTCTATTAGTTATCATGTTATTAATATGATTTGTACCTTGTTATGAAAAGAATAAAATTCCTTGTTTCAATATACTCCTAGCTCCTAGTTACTACCTAAAGTTACTACCAAGGGTACAAAAAAATTTTACTACCTAAATAGAAAATAATATTGTACAATCGAAAAAAAAACGACTTCAAAGACAGCTAAGGAATGATTTTTAATGATAATTTTGGCGCGGTCAAGCCGTAGATGTCATTTACTTGGCCCTTGTACTCTTTTTTATTTGTTCATAGCCCTTACTGCCAGTTGGCCGTAAGGAGGTTCTAAGTTTAATGTAAATTTTTAGTAGTAAATTATGTCTAAAGATTGACCTCGGCAAAATTCGCATCGATTGCCATTTCCCAGGCGTCTCTGACGCTGTTTTTTTTTAAATATAGATTCAGTTAAAACGTTAAAACATCAAATCTTTTAAATATTATAGATCTTAACTCGTCAACTTTAATGAAATAGACTGTACTAAACGGTTCCATTATAAATATATATAAAAAAGTATCATAAAATTGTCGGGCCTTTAAAAATACAATAGTAATATATTAATAATACAAAATACAAGTTATTATTACAAGATAAAGTCCTTCCCACGAGACAGGGAAGATTTCGACAGTTGGACATCGAAAAAATGACAAAATTTAAACTGACAGGCTTATCTGTCACTGTAGGGGATACTCTCTCAAAATAAAAACACTAAATCACCACAATACACCAAAAAACTTTTACTTTTACACTGGACGCGCGTTTCGCTAACCATGTTAGCATCATCAGCAGATGATTATAAACTTAGTTTATAATCATCAATAAACTTAGTTTATAATCACCTGCTGATGATGCTAACATGGTTAGCGAAACGCGCGTCCAGTGTAAAAGTAAAAGTGTTTTGGTGTATTGTGGTGATTTAGTGTTTTTATTTTGCTGTGTAACACCAAAGGTTCCAACCCTCAACTGTAATACTCTCTCGCTGAACGGACTATACCCTATAATATATCTCACCTTGATGATAGAATAGTATGGTATCGGCATGCCTGTGTGAATAAATGCAAACGTAGGTTTCTTCTTCGTCTTTGTGGGGTATAAATGGTTCGATAATAAAATTCTTGAGCTTTCCGGAAGCTTGACCGATTTTTTGATCCTTGTTCATTCGATCGCCTATCCATTTTTGTACTTCATCCAGCGTTTTATTTACAGCAATTAAACCTAAAAAAATTCGATCATAAAACCTAATAGTTATACGAACAACAACGACGTAATGTAATTCTCTACAATATTTTGTTTAGAAATTTGAAAAGTATAAACGAATCAACCTTTTTTATATTTATCCAACATATGATATTCATAGAGAAAACATTATTTTATACATCATTTTTATATATTATTTACGCAAACATATACTTAATTAATAGCCTGCCAAAAAGCACCAAAAACATAGATGACGTGCAAGTTTTCATTCGCAAACATTTTAAAATTGGAACAAATCCCAACACAGTAGTTCTTTAATGTATTTCTAGTGATTGTGTTTTTTTAAACAGCTGATACCTATCAAGAAAACCAACAGACAATGGAACTAAACAATCCTCCTGCTCCTGAATCTAAGTATGTATTTTGTATTAAAAGTTTATTTTAAAATAACAAAAAAAAAATCTAAATAGAAAATTTACATGACAAACACATACCAGGTGTTGCATCGTCGGACGGGACATAGGAAATCCCATGTAAATTTTAATGGGGTCAATTATTGACTTCCCTAATTATTTTAGAGAATATTTCTATTTAGGTTTATTGAAGAGCACTAAAAGCCACATTCAAAAGAATAACTTTAGATATTTTTGATTAGGCCGTGTACGAGTTATCGCCCGATTTCTTTTTAAATATTTCTCCTTTCTTATGGCCCTGTATTTACCTACTTATGAGCACCAGTCAAGGTAAAAGATAACTGTCAAATGAAGTTGTCATTTCAGAAATTTACCTATTTAGTGCTTTATTATTTTTGAAAACTCATTCCTACATCGGAAATCTTAAAGATGTATTTATAAATACAAATTAATATGAATTAAAGTAAAAAAAAGTAACCAAATCAATAACTTATTAATTTAGGTACTATTAAATGACAACTTCATTTGACAGTTATCTTTTACCTTGACTGGTGCTCATAAGTAAATACAGGGCCATAAGAAAGGAGAAATATTTAAAAAGAAATCGGCGATAACTCGTAAACGGCCTAATCAAAAATATCTAAAGTTATTCTTTTGAATGTGGGTTTTAGTGCTCTTCAATAAACCTAAATAGAATTATTCTCTAAAATAATTAGGGAAGCCAATAATTGACCCCATTAAAATTTACATGGGAATTCCTATGTCCCGCTCGATGATGCAACACCCGGTATAGAGACTAAAAAAGAAAAACACTAAAAAACATCTATGTCTAACATAAAAATTATAAAATATTACTCTAATATTTTTTAATAAATTACCGAAAAAAAAACAGGTTTAATTGGTAATATACTGAGTAATATATCTACGTCAAATATGAATAAATAAAAAAATAACATAGTGCAATAACAATTTTAGAAAATTAATTTTTCGCAAAATTATTGCATAAATTTTTTGATGCATTTAAATTAGTCTTTAGTCGCATAAACATAATGCATTTTGATTTGAAGGTGAATTTTATTATACAGGATGGGCTTTATTATACACTGGCTCTGGTAAAACTTATTCTTTTTCACTTGAATTTTTACACCAAATATTTCTGTTAAAATACAAACTGCAATCTACTCTGAAACATAGCTTCTTATAGTATATGCGTCTATTTTAATATGATTAGTACTGAAGACGAGAGCTTTATGTGCTGACGTATGAGCTTTATTTTCATTGACTGTACGGGGTGGCCCAAATTTGTTCCAATTTTTCTCTCAGAAGTAAGTGAATATCTCCGAATTAGAGATATTATGAGTAATATACAGGGTGTATACAATAAGTTCGCTTAATATGGCTCGAAATCCATCGTTTCTTACCTAATTTTCCCCTCCTTTTGATTAACTGATCCGGTTTGACCACCAACCGGTCAGTCTTGAGCCAGGGGTTGTTAGCGACCACTTCGGAAAACTTGGTGTCCGGATTTATGCTGGCAAATCGACATTGAGCGGCCGCAGTGTCGCCTAACCTTTGATTTATCAAGTTTTTCCCCGTTGCCTCCCTTATGGCCTTGGCCGACATTTTACTAGCAAGAAATTACTTGTTTCGATCTGGAAAGAAATTAAAAAATTATACAGGGTGTCAAAAAAATAGTGTGTCCAACTTCGGTGGTTGATTCTACAGATAAAAATAAGACAAAAATTTCCATATATGTATTTACCCTTAAATGCTTCCCAGGGCCAGTTGCAACCCATCGAAATAGATATTTTTTGACACCCTGTATTAGAATGCACTTTACAGAACTTCTGTATGGTTAGAGTACCAAACTAAATAATATATTATTCTGGTTTAACAGGTTTCTGTTTTATATAATATTTAATTATGTCCATTTCTATGCTATGTAAACGTTGACTTTGATTTTGGTGGGTCCCCATATACTTTCCCTCGATACTTTCTAATTTAATTGGAAATTTTTAATGATTTTTGATGACCAGATAAGATAATCTTATAGTATTTGTGTTTCCTTAAAAATACGTTGATACTGTATCCTTAAAAGGTATTTTTACGTAAATTAGATAATAACTTATTTCTAATGGGTAATTATACGTACATTTTTGTGCCATACCTTATTAGAATTACCATGAAAAACAGACACCTAACTGGTTTTAAAAATACAAAGATCAAGGTCAAATAACTTAGAAACTATATACAGGGATGATGTCGTAAGCCTGGAGAGATATAAAGATTGTTTTTTGTGGTGACAATGCCTTAAAAAATAAAATTGAAAATCCATTGTCAAATAGAGCTAGAAAAATATAAAAAGTATATCGTGAAAATTCGGTTTCCCTAAAATATCTTTTTTTGGCAGGATAGAATTTTTTTTGATTTCTATACATGACGTTGTAGTATTCATCAAGGCGCAACTTTTACCAGATTTCTGTATACAAGTTGCGGTTTTTAGCGATTTTATATCATTCTATCATTCAGATGGAAACTGCACCTAGGAATTGGCAGGGACTGGTTGCAGCGAAGGGATAAAACATCCCAAAAGGGACGACCATCACGGTCTTTCGGCCGAGGAGCAAGGGAAAAGACACCACCTACTTGCTCAGCCTTATCCAAGTTGTAAGAATAAACCAAACCAAACCAGCAATGTAAGAACATCGAGTTGGCGAGTCATCAACACAGTCCAGGTCCTCACAAAAGGAATTGACCTCAAATCCAAGGAGGCAATAAAGACGGAGGGATATATCCTCTCTTATAGATCGCGCGACAACACCAGTATCTGGTCTAAGGAGAGACCAAGTTAAAGAGGTGGAGAAAATGAAGACAGATCCTCCACCTCACGGGTACCTTAGCCGGAGACAAGCTCCTCGACTGTAAAGGGCGCGGAGGGATAAACCTCAACCGTTGAAAGTTGTATACTGTCCGAGGAAGAACATATGTTTTCAGAGGAGGGTGGAAAATACCCTGTCCCCCCTACAATAGGAAAATCCTCATGTATGATGAGTTATAACTCAAGGAAGGATAACTCCCACTCATTCTACATTTTACATCATTCAGATTGTTATTTGTTAAAAAAAATCTACTAAAAACCATTTGCATATTTATAAGAATCTTCATTCACTTAGAATACCTCATCTCGTCATAACATATTATTTTGAAAAAGTTTCCATCCAAACGAAGTGAAAGTGAAGAAAAACCATCAAAATTATAGTTTTCACTGCTTTAATAGGAGTCATAATAATTACATATAAATTTAACAAATGTTTGTATTTTTTTGAAATAATTATTCGCAACTCATCATTGTCCGTCTAACGTCAATAAAATTGAACTATGTCGGTAATTTAAATATCGACGAGTACCTATAATAACGTTGTGAACTTACGAAATAAAATAAATATCACAAATTCCAATCACAGCGGGCACTTTCACGTCAATATACCGTCTCTAATTCGACCACATCGACTTTAAAAACTTGATTTGGGGCGAATATCACGGTGTTGCACGGTACCACCACCGCTGCTTTCACTCGACTAGTTGCCGGTACTGCTAGGGTACTCGATATATTAACAGCTCCTCGAATTTATCACTACATGTTCGAGTAGTGACGGTGACGTGATAAAAAAACCGCGGTCGCTCTTTCTCGTCAAAAATCTCGCCACTTTCGAAATTCAAATTTTCATTCTGTCTGTGTTATCGACAAAGAAAAATCTTTTTTTCTTCAGAATTTCTTATGGCCTAGGTTAACCCTTGTAGAGTGCCTTCTTATACTGAGACACCGTGTATATTTTGATTTCAGAACTCATATAATAAGTCCAAAAAACTTGTATATAAAAGACCCTACCTAACATTTTCATAGATTGAATTTAACAAAATAGTTTGTATAACAGAATTTTAATGAAAAAAATAAAATTTTAATTAATAAAAATCATTTAAAATGTGTTTTTGTGAAATATACCATAAAAATATGTTTACAAGGTTTATTTGAAAACATATGACCTTATTTTGTAAACAATTAACAGATTACGATAAAATCAAATTTATTTTTAAATTCGTTGCTATTTTAAAAATCTAATTTTAATTATAAGTTATATAATTTAACGATAAATATTTTATAATATACATATATTTCATGAAGGTAACTTATTAAAATTTATTTTGGTATGGGGAAAAACTATATTGTAATTTAGAAAAATATTTTTATCTACAGTAATGGAAAGTCTGTTATAATATATGACATAAACAGTCTTTTAAAATCAACGTTAAAGAAATAAAAATAAATATGTAAACAATATTGTTGTTAATCGTATTTACAAAATTGCAATGAACCATTCGTCTTTGAAATCACTGTGCTAACATTATATATCCGATAACATTTATTATTAAAACATATTTTGTTAGAATAATATGGATGGTCAAAATATATTTCAGTGATATACAAAGTGTAACCTTCAAGTAACCTAAAGCATCTTATTATTGATCTCTTTGTATGATACTAAAGTTTAAAAATAACACAAATTGCATTTGAAGATTCTTGATACTAAAAAATATTTTTTATAATATACAATGTTGGCTCCAAGTTTATTAAAATATTAGTTTATAAAATCTGAAATAATATTGCATTTTGGAATATTAACTTTGCAATTTTATGCATATTTTTATGCAATTCAAACAAAATACAGACTTAATATTTTTTTAATAAATAAGTTTCATTTTTTTAATTTTTTGGATATTATATCGTTCTAAATTATACAAAATTCCCTATGGGCTATGGTATCTACTATCCTTTACTATCTACTTATCAATCAGTACGCACATCAGTATTTATGTATTCCAGCGAAAAAAAACGGCGTCGATTTACCTTAGAAAGAAATGCAAATTTAACTCCTAATGTTTCTAATTACCATTAAATATTGTAATTACCATAAAAACACGTGGTTGAAAGATTAAATGATCGTAAAATAATTATGTTTCGAAGATGATTTGCTAATTAGGTATGAAAAAAAATGTATTAATTTAAAAAAAAAACATTAGGAAAATAATAAGTAATACAGAGATAACCAATGAATTCTGAGATTAAATAATGCCTCTAGACTCTAGATTCTTCTAAAGATAAAAATACAAACAAAACATTTATCACATTTATTTTAATAAAATTTATTACCCAAAAAAATTATGACGTCCACACTTTTCACCATACATAAGAGTATTTGACGTTTCTATATTCTATCCTTATTCATACAAATTAGATAGAAAAGGATGAGACTATTAAAAATAAACATGTGAAATGGAAACATTTCAATAATGAATTTATATTTAAATTAAACCGTATAGGAACAAAAGTATTGAACTGATATTAAATCTTACCAGTTATATAGTGTAAAACTGCACTCTTTAACACAAAAATAACAAAAATAACGCTGGACAGTGGTTAAAATTACGAAAAATTGCACAATTTACTACAGGACCACGACGAAGAACAACAGTTTGACAACCTCTTCTTTTGACAGATCAATATTCTCTACTAAAATTTAAAATAGACGTTCGTTTATTTGAACTACTCCTTCATTTTTACAGGATATTTGTGGATATTTGTGAAAAAAATAACAAACCAGAATAAAAAAAAAGACTTCTTTCGTAATGGGGCAAACTGGAAACATGCTGGAACTACCTATAAATCATTGGAAAAATTGTTGTTAAAAAGTAACAAAAAACATTCCCAAGTTTATAACTCCAAGCATTTACAGGGTGAATTGCAAGCGTCGCCTCTCCGACCAGACGAATCTTAATCCCACCTGTAAACGATGGTACCTGAGAATCATCTGAGAATGCGGAATTTTGTGGTAGAATTGACCGGCGCCTCGTCATCATTAGACTACCTTGACAGACATCGTACGACAGGAAACAATTCCTAACTATTCCTTGTGCTATTCCCAGCTATTCCTAACAACAACTCAAGAGATCATGGGCTGGCCAGTTCCCACAACCTCACAAATCACAAACCTCAAGCGCCAGAAAGTTAGGATTATAGTTAACATCGCACGCCGTATCTGCGAATCCCAAATGATAGTCTTTTGTTTTTTATATAAGTACTTATTTTATGTCGGGATTGAGCGGTGAGATATTAAGGGATGATTGTTACCAAAGGTGTATTACTGGTTGCTTAAGTTACACAAAAATGATTTTTGCATTTAATTTGCTAAACAAAGGTAAATTAATACTTTCATATACTTTAAATAGAAGGTAAAATATATAATAAGATGATTTTTATATATTTTGTAACGAATTTTGTACGAAATATATCATTTTTTGGAAATTTTAGAAAATTTTATCGAACTGACTTGTCAATTACTCATGTGGCAGATGGCGGCAAGTTGGCGGGAAATCTATATCATCGAAGAAAAGGAACAATAAAAGGTATGATATCGTTCTGTGATACCGTTTCATTAGATCCATTTTAACACAGCCAAATTTTAACTATGTATTTCCTTTCCAGTGTTCAGCTTCAGATAAAACAATATCCAAATACTACTTCCTAAGGGATGTCCTACATCACAGAAGCCCGAAAACAGACCAATCGCTTGTTCCAAGACGAACTTAGAACTATGCACTGGCAAAATTCAAGATATATCTACGTCGAATAATAATTAATAGAGGACGATACAAATATATTCATAAAAATGTTATTAAAAATTAGACATTAAATGCCTTGACCCATTTGGCAGTGTTATTAGGATAAAATTGTGAGCAGTCTTCACAAGAGAAAATTCACACTCTGAATCTCAATGGAGGCTGGCAATCCTTAGGTCTGATTTTCTCAAAATACATTCAAGATATTCCAAAGTAAAAATGTAAGGTAATGCATTTGAATAGTACCAATAGTAAACTAGTTTCTGGTCTCTGTAATTGTAGATCCAGTTCTCCTGCATAACTTTCAATACATAATACCAGATATGTGTCCAATATGAACGGTTCAATACAAAGGAACTATGGAGGGTGGAGGGTAGAGGGTAGAGTTATGCTATTGTGCTGACGAAGAATATTTTTAGGATAAAATTGTAAGCAGTAAATAATTCTGGTTTCATTTGAATTTAATATACAAGGATTTAATGTAATAATAAATAAAACTGCTTTTCCGAATTTTAGTAATTATCCAGCGCATCCGCCATTTTCTCAAAAGTATTGTTTAATTTCTCTTAAAATTTCGGGACGATATTAAAATAGTTTTTACTCAGAAATACCTAGAATTGAATTTTTGTCGGACAATCGAACATCGTCGCAGAACCAGAAAGAAGAATAAAGGTTGATTCTCACTATACCTTCCGTTTCCATTCCATATCCGTTCCGTATTTTTTATTGTACTGACGCTATACGTAAGCTTCCGTTCCGTGTCAGTTCCATACTTTTTATTGTACAATTTATATCATTACGAAAGTTTTATTTTAAAAATTTGTATCTTTTAAAAAAGGTAATAGATTTAATTAAGAGGCGAAAGAATAAATAAATATCGGCAAAATTAACAGAGCTGTTAAAAATGTAAGAATTTGACAACGCTGTTTCCGATACGCTTCAGTCCGTCCGCCAAAAAAATGTATGAAAGAAAAGGATATGGAACGGATAGTGTGCATTGATGTTCAAATTTTATTTGTTTTGTAATTTGCACTAAATTTTAATGTTGCCATACTAATTTTGTGTGTAGCTTAAATTAATGTTTTTTTCTGTACGATAGTCTATATTTTTTCAAGAATAATACAACATAAACTATAAAAAATATTTTTTTGTACATTAAAACCTAATAAATTATAATACATTTTTTAAGTGTTTCCTTTTATTATATTTTTTGTAAAACGTTTAGATATCTGTTCGAAAGTCTTGCCCAGAGTTTCAGGCAACCAGAAATACAAGTATAACAAACCTACCGTATTTATAACGCCTACTAACAAAAATAAGTTTGTCATGCTTACCATCTCCAATAAAAACGGAAAAATTTTGGTAACGACAAACATTAAAATGTACGCTATTGAAATGGTGAGACCCCCCAGTTTCCCTCGCACTTTTATCGGTAATAATTCCCCTATCATAGTCCAGGGGATAACTAAATATCCCAAGGAACTAAAACAGACGTAACCGAGGACCAAAAATATCGTAACATTATTATTTTGTACGTTAGGACTAGAAGTACTATTGTTTACTAAATTTGATTCGTTATTAGTTTGAAAAAACATGTAAAACCCGCAAGAAAAACTAGTCAAAATCATTCCAAACGCCGAGTAAAACATCAGAGGTCTCCTACCAATTTTTTTCGATGTTACCGTAGATATTATAGAAACCACGAAACGTATCACGCCCAGTATAATCAAGGCCGTAAACCCGTCTATGCTGTTTCCACCCCCAATTTTTCTAAAGATTTCCACCGCATAGAAAATCACAACGTACGCTCCCGATAATTGTTGGAACAAGAACAGGAAAAACAGAATAACAAAGGGTTTCCAAACAACGGACTCCCTGTATATATTTATACTGTTCTTCAGGTTAATTAGACTCGATTTTTCGCTGATTCCTTCACTATGATTTGAACCAAAATCATTCTTGCTCTCCAGTATCCTTTTGAGCGCCTGCTCGTACAGCTAAAAAATATATTCAAGTTGTTTACTAATTTTATCATTAATATGAACTATGAAGTTTTTTTTCTAATAATATTTTTTACAAATGATACAGGTTGGTCCTTTGACAACGTATTCTGCATCTTATTAGAGCATGTATGTTTAGAGAAACTTTTTTCTTTTATTTTTTGTCCCTGATGTACCTACTTTGGTACCTACACTATTTTTCAATACCCTATACAAGGTGTCCCAGAAATAAGTGCAAGTATTTTAATTGGTAGTATAGTTCAGCCCCAGAAACACGCCTATTCACGAAAAAATTTTTTTGAAAATTCGAAATTTTTTAAAAAAATTTTTTGAAATTTTTTAGTTTTTAGTTGAAAAACATAATTTCTTGATAATATGGTAACATAGGTAGTAGATTAAATTTACAAGAAAGAAAATTCAGAAAAGATCCAGTGGCAAAATAAAATAACTCCGTTATTTTGGACTTACTTGAAAAACGATAAAGAGAAAATATGTTTCTTTTATCGAGATCTACCACCCCTTAAAATACTTGCACTTATTTCTGGGACACCCTGTATAAACCTACGCACCGCGTCGTCTTTATAGATCCAGCGTAAAGATCTGGCACAGGCACTTTTGTCATTTTGAAACACAACAAGCCAATAGGGACTCTCGGGGATGAAACACAGTCCAATCGTAGTTAAGAAAACCAATCCAAAGAATATTTTCGACATTAAACGCCAGTTAAACCAAAATCCTGAAAAAAAAATATTTATTTTTATTATATACTACAAAAATCACAAAATGTGCACCTAAAACGCATGTCAGGAGAATACCAAACGTAACAAAAACGCTGTTTAGTGAAAGTAGCATAGGACGGAATTTTGGATGCGCTATTTCGCTGACATAAACCAGAGCTACAGTGGTCAATCCTAAAAAAATATATACAGAAAAATAGTATTTTTTTTCATAATTTATTTACCCCCGCTGAACCCGGCTATGATCCTAGCAACATAAATATACCAAACGTTTTCAGCATAGGCGTGCAAAGCCCACGCAACTAAAACTGGTATTGTTGACAGAACGCACATTTTTTTTCGTCCGAATTTGTCCATAAGAGGTCCTATAGCAGTTGAACCCAGAGGCAGTGCAATTGTTACTATACTAGCTAAAAGAACAAATGAAATACAAAAAAAAATAATACTGTTTAATAGCATAAACTTAGCTTTTGTTACCTATCCAAGAAGCTTGGGATTTGTCAATGACAATGTTGGTATTTGAATCCTTCAATTGTGGCAATAAAACTGCACTAAAAGACATGTTTATGCCGGCTTGTATAACTATGGTATTTGCCATACAACAAGCTAAAATCTACAAAAAAAATACAATGCATGATTTAAGAAAATAAAGTTGATGATGGCCGTATCTCGGAAACGAAACGTCGCGCGTCGCATTGAAAATCTAATAACATCAACTTCTAGAGCAGGAAAAATAGCTATAAGAATGTGGACTTTGTTTTGTCATTTCTTCACCAGAGGGTGAAAAAAAATAAAACGAAATCCATGCACTCTTATATGGGACACCGTGTATATTTCTATTTAAATAAGGTTAACACGAACATAACCTTCGTTTTACCCTTGTTTATATATTAATTGTTTATATATTTATTATATGTTTATATATTTATTATATATAAATTATTAATTTATACATAATCAAGGGTTTTACGTAATTTACTTTAATAACAAAAAAATACCTGTCTTATTGCATCTGCCCATGATAAAACTGTTATTTCTTCGTCGTTCTCATCTTCCCGAAGTTCTTTAACCTCATCATCAATTTCAACCCTTTCTTCTGACTTCATAATAAATATCACTAGGTATAATGATAAACGCGCGTTGTTTATAAATAAATATGTCGAAATTAACACCGAATAATGATTAAAAATTGGTTACCTATTTTAGTGGCTGTATACAAATCAAGTAATCTGGTGCAAAGATCACGGAATTTTTGTGAGTGAGCAGCATTATTTTATCTATTCACTACGATCGAAACACATATGTATATATTATGTTCTTAAAGAGGATTAAACGGTACTATTATTTATGTATTTCATTATTTACTGATTCTTAATTAGTATGAACTTATCTTACTATTATTTCCATTTGCACAAAAACCAGACAATGTCTAGAGAGACACGATATATATTTTTTCTCTCAGAGGAACACAACAAAGTGTTACAGAAAAAGCTAAAATATTTAGTAATGCTATAAAACAAAAATGTTATCATTTGGTACGAGCTACTATCTCAAAATTACTTCAACCGTATTATTTTTCCTTTGGTCCAATTTACTGCAGATATAATTATAGCCAGTTATCATAGACGTGTTTTTATTACATTGTAACAAAATTATCGTATACAAATCTAAAAAGATTATAGCTCTGATATAAACCTTGCTGGATTCTAAAGTGCTACAACAAATAAAATAAAATTATCTGTATATTTGAACACGTTTTTTTCTTTACAAGCGACCACATTTGGAGACAATGTATCTTTAATAGCAACTCGTTTAGACTAATTTATGAAATCATAAATAAAATACAGCTTAGTTTGTTAATAGAACTTCAATTACAACGACCTCCAAAAGTTTCATTCTTATCTCTATTGGTACAAAAAGAATGAAGGAAATGTTTTATATACAAAGACCCCATATAAGGGGTCTGTCGATTTATAAATAAAAGCATATAAAATATTAAGAAGCCAATTATGTTATTTAACAACTTTTGTTATTTAACAACTGTTATTTTTGAATAACAGTTGATATTTACAAAAAATAACAGTGCACACATGCATAATTAAAAATTACAACAATAACATCTGCACTTGCACTGTTATTTTTATGTTTTTTTGCAAATACATATACAGGGTGTCCCCAGAAATAAGTGCAAGTATTCTAGGGGTGGTAGATCTCGATAAAAGAAACATATTTTCTCTTTATCGTTTTTCAAATAAGTCTAAAATAACAGAGTTATTTTACTTAGAAAATTTCCAAAAAAAAAAAATATTTTTTGCTAAATTTTTGAGAACCATTGGATCTTTTCTGGATTGTCTTTCTTGTAAATTTAATCTACTACTTATGTTGCATATTATCAAGAAAGTATGTTTTTTAACTAAAAACTAAAAAAAATCCAAAAATTTTTTCAAAAAAACTCATAGGCGTGTTTCTGGTGTTGAACTATACTACCAGTAAAAATACTTTTTTTACTGGTCCAGTGGTTTTTACTAATAAAAAATCTGTTTTATTTCTGGGACGCCCTGTATAGAAAAGAATACACGTCGTATTGAATGTGCGACCTGTAAAATTAATAAATAACAAAAACCTGTTATTTTTGAATAACAGCTGTGATAACAGTAATAGTTCCAACAGTTGTTTCGAAATAACAGTTTTGGAAGCTGTTAAGATTTCTTTTGGGGGGTAAATTAAAGAATATTATCAGTAAATTGAGAAGAAAAAACTAAGGCGTGGGGCTCTTAAAATGTTGACTCATACGTTTTTATTGGACGATAAAAGCAAATATATGCAGTTTCTAAAAAACGATAAATCCGACGCAATGTATTTGTTTTTATGCTAAGAAACAAAGGGAGGCCCAATATATGGACTATTCTGTCTTTGTTTCGCACTTAGATTAACTGAAATGGTGGATTTTAAATATAGCTTAGGCTCATACTGCTTGATTAAGTTAAGTCTATCCGTACAGTACGCATCGTGCGCTGTGTTTACTAAGTGCAATTAAAAATTTTGTTCAATTAGATAGATAGATATCTTTTAATTAGTAAAAAAAATGTATAAAGATATCTTTGAATGAATTTCAGGAAAACTTGCCAAAGAAAAGGTAATTTTTTCGGGTTTTTATACCCTCTGACATTTATTATTGTAACTTTTACTTTTATCCTATATTTTATTTGTCAATCGCCAATCATATGTCATCATTTTTTTGCGAGGGCTGAGTTTTGCTGAGTTAATCTTAATGATCATTATATTTAATCTTCTAACTATATACTTTTATTTATAACAACTTATAAATCATGTCTTGTATTATTAATTCATTGTTTTTTGGGACCATAGTTTTTTCTTCAAACAAATCCACAAAGTACCATACTTCAATAATAATATAAAGCTAAATTTAGATTATTAGCCATACTAGACGGCCAAGATATTTTATTTTATTTTTTAAAAACTTATTATATTAATTATATGACCCAGCAGAGTAATAAAACTCGATAGATGCATTAATAAGTTGTTTTTCTTTCATATTTTGAAGAAAATACCTAGTATATTTTATAACAAAGAAAATATACATAGTAAAAAAACTATTATATTGCATATAAAAATGAGCAAGGTATAGAACAATCAATTATATCCGGTTTAATAGATTAATATGATAACAGATAAAATAACCTTATATCGATTAACTATTGTATTCACACTGGTTTAGAAATGTTTTAGACATATTTTTCTTTATAATAAATATAAAAAGCAATGAAAACTTACCCAATTAATATTGTTTCAGTTAGATTTGTTCTAAAGAGGAATTATTGAAAACAAAAAACGATAATTAATCATGGATCCTATAGGGTAAGAATATTTTTTATTGTTTTTTTTTATGTAATAGTTATTTCAAATAATTTATAATTTTTTCTCTTGTTGTTTCAGAGCTAGCTGTCTTAGTTTATTGTAAGTATAAGAGACCACTATAGTTATTATTGCACTGTTATTATTATAACTAATTTTCCAACAATTTTAAAAATGGATTGTTGGCTATGTTTTAAATAACACATCCCTTGTATATATGAAAATTTGTTATATTTTCTAGCAAGCCCGAAAAGAAATACTCTAGTGATGCAGCTGAAGCTAGATTCGAAGGTACACGGGATGCTGGCATTAGGGAAATGATAGCCAGCTGTAAATCTTTAACAAAATACGAAGCAAGAACATTTAAAAGTCTTCTACCACAAGTAACTGTAGTTAAAATATATCATATATTCCTTCCTGTTATCCAAAATTAGGCTACTTGAAAATACTGGATTATTATTTTATTTTTTATTTGGATAAGTCAAACAAATCAACATAAAAATTATAATTTTTTTATCATTAAAAATTTGAATCTTATTAGAAAAATTTGTGTATATGTTTTAGATTTTGGCATCTCTTTTAGCTGCAAGTTTTCACATTGGAAATGGCATTTCCCTAGCCTACTCTGCAGTTCTAATTTCACAATTGCAATACGAGGAAAGCGAGTTTAAACCAACAAAAACTGAAAATTCTTGGATGGGTACGTAGATATATTTAGTAGACATATAATGGTTTTTGTTTACCTTATTTCAGCCAGTGTTCTGATAGTAATTATACCACCGGCATCCATTGTAAGTGGCCTGATTATGGATAACTTGGGCAGATTAAATTGTATCAAAATAGCGGGTATTCCAGGTGTAATAGGGTGGTCTATGATAGCCCTAGCACAAAATGTCCCTATCATTATTTTTGGGAGATTATTAGTTGGTATTTCTTCAGGTTAATACATTTTTTTTATAATTCGTTTTTATTTGGACTCTATATTAATATTTTGTCTTTTGTAGCGTGGGGTACAAGCCCCGGTATAGTCTACATCACCGAAATAGCAAGTTCGAACTTGAGAATGTCTCTGATGGCTATAGCACCCACTTACGTATCACTAGGTAACATTTTTTACACAAATTATGTAAACCATTGTGGTAGGACGAACAAAAATATTATTTTTCTGACAAAATGGCGAAGGCGCATATTAAAAATTTGAACAACTTTTAAAAAAATTATTTTAATTTATTCTACTCGTAGCTGTATAAAATTACAAAATTCCAAGCTTTGGCTATAATTTGTTATATAACTACAGGGTGTTTTATTTTCGTAATAAAATAAGTAATAATCTTAGTTTCATAAAATGCTGTATCTTTGTATCTCTACTCATAATAAAATTTGAAATTAAAACGTAAAATTATAAATTAAAATTACAGTAAGATAAACAAAATCTTTAGGTATGGTACTAACGTACCTCGGAGGATGGTACCTACACTGGAGACACCTAGCATGGATCTGTAACATCTTTATAATAGTTCCCTGTTTGGTTTGCATGGTCCTGCATGAAAGCCCTTCGTGGTTAATTTTAAAGGGCAAGTACGACCAAGCCAAAAAAAGCCTGGAGTGGATCCACAAATACCAGAAACCTGTCGATGAAGTAAGTTTGGTGCTTTAACTAACATTAAATTATGTAGTTTTACATTTTTATTGTATGTATTTTTAGCAAGTGTCGTTTGCTGAACTTCAATATAAGGTTCTTCAAGAAGAACAACAAAAGAAGAAAGATGAAGCCAAAAAACATGTAGGCAAAGGATTGAAGTTTATAATCCAGCAGTTTGGGAAACCTACAGGCTGGAAACCTCTGGTTATACTGACGGGATTGTTCTTTTTTCAGAATTTTTCTGGGATTTATATTACCATGTTTTACAGTATTAGTTTCATAGAAGTAAGTAAAAAAAGATACAAAGTCTATCCAACATATCTACATGGTATCTACACTTATTGGTAGGGTTTCTATCTGTGTCAATACGGGTTTTTAAGGAAAATATAACCGTAAAATCGACTTAACTTTGTTGAATACTTTAATCGGTACTATCGTCGCATATCTACTAAAGCGACATTGTTCGAAAGTACCCGTATCTGCAGTGGTGTAGCTACCTAGGGGCTAGGCGGGGCAGTGCCCCAGGGCCCTCAAGCTCATGGGGCCCTCGAATCCTTACCAGAAATCTCGATCGAACTGAACTTTTGGAAATTTCTCCCATTTTCAAAATAAATATGACAAGTTGCAGCCCCACTTTAATCATGACAACTCAGTTGAGAAAAATTCAAAAGTTATGCCTAGGAAATTCCCCTAAATTCTTTTTTTTTGAGATTTTCAATAATGTACTAGACACAGTAATATCTCAATTAAATACACGTTTTATTGGTATGAGTGCAGTCTATATGCATATGTGTCATATATTCGATTTTCTAACACCAACAATTTTATTACATGTTGATGAAGCAGCTTTATTTAAAAAATTTATTACAAAAGTAAAAAAAAAATTCCAAAGAAAATATTCAGATATAATAGGCCCTAGTTTTTCACTTCAATTTACTAATGTTTACCACCTAGTTTTATCTCAACTAACTCAATCATGGACTGTTCACCAATTATGTAAGGAAGTAATGAGCAAATATGGAGTGCTAGAATGCGACCTAACGGAAGTATTTACAGCAATGTTATTATTCTTTACAATTCCTGTCACTTCTGCAGCAGCTGAAAGGTGATTTAGCAAATTAAAAATAATAAAAAAATATTTAAGAAATAATAAGGGCCAAACTCGACTCGACATTTATCGCTAATAGCAATAATTGAAAACAAAACCGCATCAAGCCTGGATTTAAACGAAGTCATTGATACTTTTGCGAAAATTAAAGCTAGGAAAAAATTGTAAATATAATTGTTATTTAGTCAGTTGGTAGACCCGACCTTTATAAACCCTTGAATCTTCTCTATTTCGTTTTATTAGCCAAACCTACACCAAGTATTAATTGTAATTTATATTGTTACTGTTTAATATTTTTATTACCTACCCTGCAGTGCACAAAAAAGAGCTTAAGTAGTTAAGCATTTTTAAAGTATTATATCAAATTATATGTATATTTCATATTTTTATTTGATAAAACCTAATCTATTTACATAGCAGTGGGGTCCCATTTTTTAATTTGCCCCAGGGCCCTCGGTTACTTAGCTACACCATTGCGTATCTGGTCAATTTTATATAGATTGTAGATTATGTAGGATTGTTTATTGGTTCCAACTGTGGTTCCAACGGATTTCTGACTTCCGCGATTTTCCCGGATTTTTTTGGTCCGGGCGCCGCGCCGGACTGTTCCGGCCGGAATTTGAAGGAAAACTATATGTATGCAGTACAAATCTTAGTACTGCTCACAAAGATAAAAGAATAATTAACACTTTTTCAACTGTCTTTAATTTTTCTTTTAAAGTAAAGTCTGTCCAGTCTGTCCAACGAGTCGGAGAAGAATATCATCTAAACACAATGACAGAAAATTAAATTTGTCTGTGAATTAAAATGACAGAAGCAACTCTCACCGTCCGTCGCGTCGTCGCGTCGCATGTATTCTCTCGATAGACAAACTTTACAAGCCTTAATATTGTATGGAAACCCTAAAGTTGTTGGATAGATACAAAAATAATAAAAAAATAAAGCAAATACATAGTAATAATAATATGTCTCTAAGTTTTTTAATTAATTCTTTATTGATATTTTTAGGAAGCCCATACGAACATAAATCCATATTTAGCTTCGATTTTGATCGGTGCAGTCCGTTTAGTCATGTCCATCGCCAGTATTTATATTTTAAAAAAGTTCAGAAGAAGGTCGCTGATTTTTGCTAGTACCATTTTAATGGCTATATTTATGTTTATAGCGGGAACGTGGACAAGATGGATAAAAGAAGGTATGTACAACGTAGACTTTTTGTTACTAAATAAAATTAATATTCAAAAATCACAAATAATAAAAATATACTATATTAACCCTGGAATACACGCAGTGTCTTATAATATAAAAATGGACATTACAGGAGTCTCGTAGGGTACTCATTTTTTCGGACAAAATTCAGACGATTTCTAGGTACCATCTTGACCTTTTTTATCGATGAACATCAGATCTGATTAACATAAAAAGAAAATATTATTTTTAATTGGTAATTTAGAGCCACTGGTGAAAATTGAAGAAAATATTCCTCATCGAAAAGAGCCTTTTAACGTTCAAAATACATGTACTAAATTTCATAAAAATATCTGGAGAAGTTCAGATGATAAGAGAAAAAACCATTTTTTTTGGGAAATTTTGACACCCGCTAAGCATTTTAGAACACATTTATACGAGCTTTTTATCTTAAAAATACTTAAAAATACACCCTGTAAAATATCGGACTTTTGTTCAGAAACACCGTGTATATTTATCGGTATAGTTTGTCCAGCGAGAGAGTATACCTTATTGACAGTAACAATCGTTATTGTCATTTTAATTCGCGAGTTATTTTCAAGGGAACTTTTAAACAGATTGCAATAATTATTTAAAATGCATTTTTTTCTTTTTCTTTTAGGCACAACAGAATTGTTATGGGTACCGGTTATAGCACTGTTATTCTATGTAGTTGCAAGTACTATAGGACTGCTCCCCATACCGACTATGCTAATCGCTGAATTTTTCCCATTGGAAATCAGAGGAATTGGATACTCTATTAGTTACAGTATTTTTTGTATACTCATGTTTATAGCTCTACAGACTTACTACACCATGAGCGACTTTTTCGGTGGGGCTAGCAATTTACAGTTATTTTTTGGAGCTATCTGCGTGGGCGGTTGCATATATTCGTACTGTTTTTTGCCGGAAACTTTCGGCATGAAATTAATAGATATCACCGATTATTTTAAAACAAAGTTTATTTATATTGGACATTCTGAAAAGGGAATAAATCAGGAAGAAAATACTGTACGCGATCCGATGTTGGATGGCAATGGAAACAGTGATAAACGTGAAAACGTATAGAGTTAGTTTGTTAAACAGAAAAAACTATTTTTAAGTTATTTTTGTATTAAGACAATAATGTTCCTTTTGTTTGTACTTAAGCTGACTTGATTTAAGTAAGAAAGTTGATTAAATATATATTTCTGTATAAAATAAAAAGATATTTTTTTAATGGTGCTACGACAGGGTGCTACAAATTCGGGGCACGAGCATTGGTATCTCGGAAACCGTAATAGATACGAGGATGGTTAAATTGGGGCAAAGTTGCGCCTTGGGATGTTCACCAAGAGCCATCAAAAAAGTTTTAAAAACTTTAAGGATTGCTGAGTTTTTTGAAAAAAACGGATTTTTTTGAAAATTAATTTTTTTTTGTCGTTACTTTTTAGAAAATCAAAAAACTAACTGCATGTTCTCATAGCAACTTTATTAGGGCTATCTGATAGTATGTTTAGATTTTCAAATTAGCTGATAATTTGTGAGATACAGAAGCCAACCTAATGTTTTTTAAACACGGACCTGCATTTTTTATTTCAGGTTTTGAAAGAAGTCGGTCTCCCAGGTCATCCCAGTCAAAATATTCCTTTTTAGAAGGCAGTTTTTGCACCAAAATCGACGGGTTTTCTTTTTTTCTTTTTGTTTAAGCAGAATAACGAACATCGCAAGAGCTAGCGCGTCTTCTTCGTCCATTTTTACCTACTAAAACCCTTGTATATCTAAAACTATTCAAGTACGCTTTTGTATTGTGTGGAGTCAATGCAAACTTGTACAAGTACAGTTTGACAAATATAGGAAGAGACTTGGGGATAGCACCGGTCGCGCACACGATAGAGAGAGAACGCATTCGGCGGAAGAGATGCAGTTACGCTACGAGAAATCTGATTAAAGTAAATTTGTGGGCTGTCCACTGCGCATCGAGGAGCGTTTCTTATTTTATATTTCTCACGTCTCTAGCTATAGTTGTTAAGTTGTACGCTTGCACAAGTACACTTGTCAAGTATGCATGAACGTCTGTAGCCGCCTTTAATTGATCATTCGAGTCTTTTTTTTTTGAAAAGGAGAAAACGGCTACTGCAGGGTTGTCAGATTGGGCTACTTCAAAAATCATTTTGGGACACATTTTATCTTTCTGCGACTAGTCGCAGATTGGGCGATTCTCAAAAATTTTCTGGGATTTTTTGGGCTACAAAGGAAATATATTTTATGTTGGCTTCTTCTTCTTCGAAAGTTGAAGTGGCCTATTGTTGCTTGGAGCAATTGCATAAACGGCCAAACAAAGTACCTCAACACCGAGACGTATGCCGATGCTTATGATCTTCATCTTAGGCATAAAAAAAACTTTAGCCATAAAATACCTATATCAAAGAGCCAAAGAATCACCCCCTTTCCTATGCCCTCCTATGCCCCTTTCGTTTGTATATGATATTAAGGCACTGCATATTAATCTAAATATGCTGTTCAATGATCATAATATTATATTAACCAAAATTTATTAATTATTTCTCTTTAGTTATTCCATTTCCTTTTACCCCACTTTTCAAAACAGGTTTTTTACTGCTTTCTGGCAAAATCTGCGACTTTGGGCTATATCTTAACACCTGCCTTTTAATAAAGTCACAAAGAAAAAAAAACGATAAAAGAGTAATGTATTATTTTTGATCTGCGATTTTGGGCTATTTTCAAGGTTTGGCAAAATCTGCGACATTGGACTATCTTCAAACTATGGACAGAGATAACTGTTGTCGCTGCTATGGAGTCTAAAAGTTTGAGTTCTGCGACACGCCTCAAATTTCATCTGGCAACCCTGGGTAAACAACCCTTTACGCCAATAATTGGCCAACAACATGCGCCCGCCAAAACCAAACAAAAATCAAGCGCTGGTATTGGAGCGCCAAGCGATGGCCAAGCGCCACGAGCATAAGTGGTCCAAAGCTTTTTTGTTTTTGTATCATGGTCCGAAGACGATCAAACATTTCTAGAAATCGAGATTTCAATTATTAAAGATATAAATTTTTGATAAAATTAGTATAAGTCCGCGACATCTATCTTAGATTTATCGAACAAAAACATACCAATTTATCTCCATTCAGATATCTGTAAATTGAATTTCTGATATATTGGAATTAATAGATAATATATACTGTTTATATTAATGTTTAGAGTAAAAACATATGCACGACTTCACCGGAAAATCAATAGGAAAGCTAATAAATAAAGACACCCTATACGATATAAAAAAAAACATTAGCATGATCTTCCGACACCCTCAACAACCAGCACCACATTTTACAGGTAACTTTACCCCACTCCCAACACAGTAGTTTATCGGATTGTCACACAGGTGACTCTCGCCTAAAACATGGCGGTTATGACGTCACTTGTTCGGCTCCGTAATCGTTACGAAAAGTAGGTACCGGAATCGCCGCACCCACGACCGAAATTTGCGTCGGGAAAATCGGGAAAAACGGTGTGGAATAGTTGCTGAGCGGTACGATCTGCATCTATGGACCCGCTAGTGTAGGAACCTTAATGAATAGTGCACGGATTGATCGAGTACTGTATGCACATCCCTCGATGGATTCGTGATCGAGTGAATACCGTAGGATAGTTTGGAAAAGGCGCGTGAAACAGGAGTTTGGAACAGGAAATTCGTAAGTTCCGTGCCTTAATATCTTTAAGCGATCTAAGTTCTATCGAAGTGGGCCGTGGAAGTTTGCAAAACTCGTCCTGGAAACGTTCATTTGTTAGAAACAAGTTCGTCCAGCAGGTGCAATGACTGTCATGGCGTCCCCTTTCTTGAGAACTGTCATTTTATGATTATTTCACGGTTTTTTTACGTTTTTATCATCAATCACAGGAAATCTAATCGAATATACATAAATATTTGCATTAGTTCATCCAGAAGTAATGTCAATATAGTTCCTTTCCGGACAAGATGTCTGGATTTTGTCATTTTTTTATTATAGGTGTGTCTCAAAAAACTTAATAGTTTGGATGGTGGACTGTTTGGAAGAGTTTGCAATTCATTTTTATCCTTGTTTATATTTTAATAAGTTTGGTGTTGATTAAATTGCCCCCATAATGTTTTTAATTGACTTCTTTTTTTTTGTTTGAGTCTTTTCATAATGTATATGGCGCCTAAAATTTGTTTTTGCAAAATTTATTATGTCCCCTGTAGGGGCTGTAGGTAATTGAGGATTTTTCACTGTTAAATCCGTATTTTTTATTGATTTGTACTATAAATGATTGACAGGTATTCTATTCTTGTAAAAGGTACTTTAGAGATAGTATCATTTATACCTACCTACATATATTACATATTTTAATTTGCTATCATTTATAGGTTTTTGGAATCTAAAACTACTTAAAAAATATTTATAATCTCGAATTGAATATCTAGGTGTTTAAATCAGTCAAGGATTAAGATTTATATGTCACTATTTAAGTGTTTACAAATAAAATACACATAGGTACCTATCTCTAAAAATAAAAAAAAATCACAGATAATGTAATTTTCTAAGTAATATAAGTTTGATTATTTTTTGTTGAAAAACTTTTAATGTTTTTTTGGCAGGTTTTTGTTCGTAAAGGGCCACAAGCAGAATGAATGAACTAGACACTTTGAGACAGGAAGCTGAGGCACTTAAAAATGCCATCAGGGTGAGTTAAATAATTTAAAATTATATTGAAACTATTTTAGTTAGAAAGAAACATGTATGTCTATAAAATTTTAAAAATAAATATTTAAACTATGTACTTAGATTGTTATCAGTAAAGCTTTTTATACCTTTGTACAGGATGTGGCATATTAAAATTATTATTTATAAAATAAACTTGTAGGTATTTTATTATTGTTTGTAGTAGTGCAACAGGATATCATGTTAAAAGCATATGTTTTCCATACATTTATGTCTGATTTCCTGTATTTTTTTTGTGCAATGATTAAAGAATACAAGGACCAGTAACACCAGAAACCATATTGTTACCATTTGATTATTTTTATTAAATTGTGAGGTTTACAAGATTTTAATTAGTACTGACTGTTAGTGTGATTTATTAGACTTATTTAGTAATGAATAATTTTTTTATTTATATTTTTGATTAAAGTTTCCTCTACGCCTATGGTGGATGCCGCTTTTTTAGATGATTTTATTTAAATTATTTAAAGAAAAATGTATTAAAACTTTCACAAAAAAGGTACAGAAATAGTATGGAATTGTGCTCAATATGTAGCCCATATCAGAAAAATAATTATCAAATTCAAAAAAAAATCTAAAAAGGTTGAGTGAAACATAATGAAACATAATTCACCATTGTAATAAAGTTTATTTAAAGTTCACTACACACAAAAAACTATTAAAAATCGCTATCATAGTACCTGGTGTCACCTCCGTTTTTTGACGAAAAAAATTACATCCTTGTAATTTAAAATCACAGAATTTTCTTTAGTATTCTTTAGCCACTGCCTATGCCTGATTTCCTGTAATGTTTGTATTTTTAATTTATATTTCCCGCAATTTTCTACTAATTTTTTCGAATATTTACAGGACGCTCGCAAGGCAGCGGCGGATACGAATCTGGCCACTGCCACGGCCTCCCTTGAACCCATCGGCAGGGTACAAATGAGGACACGTCGCACCCTCAGGGGTCATCTAGCTAAAATCTACGCCATGCACTGGGGTTCGGACAGTAGGAACCTCGTGTCCGCCTCGCAGGACGGCAAACTTATTGTATGGGACAGTCACACAACCAACAAGGTTCGTTTTCTGTCATATAGATATAGAGAAACCAGTAAAAGTAGGCCTGCAAGTCATAAAACTTGTTAATTTGCTTAAGGTTTGCATTTTTTATTGAAAACATATAATTTTTCAGCCGAAAATAAGTTTATAAACTGGGAGCACAATCTCACAAAAAGTGGAGACTATTTTTAATCAATCAGGGCTCTTCTAATCAATCAGAAAGATTTTTCATTGAGAAAACTTGCTAATAACTTCATTTAATTTGAATTTCTTTGTGTAATAATCATAGACAAAGTAAAAATGTGGATATAAAAAATATTTCTATATATCTATGTATATGTGCCTAAAACTGAAGTAAACAATCGCTGTCAAAATTACCCATTTTATTTGACACTTCTTGTCAGAAAAGTCAGAGTAAAAATGGCAGTAAAACCTTATGATCTAGTAGTAAAACACACTGCAACATGTATTTGTCAAGTATTTTGATGACACGCGCGCCGACTTATATTGGTTGTACTATGCGTATATAGGGTGTCCTAAAAATAATAATAAATAATTTTAGGTCCACGCCATTCCTCTTAGATCATCGTGGGTAATGACCTGTGCATACGCACCTTCAGGATCATACGTAGCCTGTGGAGGTTTAGATAACATTTGCTCGATATATAGCCTCAAAACTAGAGAAGGTAAATCGAAGATATTTTTATATTATATTTCTAAAATTAATTAATGTAATTTTTTTAAGGCAATGTGAGAGTCAGTCGGGAATTACCGGGTCATACCGGTTACCTATCCTGTTGCCGGTTCCTGGACGATAACCAAATTGTGACCAGTTCAGGAGACATGTCCTGCGCATTGTGGGACATTGAAACCGGTCAGCAAGTTACCAGTTTTCTTGGACACACTGGGGACGTTATGTCTCTGTCACTAGCACCAGATATGCGTACTTTTGTATCAGGTAAATACCCGTGTAATAAAAAAAGGCGTCAAAGACGGCTGAGGGACTGACGAGCGATGATAGACGTCATTTACGCTAAAAATTGACAAACTTGTTTAAAAAATGATAGAAGTTTAAAACTTGCTTGACCTCGACGAAATTATCATCGATTGTCGTTCCGCAGCCTTCTATGACGCTGTTTTTTTTTAGATCTTGGTATTTAAGTCTGTGAGAAGTTAGACTATGAAATCTGATGTAAGGATAGATGTAAAAATGGTTCGTTAATTTTTTAGGTGCGTGCGATGCCTCCGCAAAATTATGGGACATTAGGGAAGGCATGTGCAAACAGACGTTCCCTGGACACGAGTCCGACATCAACGCAGTGACGTTCTTCCCTAACGGGTTCGCTTTTGCGACGGGTAGCGACGATGCCACTTGCCGTCTCTTTGACATTAGGTAAGATATACCGAGTTACTAAAAAAACTGTATATTAACGTTAATTTGAGGTTAATTTACTATAGTAAAAAATGTACTAAACCTAGTACAAAAAAATTAGGTAATCACATCCCTTGGATTAACAGGTATGTGCAGGTCGACCTTAAACCGCATTATCTCTTTTGAATCCGATTCTAATCAGGGATATGTGCTGGTCATTTTATGCTATAGACATATCAGTATATTATATTAATGTTCTTTTTTTCTGTGATTTTCAGGGCTGACCAAGAGTTGGCGATGTACAGCCACGACAACATAATCTGTGGTATCACTAGCGTAGCGTTCAGTAAATCTGGCCGATTGCTGTTGGCCGGTTACGACGATTTTAACTGTAACGTGTGGGATTCCATGAAAACAGAAAGAGCCGGTAAGTTATCTACTATCGAAATAAAACGGCGTCGAGTCCGCTTTGAAATGACAAAATTGTACGTTTCCCATTTGTAATTCTACATATAAAACGACAACGATCTTCGGTTTCTTTGTCGTTACTCTGTATAGATTGACGATCTATCATGTCAATGTCAAAGACAGTGACATTGACAGTTAACATTTAATCTACTAAAAATACTATTTATTTAAAGATTTTCTATATAGTGGCTCTAGTATATTATAATTCGCCATGTATCTATTATTGAAAATTAATTATCTATTATTATTAATAATAGATAATTACTATATTGATCTGTTGTTGATTGATTAATAATAGATAATTACTATATTGATCTGTATATAATTCAATATTGATCTGTTGGAGCACAACACTGTTAGCCAGGAATATCTGAGTAACTTTCTGGAGGATGGCTATATGCCTTGTTTCCAGGGAGTAACAAGGCCAGCAGAATGTAATCAGGAAGGAACCTGCATTGATAATTTTTTCTTTAAAACAAACACTATAGCATATAAAGCAATTAAAATTACTCAAACTTTTACAGATCATTATCCACTATTTGTTAATATAGATACAACTCTAATGAATAAAGAAAGTAATTATAACCCAAATAGAATAAATTATAAAAAACTTAAAAATGTAGCTAATAAAATAAATTGGAATAATTTTTTGTTGGAAGATCCTAATGTGAGCATTGACTTAATAATTGAAAATATACAAAATTGTATATGTAAATCAAAAGAAAGTAAAAAAACAAATAAAAATGGCAAAAAATTGCCTAGAAAAAATTGGATTACAAAAGGAATAATAATATCATGCAATAAAAAAGAACATCTTTACAACTTGTGGAAACTAGATAAAAAAAATGAACAACTAAAAAAAGATTATAAAACTTACATAAAAATACTTGATAAAGTTATAAAAGATGCTAAAGTTAAACATGAAAAAAAACTGGTTGAAGCAAATTGTAATAATCCAAAAAATCTCTGGAAAATAATAAATAATAAAATAGGAAAAAGAAAAAAAGAAAATAACAAAATAGAACATATTATAGATGACAATAATACAAAAATAACAAACGCGGAACACATAGCTGAAGCTATGAATGGTTATTTCAGTGAGATCGGTGACATATTAAGTAAAAAAATTCAAAAATTCTCAGATGAAAAAATAAATCTTCCACCAATGAATCCAAAAACTATTTTTCTTAAACCAACTAGCACAGACGAAATTAAAACAATAATAAATAATTTAAAAAATAAATCGGGTGGGGTAGATAATATCCATGCTACTACACTAAAAGTGTTGTCTGAGAATATTGCAGAACCATTAATGCATGTTTTTAATAAATGCATTGAATTTTCTTTTTGGCCGGATTCCTTGAAAAGTGCAGAAATAGTTCCCATATATAAGGCAAATGAGAAAAATAAAACACATAATTATAGGCCCATCTCTTTAATTTCAAACATTGCAAAAATTCTTGAAAAAATAATCCATAGTAGGTTATATAACTTTATAATAAATAACAAAATAATCTCAGAGAATCAATATGGTTTTCTTAAGAATATGGGAACTAGAGATGCATTTTCAAACATAACGAATATAGTTTATAATAATCTGGATAAAGGAATCCCAATAATTGTAGCTTTCCTAGATTTGGCTAAAGCTTTTGACACGGTCAATCACAGGTTGCTATTAGATAAATTATATCAGTATGGGATAAGGGGAAGTGCACATAGATTGTTAAATAGTTATCTAAACAACAGAAAACAGAGAGTTAAAGTCAATCATACTATAAGTTCTTATCGAGAGGTAAAAGTAGGAGTTCCACAAGGTACAATACTTGGACCCCTTTTGTTTATAATTTATGTGAATGACATCTTGGAGTCTTTATCAAAAAATACAATAATGTCATATGCAGATGACACAGCAGTTATTTCTGCAGCAAAAACTTGGGAGGAAACAATAAAAAACATGAATCTTTATTTGGAGAAAATTTCAAGATTGTTAGCATTGAATAAGTTGTCATTGAATATAGATAAAACTGTTTTTATCACCTTTGGAAATTACTGTGATAGTGTGCCAGACCGGGTAGAAATAAAAATTAATAATAAGTGCCTAAAACGTGTAAATAGTTATAAATATTTGGGCGTAATTTTTGATTATAGACTTAGCTGGGCTGAGCACATAAATCATGTTATAGGCAAAACAAAATACTTAACAATAATTTTTTATAAACTAAAACAAATTATGACCACTAAAACACTAATGTTAATTTACTATGCTTTTTTCCATAGTGTTGTAAGCTATGGAATTATAGCATGGGGAGGTGCTTATATGAATAACTTGAATGTTGTGAATAATCTACAGAAAAAATTAATAAAAATGATCAGTAAAAACACTTTATTTACAACAAACTTACCACTTAATTTAGAACAACTTTTTTCTTTAGAATCTTTAATTTATCACTACAATAGTCTTAAAACAATATATTTACAATCAGAAAGTATAACAAGAAACAAAAGTATACCGTTACCCAAAATGATTAAAAGAGTAAGCAATAAAAATAATTATAATTTAGCAATAAAATTATATAATAGGTTACCAAATGAGTTAAAATCACTAACAGCATCAAAACATAATATTAAAACTAAAATAAAAAATTGGGTTAGAATTAATGTTTGATTTAAAAGATAATTATGTTATAGAATTTTTTTTTATGGTTTTTATGGTTCATGAGTCATATAACAAGTGAATACAGCAATCCCGCTGTTATCATTTGTAGTCATGTTTGGCACACTAGGTTAGGTTAGTATTAATTATTGTTGTTATGTATTAGTAGTTTGTTAATTATTATATAGGTACATCCAGCCCTACACACAGATAATTTATTTATCTCTGTAGGAGTTACAATGTAGTATTATTATTTTGTAATTTTTGTTTCTGGAAATAAATTATTATTATTATTATTAATCTATTATTAAAAAAGTGTAAGAATCTCACAGCTTTGGCAAGACCAAGGCCCTTCAAGACTAAACATGCTTTCAAGACTCTTGCAATTTTTTTTTCACGTTTAAATGACATAAGAAATTATTTATTAATCTAAACTTATTTTAATTTATTACGATTTTTTTTCTCGACTTTTACATAAAATTTTTAAAACTTGTTAATTTTTATTCGGCACCTTCGCCATTTCGTCATAAAGAAATTACATAAAATCAATGCTAATATTGCTGATATAAAATACTCAGTTTACAGTCCTTTTTTTAACGACAAGAACATAAATGTCAGTGGATTATATACAGAATGTTTAAAAAAAACAGTTTATAATTTTTTTTCGGTCTAGTTTAGATAAAAAAGTTTCTTTTTAAGTTAAAGCATTTCAGTGACAGTTTTGACAGTTTCTATTATTTGTTTTAGGTATCCTGGCCGGCCACGATAACCGAGTGAGCTGTTTAGGAGTGACAGAGAACGGAATGGCGGTCGGAACGGGTTCCTGGGACAGTTTTCTGCGCATTTGGAACTAAAAAGCAGAGAAAAACCCTAAAAAATGAACACAAAGGCAAAATTTCCGTTACAATCTCACCTACATCACGCCGCAGTGATTTTTTCATTTATTTTTTACATTTCTGTTTCATTTTGTTCACACAAAAAAACATTTTTGCCATATATATCGACACAGGAAAAATTAAAAACGATAAATATTGCATTTTTACTACTATAACTTTATTATATTGTAACTATATATTTTGTAAGGCTCCCTATCTCCTCTATATATTACGTGTATAGTATTTTTTATTTAATTTTCTTTTTTTTTTCGATTTTGTAACGCTCCCAGACCCCCGCCTGTGCTTAGAAAAATTAAAAAAAATATTTTTGTAGATTTTTTTTCGCTCTACATTATTATAAATATAATTGTAAGGTTAGGTTTTTAAGTTATTATTATTATTATTATTGTTTCTTTGTGATTATTTTTCCAAAAAAAAACGATGCTTATAGGCCTGTACGTGTTTGTATATTAGTGACATTATTTATTTAAGTGTTTAAAACAAAATGTTTAGAATTAAATAAAAAGGCGATATGATTTATTTTGGTTGTATTTATTTTTTTTTTCTATTTGAATCACTCTGTAGTGATGTGGGTGAGACAAAGTAACTAAGAATTATTTTGTTTTGCGTCGAACTGTATATCAGAAAAATCTTTTTTTTTTCTTCGGTTTTTGTCATAGTACAAACAAAAAAAAATCATCTAAAGAAAAGACCAAATAGGTTTATGCAACAGAACGTTGATTTTTTTCTTAAAACTAAAGTTCGAATATACGGGGTGTTCCTCAATAAGTGTCAGGGAGTGATTTTTCAAGTATTTTTACATAGAAACACGCGTCGTGCATTGAGAATCAACATTGGATGCATTGATTAGAAATAACCTGTATTCATTATGAAAAAGAGCTCTTTTTCAACTTTAGACACCCTGTTTGACAAAATATTAATTGAACACTTATTCAGAAACATCCTGTATTTAAAACAAAAAAAACAGAATTTTCTGTTTGTACTAATCTTGTGGAATACGATGTTGCCATTACGTGAAAACGATGTTGCTATTACGTGCATTTCTCCATAAATTAGATTAGTATGAAATTATTGGCTTTCGATCTGTTTCAAATTAGCTATGGTCTGTTTCACGAAAGATGTCTATAGAATAGTGTTAATTCAAGGGATGGTATTACCTTAAAAATTGTATTAGATTTAGTACATTTTTTAATAATTCATGTTAGAAATGTACTGAACCTAATCCAAAAATTTACCGTGTCATCTCTCGTGAACCTGATTCTAGTCGAAAAGGATAACCAGAGATAAGTGGTGGTTATTTTGTGCCATAGATATAGGCGCTTGTTACTATTGAAAGTAAAAAACTGACCAACAAAAATTCGGCAGAACGACTTCTAAACATATAAACAAAAAATAAAACGTGTAATACTGCCGCGCCATTTTGAAAAAAAAACACTGGCGTCTATGCGTATTTAAATAAAATTTAATTATTGTAAGAGAACCACTTTTCAAACTCTTTTTTTATCGAATAATAATGCATTTTGTTATTTTATCTATAGCTATTGACAGAGAGGATACGTTTTTTTTACGTGACATTAAATTTTATATTGGAGACTTGGAACAAAAATATTATCAGAAGATGTACTTTTCGATATCCCCCGTATTTTTTCTTCAATAATTGATGAAACGTCCTAACATATAGTCTCCAGTATAAAGAAATACCATGCGATCGAAAAAAAGGTGTCATAATTGGCTTAGAAATGGAAATCATTTTCTATCGTCGTTTCTAAGCTAATTTGCCGTCGTTCTTTTTCGATCGCACGGTATATGTATACAGGGTTATTTAAATATGTATCCAACCATCAGGAAGTGAATTTTTGAATGATTTTAAGGCTTAAAATCATACAAAAAGGTCGCTCATGTTTGGCTGATGTGTACCTAAATAACACCCTGTGTATTGTATGTAATTTAAAAAGTCTGTGGGTATAAAACAGTGGGTAACATATCCTACAAGTACTATAGCTTTTTGCTTAAAAAATACCGAATTTTGCGTTATATTTTCGATCCAATAAACTGTCAAAACTACACAAATACACGGTCTTTTTTACATAGCACACTCGATTTTTTTTAAAAATAAAGTGTAACTCTATATAGAAGCTCTTTTTTATATGTACGTAAAAGTAAGATAAACCTTTTTTTATTTTTGTTTTCAACTTTATCCCAAAATTTTACTAATATAAAAGGCAGCTTCTCGAAAAAAAAAACATCCCCTTAAAATGTAAGTGTATAATTTTTTAAAACTACTTAATATATAGGACGATAAGGAAAACCAAGTATGTTAAGTATGTACATGTATATATGAGTAAAAGCAAAACAAGGGTTGGGAACATGGATGGGTTTTGTACTGTAAGAATTCGAGAATAACAAATACGAAATTGGTTGGTGGTTTTAAAATTAATGTAATTCGTTTGAATTTGACATTCTCGACGAGAAAATCAACCAAGTTCAACCGATTTCAACCGAATTTTGGGCTCAAAAACCATTGATCGATCCTGTATTGACAGTACCCTTTTTTCTAGGTACTGTTCTCGATTTTTCGAACCACCCCGGTACTATATCAAGCAAATCGTTTTTTCCACACTACGAAAACAAACTATACGTTGTTTTTTTAGAGCGGACGACCCCTATGAGCTTTGTGAATGTGTGTTTTTTATAAACTTAGGAAACAAAAATTGTCCCACAAGAACAAAAACATTAATATTAACGTCTGACCTACTAAACGCTGTTTTTTCGATATATTTGAGCACAAATAATGCATGTAGCTATATATATACTTTCTTTTGTCCCCTGTACACAGAACGTTTCCTTGAAACGATGCGTTTTAATACGTTTTTGAGGCTCTCCCGAAATATGTACTGTAAGATCGAAAAAAACGGAATCAAGGTAGGCTGAGGAATGACAGTCGATAATAATTTTGGCGAGGTCAAGCCCTAGACATAATCTACTTGATCCGTAGTCTTTAATTGTTTAATAGCTCTTACTTCTATCATTTTTTAATCTTTTTATACTTAGAGTTAATTTTTGACTAGTTTTATGTCATTTTTTAGTAGTAGAGATTGACCTCAACAAAATTATCATCGATTGTCGTTCCCTAGCCGTCTATGACGCCGGTTTTCTTTCGACCATACGATATATACGCGGTTGTTGTCAAAAAATCACACAAAACAGTATAATGCTGACCAAATAAGTATGTCAGAAAAAAAGAAACATACCAAAAGTACCTACCATATTAATACCAGATAACAATTTAAAAATAATACGGTGACCGAAATGTCAAAAATATATATAGGGAGTTGAAATAATAAGGCGTATAAGGAACAGCACGAAAATAGGCAAGAATTTAAGACTAATGCCTTTTTGTTTTTCGTTATGTTGTGCTCTTTCTATATATTTGTTTATAATATCATTAAATTTAAGGAGATATAATTATAAACGCGTTATTTTAAGACCTATAAAAGGTTTTAAAGTAAAGCCGCGGTAATTTTTCAGGAACTATGTAGGTTTTAGAATTATATTGTCTTTTTTTATTGTTACCGATCAAAAAAAGAAAAATGCAGTAAAATTGAAGATGTGTCTCGTATGATATAGCATTATATGTAATAATAATACAATGTAAAACTACAAATAAAAGTAATAAAAAGGGATTAATCGTTTTTTACTTCTTCCTTTGCGAGGGTTTATCACACATAAAAAATCCTATAGTCCTTTTAATGAAACATGACTATACAACAAAAACGTACTGAATACAGTAAAATTTTTAGGCAATCACATCCCTTTGATTAACCTTTAATTAACCTTTTTTTTACAAATAAAAGCCATAAAATTGATTGATGTTTCTTTATTTCTCTTTTCTGAAGGTTTTAAAATTAAATAAAATAATCATTTGTATTACCCCATATATTTAAAACTTAATCCATTAAATTTGTATATATAAGCTAAAATAAGTTTATAATAAAGAGTGACATAAAATATACAGTGCAAATTATAACTATATAATATATTTTCTGTTTTTGAATAAGGAAAAAAATATTACTTGCCTATAAAGTAGTTTATATCAGTTCTAGTTTATGCTGAGAAATCATATTTTTATTCTATACATATAAACGTGTTATTTTATCAACCGATATCAGCAAATTATGTATTATTTACCCTGTTATTTAATTCTTTAATGATTTTCGAATATTATCAAATAAAAAACACCCAATATAAATTTTACAGTCCTTTTAACGAAAGTACTTTTAAAAATGTACTAAATACTGTACAATTTTTCTAGGTAATCAAATCCCTTGAGTTAACTTTTACTTGAAATGTACAATCGTAACATTGTTTTTATTATTGGTATTATAAAACCAACGATTCAAATATTCTAAAAATATTAAAACTATATAAACATTTTAGGTAATCTAACATGTTTTGAAAGCTGTGGTTTATTAAAGGTACATTTTGACCATGACTCTCGTGAAATAGACTGTATATAATTAAATGAATAAAAAGTCCCATAATATGATGTTAACTTTTTCTGTAACACTGTATATATAGATAAAAAAAAAATATTTGTAAAAATTAAAACAAAAAAAAATTGCCATATTTTAAAGATTCTCCTGGACATATACAAGACTTGATTTAATCTACTGGGTGGGCGAAAATTCTGTGGGCACCATTACCCTACAGTGCATCTCTCTAATTAAGGGTACAGTATATGCAACACACTCGTCCCATCCAGGTGATCTCCAGGCACTCTCCCTGGTTTCTTTCCTTTTGTTTAAATTTTCGTAACCTTTAAGAAGAATACATGTAGTCAAAAGTGTACAGTACAATCGAAAAAAAAATCGCGTCACAGGCTTCTTCGACGCCGTTTTTTTTCGATCGTGCGGTATTAATAACGTCAAAATCTTACACCAAATGTGATGCACGTTGTACAGTCTTCCGATTTGTGAGAAAAATCCAGCAAAAGCTTCGTCGTTATTTTTTCTAAAGTTGATGGCCCTGGCCCAATTATTGCCCCATTCGATCATGGTTCCTTTAAAACAAAAAATTGTGTTAAATACTACTATGACGCCTTTTTTTTTAAAAAAAAACGTACCTGGTTTAAGTGCGTAACTACGGATCTCGTAGACGTTTTTGGGCTGTCTCAAGACTATTTGAGGCCAGTAACTAAAAGCCAATAAATACTGTAAATGTCTGGCCCTGATAAGTTTGCCTTCTTCTTGTCTCAGTTTCTGATAGTCCTAGAAAATTTTGTTTCGTCAACTAAAAAATTAATCAACCCCCTTTCAAGGAACTTGTTACCAGTTGACACCAAATAACATTGGTGCCAAGTGGTAACAATCTTCTTCCCAGTGTTATCCTTCCTTTAATCACTTTATTATTATGTTTTTTATTTTTTTAAATACTAACCCCATTTGTATCAGTCAATTCATTGAATTTATCAATTTGCTGAAAACCTCCTACAAATTTCCATAAGTGAATAGCCTGATCCTGATCACCAACGTTCACAGTCCAACTTCCAACCAGTTGTACGTTTTTATTCAGACTATCCTGTGAACTTACCCAACCCACAATATTGTTTCTAAAACATAATAAAGAGGTTTAAAACTGCAAAATTCTACCGTTTTTTAAGTTCTTACACATTATTTAGATAGTTTTTTTTCGAGTCCGCCCTGTAATTGTGAGTTTGCAGGGCGTAGATCACCTCTTTGTCGCTTAGCATACGACTGTGACTTTCCTTGGTGGGTTCGATTTTTCTGACGAAAATTTTCGATAGCCAGGCATCGTTTTTAGCGCTGGATGTTGAAATATTCCTAAAATAAAAGGTATTTTTAGGTCCAATGACCCGGCAACAACATTAAACTATGTATAACGATTTATTTTACCCAAATTCTTACCTTAAATTTTGAGGAATCGCGTTGAAACACTTCAACGAGTTGGCCATGGTTCTTGCAACACTCGTTTGTTATTTTTCTAGCCAGTTTTTTGATTATTTTTGAGTATTTTTAAGTACGAAAACAACACGTATCAAGTTACGTATACATGCGGTTTCGAACGATCTGTTTTTTTATCAGCCAATCAACACGAAACATTAACCAACGATAGCTTCTTATCTGTTCTATTTAACTTATATCGTATATATTCAATAATAAAACAATAAAAATTCCTCTGGGAATAGCAAAAATGTTTTTAAAAATTTATATTATATCAAAATATATTACAAAGTCGTTTGAGAACCGCCATGTTTTCAGCAAGTGTTTAACTCTGGTCAGCTGATTTTGACAGTTCGAAATTACGAACTCAGAGATATAGAGGTAATCAGAATGGGCTTCGACGAGTGCGTATCGATAAATTTTCTTACAGCTGAGATCGATAATTAATTACATCGTCTATTGTGAGCTGCTGTGTGTTTGATTCTTCTTCAGGCAGCCTGCTGGCCTGCTGTCCAGCAGCTGTTCATATTCACTAAATCTTTCTTATGGTGTGTTTGTGTTAACTCTTACTCTAGTTGCAATTTTATTGGTTTCCTAATTAATTTTAGTCTTTCTAAAGCTTTAGCTATAGTTAGCTGACCCTGCGGCCCTGCGGGCCACCATTTACCCAGGTGGCTTAGTTTAATTTTTTAGTAACTATCGATATGACATCATTCAGGCTCATTCCTACCCCTATATCTCCGAGAAAAAATCAGCGTTTATCTTCATTTGACATATATCAGCTGGGGGTGGGGAAATGTCAGATTTAGAGGTTATATTTATTTATTTTTGGGCGGTTTTTTAATTACTGCAATTAAAAATCGAAAAAATATTTAAATAATGGGTAAGAAATGTTTAATTTTCTTATTAAACAATTCTAGCTGAGTTTTTACGATTTTTTCAAGCCAATTCAGAGGTCTACAAGTTACAACAGCATCTGTCCTTATTGAAACAAGAGTATTCGAAGCTACAGACCAAGTACCACAATTTGGAAAGTCGGTACGCTTATATAGCAGCAACAAACAATGATTCTACAGAGAACGATATCAGTAACAGTTTTGCATCAAGATTAGTAACGACAATTTCAAAATTATACGATTCAAGCTTGTATAGTGACATTAATATTAAGCTACTAGGTTTGTTAGTACTATTTTACTAGTATAACATAGTTAACATTCTTTTTTTTCATTAGACAAAACATACCCAGCTCATAAAATTGTTTTAACAGCCAGATCAAAGATGTGGGACGAAGAATTCTTGAAAGATAAAGAGGAATTGGATTGGTCCGATATGGATCCACTAGTTGGTCATGCTATAGTTCTATGGCTGTACAAGGTACAATTTTTTAAATTATATTATTTCTATAGATGTTACAAGGTACTATCCACTTTCTTAGAGCGAAGTAAATCACAATTCTGATGAAATAACGTTGCTGTTGATTAAACAAGCATACAGCTTCAAACTGGACAGTTTACTAGAATCTTGCGAGCAGTACCTTATATCTGTGGTCAACATAAGGACTTGCGTGAAATTCTACAGTGTGGCCGAGGAAATTCAAGCTACCAGCTTGAGAGAATATTGTTCAGGTAATGCTTCTTATAGAGAAATTTGGCAGACAAATTTGTTTAAAAGCTCTGAGCACATTTTTTAATGTTTCTTATAATCTCATAACTCTGTGGTTAAAAAAGACAGCATGCTTTCCCATTTAAGTAAGGGACAGTAAGGAAATTGTTGGACATGGTTGTTATGAGATTTTTCCTTGCAAATCTGATATTACTGTCATTTTAAATTCTTTTTTGAGATTTCGATTTTTCAAGGTTTTTTTGACTAATTTGAAATTAAATCTGTGTTTAGTTTAATTAAAACCGCGATTTTCTTTGCAATAAGATGCCATTACCTCTCAATAATCTGATTCAGCAATTATTTTTAACAGGAAAGAAATGATTATTTGATCATTAATTTATTTGAATGAAAAAAAAAAGATTCGAGTTTTTTTATTCGGCACCTTCGCCATTTCGTCAGGAAGAACCTATTGCTAATTTCTAACTCTAAGTTTTATAAGGTAATTCTTTTATAAAATGCCTTAATTTACTTATTCTAATGATGTGCTACATGCTATGATATATTCTATGATGAAAACCTATTTTACAAAACCAATGAATAGGAATAGGCAACTTGTTTCGTCTACTCAATTATTTTAGACAGGAAAGATATTAAAATTACATGCATTTTATTTGACACTTCTTGTCAAATATTTTGACAACGCGCACGTCAACTTTACATTTGATCAGTGCCTTCTATTAAAAGATCAGCCTACGGGCGGACTTTTGTTTACTTCATCAGCTGTACATACTTAGATATTGGGTTAGATTCCGTTTCATATTTTGTCGGTTGATTTTTGGTTTTAACTCTTTGATTTTTGGTATTATTTATTATTGTAGTGCAAAAAACTAATTATTTTGGTGTTGAAGTGACATAAACTACTACCAGATATCTGGTCACTCTCGGTTTCGCATAAAAAAATAGAAATTTTAAAAATTACACGTTGTGCAAGTGATTTAACCTAGAAGTGCCCATACATTTTTTACTTATCGTGATTTTTGGGTGTGTTTTTTAAGACTAACAATTCATCAATAAAGCTTAAGTGGAGTGTGGTTTGGTTGTGTTCCTGGTGGAAAGGATAGTTATTATACTAGGCAGCCTAAAGTGTCCGGAAGAGCAAGAAAAGTGGGTACGAGTTATAAATCAAGAGAATTTTATTGAAAATATCTTTAATAAATTTAAAAATAATATTCTCCCATGATGGTATTAATGAAAACTGGACAATTATGTTTATTTTATTCATATTGTGGAATCTCCACTCCAAGTGTTGCTGGTTCAGCTTCGATAGATTCAAACACGTAAGTAGGTATTATGAACTAGGGAAAAATAAAGAATATGTGTATTAGAGATCATGAAAAAGATTATTATTTTGAGTTCAAATTTTAAAAAAGATTTTTGTAAAGACAAGACTGATACAGTTTAAAAGAAGAATGTGTTTTGTTTGATAATATATAATGTATGTTAAGCATAACATATATTTGTTCAGTAATTTTTAATGAATAGTATTGATTATTTATAATACCAAATTAATATCAAATATTAAAGTGATGGCTGAATACAATATGAATAAAATAACAATAAAATTGGTATATTTGCATAATACAAAATTAAGTTTTAAGAATAAAGGTATTACTAAAAATACTAAGAAATTCATATTTCTTTGTTTTAATTGGTCTAATGTTATTTACATTTTACGTAAGAATTATACCGTATCATCGAAAAAATCGGCGTCTAGTTGGCTTGGAAATGAACATCGATGACATTCCCTAAATAACTGTACACATAAAATAATTAACTAGAATTTTACAATCTTGGAAAATTTGATATTCTTGAACCTTGATTCTAAATATTCTAAATTTTTTGATTTTCTTGGAATTTAGGTTCGGGAAAAACGCTGATTGATTTTTCATTTGGTTTTTCATTATTTTTATTTGGTTTAAAAAAAAAACGGTTCGGCTAACATTATAGCCTCCATCAGTGTTGTGTCATATGAAAAAAATAGTGTCGAATATAATCCAAAAAATTGCATATAAAATATTCACACCACGCACATAATGTTTACTGCGTACTCCATAGTCAATGTAGATAATTTTAGTGTTAAGAATAATAATTTTAAAAAATATGTGGTCATCTTTTGATAAGTTTATATTAGTTTATTAATTGCAGTAAACATTATGAGGTGTGAATTATATTGTATATGTAATTTTTTGGATTATATTCGACACTATTTTTCTCATATGACACAACACTGTGAAGGCTATAGTTAGCCAAAACGTTTTTTTTAAACTAAATAAAAATAATGAAAACCCAAATGAAAACTTAATCAGCGTTTTTCCCGAACCTAAAATCCCAAGAAAATCAAAAATTTTAGAATAATTTAACATATAAAATGCCAGCGATCTTCATTTCATAGCCATCGCTGACGCCTTTTTTAGATAATATTGTATTATTTGTAAATATAATTTTTCGAACATTGATACTTGCAAAATATACATATAAATTTTGTGAATGCAAATAATAATACATCACTATTAGTAGATATTAAATGTTTTTTGTTAAATTAGATCGATTTTCAAACCCCAAAATTTAAAATATATTTACATTTTACCCATTATCTTATGTACCTATACATTATTTAATTTGTACATTGTAAAACATTTGCTGCATTTGTATGGTTCATAGTTTATTTGCCAAAGTATTTATTACTATAAAAATGTTGTAGTTATTAACTGTATATTATGTATATTTCATTTAAACTATATCATTTTTAAAATACAAACCAAAAATCTGAGGAATAATTATGTTTTCCATGTATTCTACAACATATTTATTAATCCGTTATATCTAACTAGCGTGACGTCATAAATATCGCCCGTAGGCTGATCTTTTAATAGAAGGCACTGATTTGATATTAATTTCAGAGAGAGCAAAAAAAGTAATGTAATTTAATTTCATGTAATTTTTTTAGGTTTAATTTCAACGCATTGGGACGACCTAAATTCAACAGATTTCGAACACATGAGCGGACCCTTATTGTACCAAATGCTGAAGAATAAAGCGCAGTTGCCGCTTCATAGCGCTGTCAGATTGCAGAGAGAAGACGTAGTGTTTCTGTGTCTAGTTGAAAATTCTAGCAGGGTAAGTTTCAGTATTATTTTAGTCTAATATTTCCCCACTAACTTAAAAGGATACAAGGACGCTTAAGACCCATAATATAGGGGGTCTGGAGTAAAATCTGTGACGTTAGAATTACGGGACGCCATTTTTTTGGTGCCAAACAACGGGAGTTACATTTTTAATAGTTTTTTTGAGTGCAGTGGATTTTGTATAAAATGTATTGCCATGGTAACGGGTCCTTGTATTCTTTAGTTATTGGACAAAATAAAACAAAAATCGTAATAATTATATTAAAAACATATTATTTATTATGGCACATGCAGTGGACCTATGTATAGTCAAAAATGACTATATTCATATCATACAAATCACAATTTCATAAAATTTAATCATTATTAAATATGAGAAATGCTAAAATTTTCTAATTAGGTATGTCTCGAGTTGAAAAAAGATAAAAATCTATTAAAATAAAACTTCACAGCCACATTATAATCAAACATGGAATAGATATATACAAAAGTAAGTTTCCTTTAGGGATAAAGGCATTATTGCATAAGTCTCCTTTACAGTAACAGTGTTCAATAAAGGGGGTTCTCAGCCCTTTGTCTTTGGTAGTTTTACACCCTTCCACGTAGGGTTCCTCCACTTCAATTTCCTGGTGCCACTTGCCGTTTCTTATTTTTTGCGTCCGGTACATCTGCAGGGCGCAGTCCCTCTCAGTTCCGTTGATTTGTTCTACAAAAATTCAATATTCAAAAATACAATTATAAAGGGTGCGTCTTAAATAAGTTTTTTTCGCAAGAAACATGTCGAAAATCGTGCATTTTTTTTAAATTTTCCTGTATATTTTAGTTCACCGCAAATTTTCTCATGGTATAATTTCATAATCTCAGATATTACCATGTTACCAAATTTCAAAGTTTACATTTCTTTTATCGATATCTACCGGCCGTGAAAATATTTGCACTTGTTTAAGACTCAATCTCTATATCCAAGAATTTTTTTTGCGACAGGATACGCCACTGCTTTACGTATTTAATGCTATACAGGGTGTCCAGTGCAGAGGTTGATTTTTCGTCAAAAAATTATGGAAAAAACTTCCTATAAACATGAGTGTGGAAATGCGTAATTTTATAAACAATTTTTTACATGTTTATACGAACTTTTTTTCGTAGTTTTTGATAAAGAATCGCCCTGTATATTTATCGATTTTTTTTAACAAACGAGAGAACTTATTTATAATATTATGATTATAACTTAATAACTAGTTATTTGTCATTATAAATCATATTTTACCTTCGCCAATTTTACTATGGGTATTTTTTTTCATACAGTACGTAGAATAAGGACAGTCCACTATGAATTTGTCGGAATAATCAAAACCATTACACAGACTCTCGCCAGTGGTGTAGATATTTTCAGCAAAAATACATTTATAGCATTGTATGGCTCTTGTATATAATATACCTGAAAAATAAATCAAAACGAAATAGTAAAAATAACAATAATTATTATTTCCAGATTTTTATTATTATTTATTTTCCTTAGCTATCAATAATATGTAGAACAATAATAATTAATAAATAATTTAATATTTTCTAAAAGTTATAACTGGTTATTTATTCTCCGATTGAAGATGAAAGTATCTGGTCCATATATATTAAAAAAATTCAGTCGTGTTAACCTTTGGCTGTAAATAAAGAACAAGGTCATTTTAAGGCGATTGTAAAAAAACAAGAGCGATCTAAAAAACAATTTAAAATTACCATAGGTTAATCGGATTTGTTATTAGAGTTATTTATTGCTTTTTAATATCCGCCTATAGTTTGAAACAAGTCAGATTTTAGATTTTGTCGCTAAATTTGTTATACAGTTTAGAAAATAAACAATTCGAGATACATTACGAAGATCTTAGTTACATTTCCATGCGATTTGAGTGAACTATACGAACCTTGAAAGTATTTGAAATGAAATAATAGTGCAGTCAATCATTCAGAACGTCCAGTTTGTTCACTGACATTTTGTCAATCGTAATTGCAACTCGATTTCGTAGTATAAATTACAATGTTCCCTACTACGCTACGTAATTACTCCGAGTAACAGTTAAAAAACAATTAAAATCCGTTCCTTGATTTGTTTAACTAAAATCGCCTCAAAGTATAATTATTCCTTTTACTCTCAATAGTAGCGGATAAAAAAATAGGGTTGTATACAGGGTGGTCATATAATATATTCTACAGATAAAAATAATTTAGAAAGTTTCATACATTTTTCTAGAAAAATTATTATCGGGTAACCAACAAGTCAGCATGTTTATTTTTCGAAATTACTCCCCGGCACAAAATTCCACCACTAAAAATTCGACTAAAGTTTGATGTTTCATAACTTTTTATTTTGTAATCCGATTTTCATGATTATAGTATTAGTATAAAGATAAATTTATTGGCATTCATTTTTATTATTTTAATGGCTTATATCCTTCGGTTTGGTGGATCTATACCGAGGTAAATCAAAACGTTGTTTTTTGCAAAAAATTTAAAACACCCTGTGGAAAAAACGAGACGGGCATTTTGGATAAAAAAACACTTTCCTGTAATCTTAGATGTATTCCTAACATGTCATTTTTTGAATTATCCCATTATTTCTATTCTTTTATGAGCTACACATTTTTAAGTAAAGTATTGATTTCAGAGATTCTTTTATTGACAAAAACAATAATTTTATAATAATTTTAATAGTATATATTCACCTATCGCAGCAGTAACAGCTCGTGGTTCGTCGTATCGGATGAATAAGGGTAACTACCCTTGATCTATAGCTTGATATACTACCCTTGATCTATGGCTTGATAAATATCATCATAAATATCAAGTTCTAGAATAAAATGATAGATCAGATGATAAATATCAAGCTATAGATCAAGAAAACCCTCTACAAGAGCTAATCCTCCGTTAATGCTAGCCATAGCTCTTGTAAAGTTTGTGGTGGAATAGGACGACGACGAACAGCTCTTTTAAGTTCATCGCACAAAAAATCAATCGACCTCAATCCAATCGTTCGATTGGATTGTTCTGTTTTTTTTTTTCCAAAATACCCGTCCCGTTTTTTCCACAGGATGTCTTGAATTTATTGCAAAAAAACGAAGTTTTGATTTTCCCCGTTATAAACCCACCTAATCGAAATATATAAGCCATTAAAATAATAAAAAATAATGCCAACAAATTTATCTACAAACTAATACCATAATCATAAAAATGGGATTACAAATTAAAAAGTTATGAAACATCAAACTTAGTCAAAATTTTAGGGTTGGCGGAATTTTGTGCTGGCGAGTTTTTCAGTTAGTTCAGAAATTAGTTGGAAAAACCCGAAATCAAAATGAAACTTCTACACCCTGTATCTCCGCAACAAAGCATTTTGGTACTTTTTTTTATTTTTATTTGCAGAATACAATAATTCGGGCCGCCCTGTATACAGGCGTCTGTTAATTTTCGAACATTAGCCTTGATTTTTTGTTTTAAACTATATATAGGCTTTATGTAAATTAATGTCTGCTAGAAACAAGTTAGGTATAATTAATTGGCGTGGTACTAATATTTGTTATTTATTCGTAAAAATAAACGAATTGCGTATATATTAAGGGTACGGTACGGTTAAAAGTGGACATTGTATTGCATTTTGCGACTAATTCTGGTAAAATGAAAGTTACACGCCCTCGTTTTGATAATTTGAAACGTTTTGAGTCGAATGGCGTGCAAAACGAACTAAAACATTATATCACTGTCACAAATATAATTAATTACATTAGGTAATTTGATTAGAGTTGCGTAGAGGACGTTTAAATTTCACGAAATTCGTGTAATTACCCCATTTTAGGAGATTATTAAAAAATCTCTGATATTTCTTAATTTTTTTTTTCATTTTTATACGACCTCGAGTCTGGGACACCCTGTATACCCTATATCCTGAATTAATCGCCATATAATTATCGCAACACTTCATTATTCTTAGTATTCAATTGTTATCCGTATCCGGACACAATATAAACCATAAAAATGGCGATAGTACGTTCGTATTTTTTATTGTCAGAGGTCATTTGCTTTATCGAGCTATACAGAGCTAAAAAAATATGGAAATATGTGTATTATTTAGGCACGTAACTTGATATGGACGGTACCAAAAGTACTCCCCGGCGCAAAATTCCGCCACTCTAAAAAATTGACTAAGTTTGATGTTTCAAAACTTTTTATTTTGTTACCCGATTTTTATAGATTTATTGGCATTATTTTTCTTATTTTAATGGCTTATATTCTTCGGTTAGGTGGGTTTATACCGGGGTAAATCAAAACGTTGTTTTTTGTAGTAAATTCAAAACACCCTGTGGAAAAAATGAGACGGAAATTTTGGTTAAAAAACACTTTCCTGTAATCTTAGATGTATTCCTAATATTTAATTTTTTTAATTATCCCATTATCTCTATTCTTTGATGAGCTACATATTTTTATTTATTATTTTATTATTTTTAAGTAAATTATTGATTTCAGAGATTCTTTTATTGACCAAAACAATAATTTTATAATAATTTTAATAGCGTGTATGTCCACCTCTCGCAGCAATAACAGCTCGAGGTCTTCGTTGTATCGAATGAATAAGGGTAGATATTCTTTGTTGATCTATAGCTCTTGTAAAGTTTGTGGTGGATTAGGACGAAGAGACGCACAGCTCTTTTAAATTCATCGAACAAATGTTCGATTGGATTGAGATCGGGACTACAAGGAGGACATTCCAATCTTCGTAGTCCAAACTCATCCAGGTACTCGTTAACTACTCGTACTCCTAACTCGTTACCCCGCGCAACGTGGGTCCTGGCATTATCATGCATCAGTATCAACTGATTTCCAATGAAAGGAGCAAATGGAACTACAATTTCTTGGAGGACATCCTCAATATAACGGTGGGCATTGAGAGCTCCATTTTCAACAAATTCAAGATTGTAAATATTTCAGTACTTTATTTAAAAATGTGTAGCTCATAAAAGAATAGGGATAACAGAATAACTCATAAAACGAAATGTTAGGAATACACCTAAGATTACAGGAAAGTGTTTTTTATTCACAATGCCCAACCCTTTTTTCCACAGGATTTTTTGAATTTATTGCAAAAAACGTTTTGATTTACCCCGGTATAAACTCACCTAACCGAAATATTATAAGCCATTAAAATAATAAAAAATAATGCCAACAAATTTATCTACAAAGTAATACCATAATCATAAAAATCGGATTACAAATTCGAAAATTATGAAACATCAAACTTAGTCAAACTTTAGGGTGGCGGAATTTTGTGCCGGGGAGTTTATAAATGGATTGTATGTTTTAATATGACTAAGAATATTCTTATTGAAAAAGAAACATATTAAAAAATAATAAATCAGGAATTCGAGTCAGTTTCGATATATTTAAATATCAATTTTTTTTCGTATCTACATCCGAAAAAATAGTAATTTTGAGGTCGATGTCCCCCTTTTATTTTTGTTACTAAATCAAAACTTCTGTTGGGGCGGTAATTGTAACTAATAAGATCACACTCTGTACAATAATATAGGCCCGCGTCCTATAAAATCCGGAAATAGATGATAAGCAGTCGTTTGTACGTGACCTAAAGGTCCTAACTCATGTTTGTCCAGGGGCGTACACAGTTTTTTTCTCCCTACCCCTCTATATCTCTAAATATACTTACACTGGACTATTAATAATAATAGTAATAGGACAGAACTGTAACCACTATGCCATGCCATAATATCACCGCACCAACACCATTAGATCCCACGCAATAACTTGAAGATGGGTTCCTCGAAACCCATTTATAAAATTGATAGACTTGGTTGTATATTTCTTCACTTTCATCTGGTATTATTCATCTTGTATTATTAAAATGTCAGGTCAGGTGTTTGTTGTTATGAAATGCCAAGCTGCAATCCAAATTTAATTAGAATTATTTAATTTTTAAATTAATTAAAAGTATTTCAACATGTTGCAATTAAAGAAAAGTACCTATTACATTAATACCTATAATTAAAATTATATTTATTTATGCTATATCTGATTTTTTTTTTGGTTTGTATGTATTTTTTTCGTGTATAACTTTTCTGTTTTCAACTTCTATAACAGGATAGCCTAATTACACTTATCCTTGGCTTCAAAAAATAATATTGGCTGTTAAGTGAGATTCTATATATCTACTTTTTCAAATTCCTAGATATTATTAGTATATATTTTGTGTTTACATTATATTTTACTGCAACAAAATTGCGGTTTTGTTAAAAAAAATCACAAGCAACTATTAAATCAAAAAGTTGTCTATAAATAGATGTAAATAATAATAATACTAAATAAATAATGTAATCTATTAATTCTAATCATATTTTGAATTCGGTATTTTTTTCAAAACGCTGTGAATTTATGTCATAGATTTATGTCAAATTGATAAGAAAATTCTACTTACTAATCAATAAGACTTAAAATTATTGGTGATGAAATATAAAATACAATGTTTTAGAAACCATTTTTCATTAAAACTACAAATCTCAATTTACTGGTTATTTAAATTTTGTTATTTTTGATTAAAATTTCTTAATGATTAAAACGGCGGGCGCACAGCTTCGAGAGGAATTTATTTATTTTTCTTTTAACACAAAATTCTCGCAGTTTGAGTTAAATATAGCACGAATTGCCAAAGATTTTCAAGATATTTTATACATTAACTCGTAAAATCATTCAAAAAATATTTCCTATAGTTAATTTTTCTTTACCAAAAAGGTGTTGATATAATATATTTAAATTCTAAATACCCCTACCTGTTAAAATATATTATAAAATATAGCACTTTCTCACTATGTATTACTTAAAAAAGCTGTTTTAACTAATTTTTTTTAATGTTGAACAATATTTTAATTTATATGTATTGTTTTATTTAATGATAACGTAATTATTTATTGTTTTTATTCGCTGTTCATGTTTCGATAGTCTATAAACGACTACGCGATACGCTGGATCGTAAACAAAATCGAGTTTTAAATGCGCGGTTGTCGCATTTAAGCGCTTTACCATTTCTTAAATAAATTAATAAATGTTACGTAGTTTTTATATGCTAATTTCTAACACTTTTGTTTCTGGTATACCACATAACTTCATAGAACGAAAGATTTATATACACAGTGTTCAGAATAATACAAGGATATAAAATAATAAACAAATAAACTAAAAATATTTATTTATTTTTGCACTTTTGACGCAGTGGCTTCATATGTTATTACATGATTTTTCTGTGGAATCTGTAAAAAAATCTGATCTACTTAAAGAGTGTTAATATTGGCAACAATGTTGGGGATCCGTGCTGAAATTTTTCAGGACATAGCAAGCATTCCTGAAAGAAGATTCAAGAGAGTTTCTTATTTCCGCCAACGGTTGAAACTTATACAAATTATGGACGATTTTTTAGTTACGAATCATTTTTAGTTTATACAGGGTGCGTCTGAACAAGTGTCTGATATTTCTCAGGGTGATTTTTCAAGTATTTTTATCGGACCATGTTTAAAAATAACCTGTATATACAGGGTGTCCCAGTACGAGAACGCACACTACAGGAATATTTTTTTTTATTCTATTTCAAAGATAACACTCCTAATTTATTAATAAATTATTAAATTGTAGGAAAAGACATATTTAAAAAATGATGATATTTTGTTATAAAATAAATATAACACAGCACTCTGTATAAATCCTGGAAATCAATGTCTGTAAAAACCGAATAATTTTTTTGACAAGCGTTTTTATTATAGTTTTAATACGGTATTCTCAATAAATTTTGCTATAAAAGGATTGGCGGAAACCGTCTTCGTAATAAAAACGGCGTCGTACAGGCTAGCTATGACGTCATAAAGCTAAAGGACATCGTCTGGCGCTTTTAAATTATCCGTGAGTCATTTCCAATGTCCGTTTCTTTGTACAGGGTGATCCACGCACGCCTGTTGTGATACTTTATCTTGTAAAGAAGCAAAAAATATGTACAGTCCATTTCACTATTTAAAAACAATGTTGTGTGAGGAATATTTCGATTATCATTGTATATTATTGATATTTCATTATTAATTGTTATTGTACATACAAGATTGTAATGTGCAAATAGCTACTATGAAAAAATAACGGTTACCTCCAGGGATGTGATTACCTGAAATTTTTGTACAGTATTTATTACATTTTTAATATGAACTTTTTTTCATATCAACGAAAGTATGAGCGATCTGAAATATCCCAGGGAGGTGATGAGCTAATATTTCCGTACCATATTTAGTACATTTTTAATATGAAAGAATATTCAATATTTAATATGAAAGAAGTTTCAACTTATACAGGTTGTCCCAGAAATAAGTACAAGTATTTTAACTGGTAGTATAGTTCAACCCCAGAAACACGCCTATGAGGTTTTTTTCGCGAAAATTTTTTTCTGAAAATTCGAAATTTTTTGGAAATTTTTTAGTTTTTAGTTAAAAAAACATAATTTCTTGATAATATGGCAACATAGGTATTAGATTAAATTTACAAGAAAGAAAATCCAGAAAAGATCCAGTGGTTCTCAAAATTTTAGCAAAAAATCATTTTTTGCTAAACTCCGTTATTTTGGACTTATTTGAAAAACGATAAAGAGAAAATATGTTTCTTATATCGGGATCTACCAGCCCTTAAAATACTTGCACTTACTTCTGGGACACCCTGTATAATAAAGAGGATGTTAATGTATAATACCTAAAGTAATTTTTTTAATATGAAAGAATAGAGTTTCAATTGTATATTTCAAAGTTTGAACGATTCGAAAAATCCAAAGGATGTGATAACCTAAATTTTTTGTACCAGTTCTAGTACATTTTTTAATATGGCCGTGTTTTTACAGTTATCCGATATAGTGAACATTTGGTCTCAGCAAGGCGACCTACCTCTGGAACTGGCACTAAAAAGTAAAAACGGAAGCATAGCGGCAACACTGGTCCAACACAATGCCGATATTAATCTCAGAGATATAGATGGCGAACCGCTGTTGCACAGGGCCATTAAAAGGGACGACAGTTTTGGCGTTTTGTTTTTGTTGGAGTCTAACTGCGATGCCACTCTATCTTCTAGGTATCTATATTGTATTTTATTGTTATATATTAATATATTTATTTAGTACATTTATTTCATAGAACCGGAAACGATACAGCCCTACATTTGGTGGCCGGTTCTCCAGGTTTAGAGGATTCCGTCAAAATTGCCGAAAAATTGTTGAACAAAAACCTGAACGTAGATTGTCAGAATAAGCTCGGCTTCACCGCGCTTCATATATCGATACAAGCCGACAACAGCGCCATTTTCGATCTGCTACTTCGACAAGTTAGTCCTAGATCGAAAAAAAAATGGCGTCAAAACCGTCTTTGACGCCGTTTTTTTATCGTACTTTATATATTTTATTAATATATTTTAGGAACAAATAAACGTAAATTTAAAAACAGTAGACGAGCATACTCCACTCTACTATGCATTGCTAAAGTACGAACTGGACGTTACACACTACGCGGAAGTTTTGCTGGCCCGCGATGCGCAGACGGATCCCTTATACTCTTCCCACGCCTGCGCTGATCTACTACAGACCCTAATAATACAGGGTAGTACGAAAGCGGCTGCTCATTTAGCTGGTCACGTGCGTAATTTGAATCACGTGAACGTGGAAGGCGAAACCGCTCTACACTTGGCCTGTGAACGGGGATACGATGAATTGACCGGTACACTGGTAAATCATAGCCTCTAGTCGGGTGAAATATGTCAAATAAAGACAGCTCACGTCAAAAATGTCACAATTTAGGGTATTTGTTTATTATCTGTAGACTTTAAGGTTGATGAACATATTATTTAACGAAAAAAAAAAGAAACAACATACAAGGTGGCATAAGTTGTCTTTATAACTATTTCGATCGACGCCTAATGTATTAAGGCACCCACACACTAAAGGTTATTTTGCTCGGTTTTAACCGTACAGTTAAAAGTACGTTCAATAAGATTTTAGAACGTACGGGTAAAACTGGACCGCAAAATACTCACGTACACTGACGTTTTTAACTGTACAGTTCTACCCGTACGGTTAAAACCGTTCGAAATAACGTTAAGTGTATGGGGACCTTTAATCATTTTTTCTTCAAGGTTAAATTGGGAGCCAATCCAAATCTCTTGACCAACGAGTTAAGACAGTCCCCTCTACACTATGCGGTGAAGAATAACGCATCTGAATGTATAGAAGCCTTGATTGAACATAATAAAATGATTGAGGAAGGAAGTAACGGCGAAGAAAGCAGGTAAAGTAATATTTTTTCTATTATTATTATTATTATTACTCGAAATGTGATATGCGCTCAGAGATATAGAGGTAATGATATAGATATATAGAATGAGCTTCATCTACGGGGGAGATCAAAATGTAATAATAACTTTTTTTTTTAGTTTTTTTGCCTCCCCCTTTTGTACTACCATAAATGGAATTTCTCATTCTCCCTACCTCTCTACAGGGTGGTCCTAACTGTATTTCGGAAACTTCGCCATCATGTATATCAAAAAATGCTTAGTTTCTGAGATATAGGGTGTGGAAGTTTCATTTTTATTTCGATTTTTTTCAAATAACTTCTGAAGTAACGTCAACATTTGGATGAAAATTGGTGTCTGGGAGTTTTTTGACGTGGGAAATTTGATTTTGATGCCAATATGACTCCTACTTGTAGAGGGCGCCACCTACATATTTCGTAAATGTATATTTTTTTACTCAGCAGTTTTATACAGGTATGGATGAAAAGTTATTACTCTGCAAACTAGTTAAAGCATATGTAGGTGGCGCCCTCTACAAGTAGGAGTCATATTTACATAAAAATCAAATTTCTCATGTCCAAAAACTCCCACACCAATTTTCATCCAAATATTGACGTTACTTCTTAAGTTATTTGGAAAAAATAGAAATAAAAATGAAAAAAATAAAATTCTACACCTTAATTTCTACTCCGAAATTAAGCATTTTATGACATACATTTATACAAACTTTTTTACTTATTTTAATTTCCAGAATATGCTGCCGAAGTTTCCGGCATACAGTTCGGACCACCCTGTATATCTCTGAATAGAATACCGGAATCTAACACTATTACTAATTATTTCAGATTACTACAAGTTAATTTTAATCTACGCGACATATACGGGGACACCGCGATAAGTTTAACGTTGAACGAGGGTTATAACGACCTGGTACCGATTCTAATCAAAGGGAATGCGGACATCAACGTGAGGAACGGCAAAGATTTCACCCTTTTGCACCAATCGATCATGAAGGAGGATTCGAAAACCGCCATCTTCCTTCTGGAACAGGGCGTCGATATCAACGCGAAAACCCCCGAAAACGAGACGCCCCTGCAACTGGCCATCCACTGTAGATTGGCCGATGTTGTGGACGCTCTTTGCACCAAAGGAGTCGATATGTCCGCCCCCGACAGGTTAGGCAACTGCGCCTTATGGGCAGCACTAAATTCAGGTATTTATCCGATCCAAATATATTATAAGACTACATTGCTAGTACCGCATTTACACAATGAGTGAAAAGGGAAGCCAAGGAAAAGAAATAGGAATATCAAGCTTGCACAAGTCTATCCTTTTGGTTCAACAGGATTTTCGTGCGCACGCGCCAAATAAAACGATCTGATACGTCTACTTCATCGCTGAACGCTGTCACCTGCCCGCGCACTATTTTAAATTCTAAATATTAATAACGTCTAATATATTATTTTTTTATTGGTAATGGCATTATTTCAACCTGTTATTTTAGATATTCATCATATCTATTCGTTTCTTGTTTTTGTTTAATTATGTCAGAGATTAAATATAAATTTATAAGTAAAGGCGCGAATAGTCAGACGCTAAATTGATTTACGTGGTAGATTAGAAACTTAGAAAACTACTTCTATTGGTTAGTATGAAATAAATCAACTGTTTGCGTAGTTCAATGCTGTTGAACAAAAAGGACTGACTTATGTGGTTCATCTCAAAAATTTGGCTTCAATTTCTGTTCCTTACTAGCAATATACATCCGATCTGACGATATTACAACTGAACTTTTCAAGCGAAAGTTCAAGTCCGAGGGATGGGATTACTTAAAATTTTTGTACGATATTTAGTACATTTTTAGAACGAGTGTATTTTTTCAGGCCAAGAAAATATCGCGAATATTTTGGTGCGTCACGGGGCGGATACCGACTGTTGGAACGACGGTCCCGAGGGATGTAAGCAGACCCTTTTGCATCGAGCGCTCGACGAAAACAACGAAGAAGCGGCCGTATTCCTAATCAAAGCCGGCTGCGATTTGGACTCTCCCCGCATGCCCAGCTCCGACGCCGTTGGAGGGGAATGCGGGGAGGCTGGCAGGGACGGTATGACCCCCCTCCACTTGTGCTGCTCGTGGGGCCTGGAACCCGTAGCGAGGTAAATTCGTATATACGTATAAAGTGGGGTCCACACGCGACGACTTATCGTACGATTTGCTTGCGTTTGCGACAAAATATTGCAGATTAAACATACACAGACCAAATTATAACTACTTCATCTGTACAGTAAGTCGTTTATTGTGGACCCCGCTTTAGCGTAACGTTTATTATTTACATGCACGTTTTAGAGCTTTGATAGAGCACAGAGCCAACGTGAACGCTAGAGACGCCGAGTTAAAAACTCCGCTACATGTCGCTATAGAGAACCAGAACGACGAAATAATTTCTTTGTTGCTAAGCGTGCCGGAAATAGATCTCACCCTGTGGGACAAGAGTGGATTGTCGCCGTTTGCTGCAGCTCTAACGTCAAGGTGAGTAAAAAACTGTCAAAAATTACAACAAGGGGTGTTATTACCAAATATTTTTGTACGATATTTAGTACATACAATAATATTATTTTTGGTTTTATTACAGAAATCATAAGGCCGCTCAAGCTATTGTTGATAAGTTACCGTCCGCTCCGGAACAATTTGATCTAAAGGGCCAGAACTTTCTTCACGTGGCCATTAAAAAAGGGGATATCGAGAGTGCCGTGTTTTTATTGGCCGTCCAAGTCGACGTCAATTCTAGGGTGCAAGATGCGTTACTGACGCCACCTATACATTTGGCGGCGAAATACGCCAACGAAACGCTGGTGAGGAGTTTAATTTTGGCGGGAGCAAGGGTAAGTTTACGTTCGACTTCTGTATATTTCAATTATTGTTGGTCGCTCCGTATCATTATCTAAAGCGTTATATACAGGGTGTCCAAATACAGTTTGGGCCACCCTGTAGACGCAACGAACGTTTTTTAATATAAAAAAATCTGAATTAGGTTGACGATAGAGACTCCCAGAGACGTACAGCTCTTCACATAGCCTCAGAGGCTGGAAATGCACCGGCTGTGAGCGCCTTGCTTCAAAACAACGTGGATTTTGACGCAGTAGACGTGGCCAATGACAATGCTCTTCACATAGCTGTCAGGTATAGTGATGATGAAACGTTTTTCGCTCTCGGAAATGTTATAAAAATATTTTTTTTTATTTACAGGGAAGGACATCTGAACGTGGTTAAAACTTTGTTAACTGAGTCGTCTATAAATGCGGAGCACGTCAATTTAAAGGGAAGAAACCCTCTGCACGAGTTGTGTTACTATGCCAAAGAAAACGCCGCAGCAATTTGCGAGTTTTTCCTCGAGTGTATGCCGGATTATCCGATTAATACGCCGGATATAAATGGGAATTCGCCTCTTTTACTGGCCTACATGAAGGGAAACGGTCAATTGTGCAGGTATTTTTTTTGTACGGTATTTAGTACATTTTTAATTATATTTAGTACATTTTTAATTATATTTAGTACATTTTAATGATATTTAGTTCATTTTTAAGATATTTAGTAAATTTTAGTAATATTTAGTACATTTTTAAATTATATTTGGTTTATTTTAATGATATTTAGTACATTTTTAATGATATTTAGTACATTTTTAATTATATTTAGTAGTTTTTTATGATATTTAATACATTTTTGATGCTATTTAATGTTATTAAGACTTCATTTCGATGTTTTTTTTTCAGAGTTTTGGTAAAATCGAACGCTTGTTTAGCCGTGGAAAATCTGGACAAGATTACGATATTCAATTATCAGGTTGCCAGCAAACAATTGCTGACTAGATTGCTGGATCAGTTAAATCAACCGGCACCGTGGACTAGTACCGAAAACTGTCAGGAATGTGGTAAAGGTAAATAGGAATTTTCCTGTAAATACATTTATGTAGACGACGATTCAAGGTTCAAAAAAACAGTGAAAAACAACTCTCAAGGGATGGTACTACCTAAAAATTTTGAACGGTATTTAGTACATTTTTAGAACAGCCCCCAAATACATACAACATGATTGAAAAAACACGGCGTCAGCGATGGCTATGAAATGAAGATCACTGTCATTTTGTATGTAAAATTATATGGGAAATGTCATCGATGTTCATTTCCAAGCCAACTGGACGCCGTTTTTTTTTCGGTCAACAATGCGTTAGAAAAGGAAACTTTGGATTTTCATGTCTTTCAAGGGTTGTAGTTAACTATAATTTTTGTACGATGTCTTGTACATTTTTTACCTTGAATAACCGTCATCTTTTAGTGAAAAGGACTGTGTATATTTAGTCAATCTTGCAGGTTTTACCATGACGATAAGGAAACACCATTGTCGACATTGTGGCCGAGCTCTGTGTAACAAATGCAGCGATCAGGAAGTACCCATCGTCAAATTCGGCGAAAACAAACCGGTACGCGTATGTCAAGTGTGTTTCAATATATTGAAAACGGGTACTACCTAATTCGAAACTGTAATAAAGTAATATAACATGTCTGAACATAAAGAGTAACAAATTTTGTAATTATTATAGGTATATCTTGAAAATCATTCCATTTAAATAAAATACGTTAATATATTATTATGTTTATTATAGAATTTTCATTATATATATATTTAATTTAGGTGCCATTCTTTTAGATATTTAACTATAGTTGTCATTTTTTAGTTAGTTGCATAAAATAGATATCATTATTTTAAAAATACACTGTTTTTTTTACTTCTTTTTGTTTTAATTTAAATGCTTTGCGTCCTCCCTAAATCCTAGAAGATTTATCGATTTATTGATTTATCTATTTATTGATTTATCTATTTATTGATTTATCTATTTATTGATCTATCTATTTATTGATTTATCGATTTATTGATTTATCGAATTATCTATTTATTGATTTATCGATTTATTGATTTATCTATTTATTGATTTATCGATTTACTGATTTATTGATTTATCGATTTATTGATTTACTGATTTATTGATTTACTGATTTATCGATTTATCTATTTATTGATATACCTATTTATTGATTTATCGATTTATTGATTTAATGATTTATTGATTTATTGATTTATATATTTATAGATTTATTGATTTGTTGATTTATCGATTTATTGATTTATCGAATTATTTATTTATTGATTTATCGATTTATTGATTTATCGATTTATTGATTTATCTATTTATTGATTTATCGATTTACTGATTTATTGATTTATCGATTTATTGATTTATCGAATTACTGATTTATTGATTTATCGATTTATTGATTTATTGATTTATCTATTTATTGATTTACTGATTTATTGATTTATTGATTTACTGATTTATATATTTATTGATTTGTTGATTTATCGATTTATTGATTTATCGAATTAACTATTTATTGATTTATCGATTTATTGATTTATCTATTTATTGATTTATCGATTTACTGATTTATTAATTTATATATTTATTGATTTATCGATTTATTGATTTATCGAATTACTGATTTATTGATTTATCGATTTATTGATTTACTGATTTATCCATTTATTGATTTACTGATTCATCGATTTATTGATTTATCGATTTAGTGATTTACTGATTTACCGATTTATTGATCGATTTACTGGTTTATCGATTTATTGATTTATCGATTTATTGATTTATTGATTTACTGATTTATATATTTATTGATTTGTTGATTTATCGATTTATTGTTTTATCGATTTAATGATTTATTGATTTAATGATTTCATGATTTAATGATTTAATGATTTATCGATTTATTGTTTATCAATTTATTGATTTATCGATTTATAGATTTATAGATTTATCGATTTATTGATTTATCGATTTAATGATTTAATGATTTAATGATTTATTGATTTATTGATTTATTGATTTATTGATTTATTGATTTATTGATTTATTGATTTATTGATTTATCGAATTATCTATTTATTGATATATCTATTTATTGATTTATCGATTTATTGATTTATCTATTTATTGATTTAATGATTTATTGATTTAATGATTTATTGATTTACTGATTTATCGATTATTGATTTATCTATTTATTGATATACCTATTTATTGATTTAATGATTTATTGATTTAATGATTTATCGATTTACTGATTTATCGATTTATCGATTTATTGATTTATTGATTTAATGATTTATTGATTTACTGATTTATCGATTATTGATTTATCTATTTAATGATATACCTATTTATTGATTTATCGATTTATTGATTTATTGATTTAATGATTTAATGATTTATTGATTTATTGATTTACTGATTTATATATTTATATATTTATTGATTTGTTGATTCATCGATTTATTGATTTATCGAATTATCGAATTATCTATTTATTGATTTATCTATTTATTGATTTACTGATTTATTGATTTATCGATTTATTGATTTATCGAATTACTGATTTATTGATTTATCGATTTATTGATTTACTGATTTATCTGTTTATTGATTTACTGATTTATCGATTTATTGATTTACTGATTTACCGATTTATTGATCGATTTACTGGTTTATCGATTTATTGATTTATCGATTTATTGTTTATTTATTGATTTATCGATTTATTGATTTACTGATTTATATATTTATTGATTTGTTGTTTTATCGATTTATTGATTTATCGATTTAATGATTTATTGATTTATTGATTTAATGATTTAATGATTTAATGATTTATCGATTTATTGTTTATCAATTTATTGATTTATCGAGTTATAGATTTATCGATTTATTGATTTATCGATTTATCGATTTAATGATTTATTGATTTATAGATTTATAGATTTATAGATTTATAGATTTATAGATTTATAGATTTATAGATTTATAGATTTATAGATTTATCGATTTATCGATTTATTGATTTATCGATTTACTGATTTATCGATTTATTGATTTATTGATTTATTGATTTATTGATTTATTGATTTATTGATTTATTGATTTATTGATTTATTGATTTATTGATTTATTGATTTATTGATTATCGATTTATTGATTTATCGATTTATAGATTTATCGTTTATTGATTTATCGATTTATCGATTTATCGATTTATCGATTTATTGATTTATTGATTTACTGATTTACTGATTTAGCGATTTAGCGATTTATCGTTTTATTGATTTAATGATTTATTGATTTAATAATTTATTGATTTAATGATTTATTGATTTAATGATTTATTGATTTACTGATTTATCGATTTATCGATTTATTGATTTAATGATTTATTGATTTAATGATTTAATGATTTAATGGTTTAATGATTTAATGATTTAATGATTTAATGATTTAATGATTTAATGATTTAATGATTTAATGATTTATTAATTTAATGATTTATTGATTTACTGATTTATAGATTTATTGATTTATCTATTTATTGATTTATCTATTTATTGATATATCCATTTATTGATTTATCGATTTATTGATTTATCTATTTATTGATTTATCGGTTTACTGATTTATCGATTTATTGATTTATCTATTTATTGATTTATCGAATTACTGATTTATTGATTTATCGATTTATTAATTTACTGATATATTGATTTACTGATTTATCGATTTATTGATTTGTCAATTTAGTGATTTACTGATTTACCGATTTATTGATCGATTTACTGGTTTATCGATTTATTGATTTACTGATTTATCGATTTATTGTTTATCGATTTATTCATTTATCGATTTATAGATTTATTGATTGAATGATTTATTGATTTATTGATTTACTGATTTATATATTTATTGATTTGTTGATTTATCGATTTGATTTATCGATTTAATGATTTATTGATTTACTGATTTATATATTTATTGATTTATTGATTTATCGATTTATTGATTTATCGATTTATTGATTTACTGATTTATATATTTATTGATTTGTTGATTTATCGATTTATTGATTTATCGATTTAATGATTTATTGATTTAATGATTTAATGATTTATCGATTTATTGTTTATCAATTTATTGATTTATCGATTTATAGATTTATCGATTTATTGATTTATCGATTTAATGATTTATTGATTTATTGATTTATTGATTTATTGATTTATCGATTTAATGATTCAATGATTCAATGATTTATTGATTTATTGATTTATTGATTTATTGATTTATTGATTTACTGATTTATATATTTATTGATTTATATATTTATCGATTTATTGATTTATCGATTCAATGATTTATTGATTTATCGATTTATTGATTTATCGATTCAATGATTTATTGATTTAATGATTTATTGATTTACTGATTTATATATTTATTGAATTATTCATTTATCGATTTATTGATTTATTGATTTATTAATTTATTGATTTATCGATTTATCGATTTAACGATTTAATTATTTAATTATTTATCGATTTATTGATTTATTGATTTATCGATTTATCGATTTATCGATTTATTGATTTATCGATTTATTGATTTACTGATTCATTATCAATTTATCGATTTATCGTTTTACCGATTTACGGATTTAAATTAAGTTTGTTTTTCCTTAATGTTTCTGTAAGCCAACTAAAACAAGAACTGGAAATTGATTTTCTTCTCGGTAATTTTAGCAAGGTGATGAAAAATATCACGTCTCCTAGGTCAGATTTCAAACTATAATTTAAGCGGTCAGGTTGAATTTCTCATTTAAAAAAGCAGTTAACGGACTTTTCTCTGTCTCAAAGAAGTCCTGATAGTTTTAAGTAACTGTTCGTATCATTAACTTTTAACTTCAGTTTTGAGATGGATGTAAGTCTATGAACGAAATATATTGATTGTCGATTATTGATTATTGATTAGCGATTAGCGATTATCGATTATTGATTATCGATTATTGATTATTGATTATTGATTATTGATTCAGGTCAGTTTTCAAACTGTATCTATCATTATCTATCATTTTTCTGTGAATGTTGCACGGTTTATAAATGTGCATATCCTAAAAGTATTTTATTCTGTACAAGGTTTCTCAAAAAAATGTACCGTGCAACGTTTATATTAAACTTTTTTCTCGTATATTGGTCAACAACATTTGACTTCCCCTCTCACTAATGGGCCACCCTGTATATATAAATATTGAGTATTTTCTAGATCAGTTACCGCAAAAACGGAATATATCGAATGTATACAGGGAAAATACAAAGACTAAAGGAAATCTGTTTGATGAAAGTTCGAGTAGTGAAGAAGATATATCGGCCGTAGTGAATAAAAGGACAACCGCGTCAAAAACGTCATATCTGTCATCGCAAAAGGTCACCGTACCTCTGGTGGATGACGAACCGCCTGAATTGACCACCCACAGTGTAGAGGACACCTCCAAAAAGAAGGTAATTTTTTTTCTTCTAATTTTCCTGATTTATATACTATGCATAAAATTATAAAAAGTTTTTGGGCATCTGTAGCTTCTTTAGAAAAGGCAAAAAGGACTTAGGAATTTTGTTTAAGTGCATACCTAAAGTATGTGCTGGGATGTATTTCGGGAAAATACTTCAACTTCTACTGATTACTATTGATTTACTGATTTACCGATTTATTGATCGATTTACTGGTTTATCGATTTATTGATTTATCGATTTATTGTTTATTTATTGATTTATCGATTTATTGATTTACTGATTTATATATTTATTGATATGTTGATTTATCGATTTGTTGATTTATCGATTTAATGATTTATTGATTTATTGATTTAATGATTTATCGATTTATTGTTTATCAATTTATTGATTTATCGATTTATCGATTTATCGATTTATTGATTTATCGATTTAATGATTTATTGATTTATTGATTTATTGATTTATAGATTTATAGATTTATAGATTTATAGATTTATCGATTTATTGATTTATCGATTTACTGATTTATTGATTTATCGATTTATTGATTTATTGATTTATTGATTTATTGATTTATTGATTTATTGTTTATCGATTTATTGATTTATCGATTTATAGATTTATCGTTTATTGATTTATTGATTTATTGATTTACTGATTTACTGATTTAGCGATTTATCGTTTTATTAATTTATCGATTTATTGATTTACTGATTTATCAATTTATCGTTTTACCGATTTACGGATTTAAATTAAGTTTGTTTTTCCTTAATGTTTCTGTAAGCCAACTAAAACAAGAACTGGAAATTGATTTTCTTCTCGGTAATTTTAGCAAGGTGATGAAAAATATCACGTCTCCTAGGTCAGATTAAAACTATAATTTAAGCGGTCAGGTTGAATTTCTCTTTTAAAAAAGCAGTTAACGGACTTTTTATCGATTTAATGATTTATTGATTTATTGATTTATAGATTTATAGATTTATAGATTTATAGATTTATAGATTTATAGATTTATAGATTTATAGATTTATAGATTTATAGATTTATAGATTTATAGATTTATAGATTTATAGATTTATCGATTTATCGATTTATCGATTTATTGATTTATTGATTTATTGATTTATTGATTTATTGATTTATTGATTTATTGATTTATTGTTTATCGATTTATTGATTTATCGATTTATAGATTTATCGTTTATTGATTTATCGATTTATTGATTTATTGATTTATCGATTTATTAATTTACTGATTTATTGATTTACTGATTTATCGATTTATTGATTTGTCAATTTAGTGATTTACTGATTTACCGATTTATTGATCGATTTACTGGTTTATCGATTTATTGATTTACTGATTTATCAATTTATTGTTTTACCGATTTACGGATTTAAATTAAGTTTGTTTTTCCTTAATGTTTCTGTAAGCCAACTAAAACAAGAACTGGAAATTGATTTTCTTCTCGGTAATTTTAGCAAGGTGATGAAAAATATCACGTCTCCTAGGTCAGATTTCAAACTATAATTTAAGCGGTCAGGTTGAATTTCTCATTTAAAAAAGCAGTTAACGGACTTTTCTCTGTCTCAAAGAAGTCCTGATAGTTTTAAGTAACTGTTCGTTTATAAACTTTATAGATTTAAGTTTTGAGATGGATGGTTTATGAACGAAATATATTATTGTCGATTATTGATTTATTGATTTATTGATTTATTGATTATCGATTATCGATTATTGATTTATTGATTTATTGATGATTATTGATTATTGATTATTGATTATTGATTATTGATTATTGATTATTGATTATTGATTATTGATTATTGATTATTGATTATTGATTATTGATTATTGATTATGGATTATTGATTATGGATTATTGATTATCGATTATCGATTATGGATTATGGATTATTGATTATCAATTATCGATTATCATTCATTTAATTGATTTATTGTTTTTCCTTAATGTTTCTTCAAGCCAACTAAAACAAGAACTGGAAACTGATTTTTCTTCTCGGTAATTTTAGCAAGGTGATGAAAAATATCATGATCTCTCTAGGTCAGATTTCAAACTGTAATTTAAGCGCTCAGGTTGAATTTCTCATTTAAAAAGCAATTAACGGACTTTTCTCTGTTTCAAAAGCCCTGATAGTTAGTTTTTAAGTAACTGTTCGTATCATTATTGCTTAGTTATCTTCAGTTTTTGAGATGGATGGTAAAGCGGTTGCAGAGTAAGGAGATGATTGTCGATTATTGATTATTGATTATTGATTATTGATTATCGATTATCGATTATCGAAACTTTATTGATGCTCTCATCTGATGATTATTGATTATTGATTATTGATTATTGATTATTGATTATTGATTATTGATTATTGATTATTGATTATTGATTATTGATTATTGATTATTGATTATTGATTATTGATTATTGATTATTGATTATCGATTATGGATTATGGATTATGGATTATTGATTATCAATTATCGATTATCATTCATTTAATTTAAATTTGTTTTTCCTTAATGTTTCTTCAAGCCAACTAAAACAAGAACTGGAAACTGATTTTCTTCTCGGTAATTTTAGCAAGGCGATGAAAAATATGATCTCTCCTAGGTCAGTTTTCAAACTGTAATTTAAGCGCTCAGGTTGAATTTCGCATTTAAAAAAGCAATTAACGGGTTTTCTCTGTTTCAAAGAAGCCCTGATAGTTAGTTTTATGTAACTGTTCGTATCATTAACATTTAACTTAGTTATCTTCAGTTTTGGGATGGATGTAAAGCGGTACCGAGTAAGGAGATAAAAATCTAGTTTTTTACATTTCATTTATTACACGCCTATATCGATATTTTAAACTTCGGTATATTCGAAACATCCCTACTCTCATCTGTCACATTTTTTCTTCGTCGCTATCTTCAGTTCGATCGCTGTCATCCTGACAGTTAACTTGAGACATTTTGGTTTTTATTTTTAAATACGAATTAAGTTAATTTATAAGGTATAAACATTTTAACGAAAGATAACTCAAATACAAATTGCCTAAATATGATAGAACTGGAATTTCTAGAGACATAAAAAACTAAACTTTTTTGGCAGTAACTGGGTGCGTAAAAATGTAAAGCAAAATAATTTATATTAATTTTGATATTTTGCTGTTCTTCGTGAATGATTTTCAGATTAAAAAGCTCTATTGAATCTTTCATCATGAGTAAAAACAATTATACGTGGACCAGTGAACAAATGATAGACAGTGCAAGCTCATGGTCTCTTGCAGGAGATGTTGCTTTACTGAATCGACTAAAAAACCTCTCTGAGGTATGTGTATTTATAAAAATATAGTTAGAACAATTATTTTAGCAAGTATTCTAAATAAATTGCAGTACCTAATAAAAGAAACTGTCACAACCAGCACCAACGTGGATAAACTACTCAGAGACTTGGATGTGGTTCACTTCAAGCTAGATTTAACAAGAAATGAGTTTCACTCTTTAAGAAATACCCAATTCATCGAAAATAGAGTGTATGAAGACGATGAAACTCTAGAATCTGAAGATATTAGGGTTTGTAACTTATTTTAGTGATTAAAACAGGCTTATTAGCTTCATTTTTAGATAGAAAATACTGAATCTAGTGAAGAGAAAGATAACATAATAAAAAATTCGATTTTGAAAGGGCTAAACACGATTAATAATTGTTTTGATAGAGTTGAAGTCGCTGTAAGTGATAGTGAGGATGATGAAACGGGAACCAGGTACTTATAACAGTTTTTTTTAAGTTTAAACCTCCTTTAAACGTATTTTTTTAGTTATATTCTACAGCCTAAAGATATATATGTAGATAGACCTTTACCATACTTAATAGGTTCAGAAGAATGGTACAAAAAGTGGCATGTTGGACTGGTACCATCGGAAAGTGAATCTGAGTCCGATACTAAGCCTGACAGTTATAGTCCCAGTTTGTCTGATGATGAAGAGATATCCAAAGATAAAGTAAGTACTTGTAGATTTGAATTTGTGTATAAAATATATCATATTATCTATGATAAAAATTATTTTTAACTGTATTGTAGGGTTCAGAAACAAGTTCCGAGCTGAGATTTAGTGATAATGGAAATAATGCACCTGTTGCTCATTCAACATTTAATGATACACAAAATTTGACTTATTCTTCAGAAGAAGGGTCTTTGTCTTCAAAGGTATGTGTTTTTTCATTAAAAATTTAAAATTATAAAAACTGTTTCAGAGATATAAATAAATGATCAGTCTTTTTTTTTAAAAATATTAAAAATATAAGATGTGTCCAGAAATCGAAAACTAAGCTAGGTACTTACTGTAGTTGGTCTGTACTTACTTTATTATAAATGATGTAATCTTAAATCGTACCGGGTGTTCAAAATTCCACGACAAACTTTCTAAAATATAAAATTTTGTTTTCCTTTTTTTTGTACACTCTGTAGATAATTCTCTTGTTAGTTGGAAAATGAAAAAATGAACCTTTCTATTTTAAAATTCTTAATGATTTCGCAGATATTTTAAAATATATACGTTAAATACAAAAAAAAATTTATATGTTTAGTACATTATTTTTAATATGAAAGACTAATGGTAGAATAGTATACAGGATGTTGCTTTATGTGGGTGATTCTTGGATCTATTCTAAGAAAAAAATCTCCTAAACCTCTTAATTTTTGAGATATACAGGGTGGTAATTTTTTTTCATTTAGTTGGAGTCTTCTAATGAAAAATTTGCCAGACAATTGGCTGCAAGATTGGACAACATTAGTACTAACAATAGTACTATCGATAACGGGAATATTAACAATGTTAGATCCATACAACAGCCAACAATTTATGGTAAAAAAAATAAAAAAAAATATTTATTAAAAGTTTAATTTTATACACTTTTAGGAAACCTATTCTCTGAAGAACCGCCTCCTTTAAGCGACGATGAGCAGTTTAAAAATAATATCGCAGATAAATCTAGCCAAAAAGAGAATCTTTGGCCAAAAAAACCTGACAGTAATAACATACAATTTTTTTTAGATATACAGTGTGGCCCATAAGTGCGGGGAAATCCAATATCGTCCTTGTAATTGAAAATACGAAGATATGAAAAAAGTTTTCTGTGAATGTTGCACGGTTTATAAATGTCCATAACCTAAAAATATCTTATTCTGTACAGGGTTTCTCAAAAAAATTTACCATGCAACGTTTATATTAAACTTTTTTCTCGTATATTGGTCAACAACAACATTTGACTTCCCCTCGCACTAATGGGCCACCCTGTATACATAAATATTGAGTATTTTCTAGATCAATTACCGAAAAATCAGAATATATCGAATATATACAGGGAAAATACAAAGACTAAAGGAAATCTGTTTGATGAAAGTTCGAGTAGCGAAGAAGATATATCGGCTGTAGTGAATAAAAGGACAACAGCATCAAAAACGTCATATCTGTCATCGCAAAAGGTCACCGTACCTCTGGTGGACGACGAACCGCCTGAATTGTCCTCCCACAGTGTAGAGGACACCTCCAAAAAGAAGGTAATTTTTTTTCTTCTAATTTTCCTGATTTATATACTATGCATAAAATAATAAAAAGTTTTTGGGCATCTGTAGCTCCTTTAAAAAAGGCAAAAAGGACTTAGGAATTTTGTTTAAGTGCATACCTAAAGTATGTGCTGGAATGTATTTCGGGAAAATACTTCAACTTCTACAGGGTGGTTCAAAAAAGTTTGAGTGGATCGGGATTATTTTTTTTTAATGGAACACCCTGTGTATTATTGCATTTTTGGCTTCTTTCTTTATCACTTTATATAGTGCTAAGGTATTATTAAATTTGTTTCGATAGTTTCAGAGATATAAATAAAGAAATGAAAAAAAAAAATTTCAGCCTTTTTTAAGAAAAATATTAAAAATATAGGATGTGTCTAGAAATAAGAAACTATACTAGGTAATTATTGTAGTTAGTCTGTACTGACTTGATTATAAATATCGTAATATTATATCCATACAGGGTGGTTAAAATTCAATGTTAAACTTTCTAATATATAAAATAACTTTTCTTAGTTTTTTTTAAATGAAACACCCTGTATATTATTTTTTTGTTAGATGGAGATTTAAAAAACGAACATTTTCTGTATTTAAAGTGTTTCAAAATTTTCAACGGTTTCGCAGATATTCGCGGTTTTATATTACATACAACTTTTCCAATAGAAATTTTTATCGAATAATCTTGAGCCACCCTGTAGAAGTTAAAATATTTTCCCGAAATACATCTACAGTACATGCTCTAGGTATATGCACTTATACAAAACTCCTAAGTTTTTTTTTATTATAATAAGAACTAGAGATGCCCACTAGACACTTTCGCAGGACCTTGTACATATTTCTTTTTATTTTTCTAGAAACCTGTAGGTGGAATATCGATATTCGGTAATCAGGACTTGAATCTCCCTAAAGCGTTAAAAAAATCCGTTTTGTTTGATGAACTATCTAAAGAAAATGATGTAACAGATAACAAAGATATAAAAACACAAAAAAATACTCAAAAAAAGTTAAATTTGTTTGAAAATGATAACGAAAATGACGAGGAAGATGATATTTTATCAAAAAGGAGTCAAGAAAGTAACAAAAACCTGAGTTTATTTGGTGAAAACGATAAAAAAATGGCCGATGTTGAAACAACTAAAAGAAAAACTTACAAGAAACTCAGTCTTTTCGATGACGATGATGAAGATGATAATGAAGATGAGATTTTCAGCACTATTTCAGCTAAAAAAGAGCCACAAAGTTCTGAGTCTGCACCAATTAAGACAGAATTACAAAAGACCAGAAAAAATATCAGTTTATTTGACGACTCTGACGATTCTGATACGTTATTTGCTGGAGGCTCGGAAAAATTACCGGAAAATACCGAGAAAAATGTATTGAACGCATCAAGTGAACCTAGATTTTTCGAAAAAATCGAGAAAGAAAACTCTCAGGAAGAAAATACAAATCAAGGTGGCACAGAAAGCAATGAACCGCTAAAATCTCGAAAGAATATCAATTTGTTTGACAGCGACGATTCGAATTCATCTGACGATGAAAATATTTTTGATCTGAAACGCCCTGTTAAAAAAAATCCAGAAAAAATTGGCGAAAGTACCAAAAAAGACGCGTTAGAATGTTTTGAAGAACCGCCACAAGATAAAGTTGATTTTAACACTGATATTATGGGCGAAGGCAATGATATAGTACGTCCAACAATGAGTGAAAACGATACTTATTCGGAAGGGAAATCGTCCAATGGAAATGGAGAGATCGCAAGAACGGATGAAGGTAATTTCACGAAATATGACGATTTCAGGTCGATAATATTGATATACAGGGTGGTCCTAACTGTATTCCGGAAGTATTCTGCAGATAAAAATAAGTAAAAGTTTTTACCAAGAGATAGTTTATTCGTAAAAAATCACGGAAATGAATATTTTTTTCTCAGTAATAGTTTACAGGTACAGACGAAAAGTTATTACTCTTCAAAACAGTTAACACACATGTAATATTGACGTTACTGCAGAAATTATTTGAAAAAAATCGAAATAAATATGAAACTTCTACCCCCTGTATATCCGAAACTAAGCATTTTAGGACATACATTTCTACGAAGTTTTTTACTTATTTTTGTCTGCAAAATATGCTGTCGAACTTTCCGGAATACAGTTAGGACAACCCTATATACCACACAATCGAAAAAAACGGTGTCAAAGACGCATGGGGAACGACAATCGACGATAATTTTGGCATGGTCAAACCCAGAGACTTTTCGATTGTACGGTATAAATAGTAAAAAAACATTTCTCTTTCAGGCAAAACTGGCGGCAATTTTATACACGACCCTCCTTCTATCAGTTTGTTCGATTCGAGTCCCCCACCCGTCAATTGGGGGGACAATAGATCGGACAACAGCGCGGAAAACAGCGACGACGCGGACACGTACTCGATCAACGACGCCATATTGGATCGTATTACGTCCGGCAGCCAATCGGAGCGGAGATCTCAGAGTCTGTTCGATAATGAACCGCCCAGCCTTGACATTGATGTAAATTACTCCAGCGGCATCGTGGTCAAGGATTGCGAAGATGTGACCAGGTAAGTATCGACTAGCCCTGTATACAACGGGGCTAGTCCCAAATTCCTGAGCCTCATTGTATATTGTTTCTTTAACGTTTATGCAGGGTCGAAGGAGACGATTCTTCGTTCTATCCCTATGCTTCTTCTTCGAGAAGATTTTCCAGTGATCTATTTAGAGAGCAACAAGGCCAAGATAGTTTCCAAATCACTAAAAATATAACTGCGGAAAATTCGATGAAAATTCAACCGATTTTGGAGAATAATGCTGAAAAGCACGACAATAGTACCAAAATAGATTGTTTCACGCCGAGCGGTACTTTAGGGGACTTTGAAGACGACGAAGACTCGATATTTTTTGAAAAAAGTAACAGGGATGAAAGTAAAGGTTTGAGATTTATTTTTGAGACACCGTATATATAACAGTAGCTCCTATAATAACAAGCCTAGAAATTTTCAAACACTTTAAATACAACAAATGTTCATTTTTTTAACTCTGCACCTATCAAAAAAAAAACAATATACAGGGTGTCCCAATATTCCGTGGACATACTACGTATCTTTGAATTCAAAAAATTTTTGCTACAGAAATGCTCGACGCACTGTTGCAGCACCCTGTATATACAGTGATCACTAAAATAACGTAAAATCAACTGATTTTTTCCAGGTACTCCAGGCAAGCTAAAGCACAATTTAAATATAAACGTTGCAGCTTTATTACCTAACGCTTCACGTCCCAAAGTAAATTTTGCGACACCCCGTAAAATAGATACATTGGAAAATGAATCACACGAAAATAAAGAAGATTTAGATGTGGTCGATAACACTGGCGTTTTAGTGAGCGTGACAAAGGTAACTGGACAAGTTTAATCGATCTCACTGTATAGTGTACATTTTTATATATGAGACACCGTGTATATAGGGTTATTCACGCTTATTAATCGAATTTACCTTTATTTCTATAGCAGAAACTAGAAATGTAATAATATAAAGGGTGTTTCGTTAAAAAAAAAATGATGTTTTTTCTTTATTTCGGACACTCTGTACATTACGAAAATAATTTTAAATTGTAGCTCTAGTAGTCCTTCAACTATTCTATTAGCCCCAATTTCTGTTATAATACTCCTTGATAGGGTAGAGCGTGAATAACCATGTATAAGTATGGGACACCGTGTATATCGCATCTAAATGTTTCAGAATCGAGCAAAAATCCCGGTGAAAAGGAGACCGTCCACGAGACGGGCCAGACACGAAGCTGTCAGAAAATCTATGATAGAAACAGAAAACTACTTTACCGACAATTCGTCACCAGTTACAGTCGATACCAGAGACGATTCTGTCATTGATAATAAATTAAAAGAAAAATCGTTGTTAGACGATGAAAAAAACAAAGATTTTCCTACTAAAGGATCGGAGAGCTCTAACCTACAAGAAGGATCGGATATAAGACATTTGTTACAACAAGAAACAACACCAGAATATATAAAACCCCCTGTATTTAATCCAGATAATTCTTCTTCGAGTGATGAAGATTTCTTTAACAAAGCGATGACCAGGAGTAAAACGCAAAGTTTTCCAGATAAAAATGAACCGTCAGCTATCAAAATAGCAAAGCAGGCCTCAGACAGTGAAAAAACAAAAGATTTTCCTACTAAAGATCACATAATAGGACGGCAACCTAACCTACAAGAAGGCTCAGATATAAGACAGACAGGTGACGTTACAATTGACACACATCATTCATTACAACAAGAAAAAACACCAGAATATATAAAACCCCCTGTATTTAATCCAGATAATTCTTCATCGAGCGATGAAGATTTCTTCACCAAAGCGATGACCAGGAGTAAAACGCAAAGTTTTCCAGATAAAAATGAACCGTCAGCTGTCAAAATAGCAAAGCAGGCCTCAGACAGTGAAAAAACAAAAGATTTTCCTACTAAAGATCACATAATAGGACGGCAACCTAACCTACAAAAAGGCTCAGATATAAGACAGGCAGGCGACGTTACAATTGACACACATCGTTCATTACAACAAGAAAAAACACCAGAATATATAAAACCCGCTGTATTTAATCCAGATAATTCTTCTTCGAGCGATGAAGATTTCTTTACCAAAGCGATGACCAGGAGTAATACGCAAAGTTTTCCAGATAAAAATGAGCCGTCAGCTATCAAAATAGCAAAGCAGGCCTCAGACTATGGAAAAACAAAATATTTTCCTACTGAAGACGACGTAGTAGGACGGCAACCTAACCTGCAACAAGGCTCAGATATAAGACAGGCAAGTGACGTTACAATTGACACACGTCATTCGTTACAACAAGATATACAGCCAGAATCTATAAAACCCCCAGTATTTAGTGAAACTATTTCTTCTTCATCTTCGAGCAACGATGAAGATTTCTTTACCAACGTACTTGCCAATAAGAATACTACGAAAAGTTTGGCAGGTAAGAGCGAGCCGTCATCTGTCATAAAAACAGCAAAGCAGGCTAGTAGTTTGTTTTCCGACCAATCGGGGTCCGATTACAGTGACAGCGAATTGTTTGGACCGAAAACAAAGGCGTCTACTGCCAAAAATCAGATCGACAAGAAGGCTAAGGAAACAACGAAAAAAAACAGTATATTTGACGATTCAGATGACAATGACAGTAGTGACGGCTCCCTGTTTGGAGGAACCAAATCGTCTCGCGAAACTGCGAAGTTTGACGAAAAAAAAGGTAAAATTATTAATCGAAAAAAAAACTATGTCAAGGACGGCTAAGGAATGACAATTGATAATTTTGGCGAGGTCAAGCCCAGAGACGTTTTTTTTTATTTTTACGAAGTTCTATGTCAATCCTTCGTAAACGTCTTGACCTCGCCAAAAGTATCGTCGATTATCATTCCACAGCCGTCTTTGACGCCGATTTTTTCTCAATCATACAGTATTTTAGGAAATTAGGTTTTTAAATCGATCTCTCGAATACAGGGTGTACCAAAAAGTGCCCGGATAAGATTTCTCATCAAAAAATGTGAAAAAAAGTTCCTATAACAGAGGTCAAGAGATTTGATTAGTTTTAAAGATACAGGACGCGTGTGCATTTTTTTGGAACACCCTGTATATCATATAGGATCAAAAAAATGTATGTATTTATTTTGTATTTTTAGCTGCAAAGTTAAATCCAAGAGCGAAAATTGGTAAACCGAGCAACATAAGGAAATTGGAAAACAAAGAAGTGACAGACTTTGATCCGCTGTCAGATTTACATTAAGTTTCATTTATTATATAGTCTGTCCGGCGAGAGAGGGACATTTTTGACAGTGTCATTTTAATTCACGGTTAAACTGTGTATTTTCCGTCATTTTTTTGGAGAAATGTTCCCTTACTCATTGGACAGACTATACTTATTACATTTTAAGGATATTTTGTATTCTTATTATTAATATATTAATTGTTTATATAAGTAAAAAAATATATTTTGAAACAGACGGCAGAAAAATAGAATAAGTGTATATATTATTAAAGAAAATATATTATCATAAACATTATTATACAGATTATTACAAGAACGGGTAAAATTTAAATATATTATATATTAACATATTTTGGCCTCATTTTATTGTAATATTTTGTAATGTCAACTTTACTCTTTTCTAAATATATACAGTGTGTCCCCGGAGGAAAAACTTCAAAAAATCGTGGGCATACTGTATAACGTTGTTCCTATAGGAGTTATATAAAACATTTATATATTTTTTAGTGATATAATATAACATTAAATATCTTATAGTAACCTATACAAAAAAAAAATATTTGCACGTTTTAAGACTAGGTAGTCTAGTCCAATGAACTAGACTGTGTGTGCAAAAATAATATTATAGTAAATAAAAAAATTCCAATACTTTATATACATAAAATTGGTTTTTTTGTGATATTTTTTTGTTAAATTAACAGAGGGATGATATATTTGTACATTTTTACAAAATTATTGCATAAAGTTTAATTTAAATTTTCAATAAATTTTTCAAAGATATACTCTGTTTTTTATTTAGTATAAACTTTGGAAAATTCGTCATTGCACATTCATACATCGAAATACTACGGTATAATCGAAAAAAAACGACGGCCAGTTGGCGTGGAAACGACGATACAAAATTACAGCGATTGCGCTGATTTCCAAGCCCACTCTGACGCCGTTTTTTACGATCATACTGTATATGTAACTGAATAAAAGCATATGAACATGTCTTGATGTATTTTGCCCGGGAAAATAAATAATTTTTAAATTAAATTAAAATTAAATTTAATTCTATCTACACCAATATGTTTTTCATAATAATAATCATGAAACGGATATTAGTAAAAATAAAAACAGTTAGAAACGATAAAATAAACGTAAATATTAACGGCGATACAGTTTCCAAGAATTCCCTCTTACTCTGCTTAAACTATACCTTTCCTAAATTTTTGAAATATTTTAAACACTAATATTTATTTTTAACATAATCATCTCATTAATAATCTCTCTAAAAATAATTAAATACTGATTTTTCCGAATATATACAGGGGGCGTTAAAAAAACGGTTAACTTTTCTCGACTCGACGTTTTTTCTTTTGAAACACCCTGTAGTATAAAACGTATTATATGGGTGTATGCGTGCTTATATAAAAATATGTTCTCCGTGTTGTACAAGTTTAATTATATACAGGGTGTTCTCTAATGACATACTAATATTTCTAAGAAATAAACTTCATAAGATTATAAGCCTTAAAAATCTTAACTGTTTTGAGATACTACACAGGGTGGTAAAATTTTTTAAAAAAAATTCTTCCTGCGTGATATCTAACTTTCAATAAATGCAGAATAATTAATAATATAACCAATGCTTATTCAACACCGTTTTTTATGTCAATTTTACACGATTTTTTTTATGTAAAAAAAATCTATTAGCGAGAATTATAGAGAAATTATGAAAAATGAAAGTACATGCCTACAGTTACTAAAAATATAATATACCGGGTGTTATATTTAATAAAAAAAATCTTAAAAAATATTAATATGTCATTAAGGAACTTCCTGTATACTCTGGAGGGGATTAACCTTAAATAATTCAAAATGTGTTGGCGTATAAACGATAAAAATGAAAATTATGACGTTTTGATGCCTTTTTTGACAGTTATTATGACCTGTCTAGTCCGTTTTCTTTGGACAATTTTTCCGTTTTGAGTTTAATTGTTTGCTTTTTGTGCTCTTCTCTAAAATCACGCTCCGTTAGGTCCAACCGGTTAATGCTGTAAATTAAGTTTTCTTCACTCAGTATATCTTCCGGGGGATTCCTTAATCTATCCAGAGTTTCACATAAACCTAAAAATAAATACCTTGTAATATAAATCCCCAGCAAATTTAAACAAATTTTGTATAAATAGACTTTTTCTACGCCAAAAGTCATAAAGCCTTGAAAAGAAAATATTCAAGAATTTTTTTAAAGTTGTTGAAATATTTATTAGGGACCTTCGCCATTTTGTCAGGAAAACAATTTTTTTTACCCAACATAATCTAGCTAAAAAATAACTTACCCGGACAATTTTTCCTGCTTTTGGGCGTACCCAGGCACCCTATTAATAATACCAGGGCGGTTTTAAACAGAACCTTCACCCCCTCGCACAGAAATATGTCCCACACTCTGAGCAGAGTGTCCCAAGGCAAAGTCCTCGTGAAAGCGCACAAAAACCACTCGGTACAATAAAACATAGGCTCGGCATTGACTTTTTTTAGATGCCTGTATACTTGGGGACATACCTTTTTTAACAGACCTGTATTAAGGGAAAAAAATGTTAATTCCTGTTTTTAAAACTTATTCCAATGACTTAAAAGAATACAAGGAAGCTTACCTTCTAGAATAAAACCGTCCCTTTGAACCACTTCCATGTCAGGTGAATAATAATCTTTTAAATATCTGTCAGATATAGATATTAGACACCAAAATGCCTGTTCTGAGGGCATGTGCATCAAGAAAAATGCCGCTACCGGGGCCTGTGCCTGACAATATCCAATTTTAGGGTTATAAACGGTATAGGCTTTCAATACATTAAATAATTCTTGTTGCCTGTAAAGATTATTTAATAAAAACTCCAGAAAAATTAAAATAACTTCAGAAAAAAATCATACCCTGGCTTGTCCTGTGAGTTGAACATTTCATGCTGGGGAAACTGTCTGTGAATATCTTTTTTTATGTCTTCCAGGCATTTAGGGTCTCCAGGTTCGGTCAGACATTCTTGGTAACGGCCTTCATTGTTGTTCATCATCGTACGGCCTCCGCACAGGTATAACCATGCCCTTGGCCGTATGGACATTGGAATCCCTAGTTAGAGAAATGTAGAAATATGATATTTTTACCAATATATTGCTAGACATATTATTTACCTTTACGGCATCTGTCCTTAATTTTCCTATAATTCCTTTCCATATAAAAATTCCATGTATTAAGCATTTTAAGCCATTTTCTCTCCCTTCTCAGTACTATCACAGGAGGAGGCCCTTGTCTAGGCTCAGGAGAATATTGTGAACCCCCTAAAAGAATCAAATTTATCAGTGTTTGAAAATGGCTAAAATAAATATCATCCCCTATCTCACGTAAATTAGGAGAACTTGGCACACTTAGGATTTCCCTAAAGATACATCTTTTATCTTACAAAGTGCTGTAACCGTATCTATCACGGTATCAAAGCAGTGATAGAAAAAATTACAAGTTTAACACAGGCAATTTGTTTTATTTATACATACCCAGAAATCCATGTCTATCTGGTACAGTCGAAATCACTGATCCGTCAACTAACGTAGAGGCCTCAGAACACTCAGAAATGGTATCAGCGTTAATTAAATGAGCCATATCGAATATAAAATTAGAAATACCCACATTAAAGAACTTTTAATGCATGTTTACAAATTCAATGTTTACCACCCACACTGTCACCCAGTGTTTTTTTTACTTTTACACTTTTATACGCACATTTTAGGCGAACATTAAAGTTATAACAATAAAATACCGTGTAAACTTGATCAAAGTTCGAGAATATATACGAAAATACTCAATTAAACTACTAATTTATTTAATTATTAATAAATTTATAAAATTTAAGGAGGATCAATTGTCAAAGTGTCAAATTTATGACATTGACAGAGAGAACCACAGATCAATAATTAACTTAGAACTATAGAGTATAAAAAAGCATTACGTAAATATTATTCAATGGTAACATTAGGAATGTGTACAAAATCGATATTTTCGATACAGCTTAAAGTAAATTGATTGCTACAGCAACTTAAAACCGTTAAATGGAAGAGATGAAAGAATTAAGGAGGTTTCTGTCCTACTAACAGCATTAATTAATATTTAATAAAGATGGCTATACCCTATTAGCAAGCCAGAAGGTCCTAGCTGCTTAGATCTTCCTTTGCCAACATTTTCTTCAACTCAACAGTCGGGGTATGGGATTTCCCAGGCTCGCTTTATAGCGATCCTCGTCTGTGTGTCATCATCTATATAAACGCTCAACCGTAGGTAGTTAATTCTACCATCCGGCCGGATAGCCCTGGCAGCTGTGGCCATTAAACTAATATACTACTGTAACCAAATTTTTAACCGTTAAATTTTGAAAAAATAAACAAACGGAAAATTGGAGATATTATGTCGGAAAGTTTTAACAACATTGAGTCCAAATTGGAAAAACTAGGCAAAATCGACGAAAATCAGGAACGTCGCAGATCGTTCTTCCAGAATCCCAATCAGACGACGGCAGAAAAAAAGAAAAATTGTGCTTTCGAAGACGAATGGAACAGGCGATGGGGACACCATAATTTAGATTATGTGAACGTCATAGAATATCCTAAGGAATACGTAGAGCAACTTAAGAAAGATAGAGAAACCAGATTGGCTAGTTTGAAGAAAATGTGTGAAAGGTAAATTCACTTAAGTGTGGTCCGTAATACTGCTGTTAAAACATAACAATTGCTTTTTATATATAAAAACCAGCTGTTATCTTTTAACAACAGGATTACGGGACGTCGTTGCAGCCGCCCTTTAAATGTCCGAAATTCTAACTAGACTTATTAATTATCTTTAGTTCACGTTCAGTCCAAGAAGAAGCATCCAGTTCCACTTTGGTAGTGACTGAAGATATGTTGAATGCAGAGCAAAAGCGCCTTTTGCAGATTATCGATTCAAAAATTAATAAATATGTCAAAGATGCCACCGCACTTATAAACAAGATGGAAGTGATTAAAAAAACAGAAAATGTAGTGTTTGAAAAGCATGAAAATGGAGCAAAACATGTTGAAAATGTTAACTTATAAAGTATTTATTTGTATATTAATTTCTGTACATTTTTTTCTATTACATTTGGACAAAATAAAATGAATTTATAGGAACTTTATCCTTTTTTATGTTATAATGAATATTTTACTGTTTCACATCGAAACAGGAACTTTTTACTGGATTCAAGAGTGAAAAAGTTCCATTTTTGTTAAACAAATTATTAAAAATTTCGAAATCTCTTCTGAAACCGTTTAAAATTTCCATTGGTTTTTGAAGTTTTTGAAAATAAAAAGTAGGGAAATCATAACCAATCATGATATACTATTATCAATTATTATCTGTGGCATGCCTACGCCAAAAACCACAGAAGCTTTTCGCTGGATTTAGTTATTCTGTAGCCCCATTGTATTATTTTTCCCTGCCACATAGCTGTATTCAATTTTTAATTTAATAGTGTAAAAATATGTTTAACTAATTATTTGTAACTGTAATAATTAACCAATGCTAGTTAACATGTGAAATTACATTAGATTTTTATTTGTAGGTATTTTAAATTTGATTATATAGTAATCTGAGTAGGGAAACTACTATGGGGGATTTCAAAAAGCACAAATGTTATCAGACGAGAAGAATCATGCTCTCAGCTTCTCATAGATTACATAGGTACATTACATGATGGTACATTATAGGTATATGTAGGTATTATAATTTGAGTTATAATAGTACTCTGCATAGATATAAATGCTTATTTGTATCTTACGGGTACCATGTACATATATATGTGTTCTGATTCTTTTATTTTAAGTCCCATACATTTCTTTTTTAGTACTGTGTTCTCAAGCGCTTTTCTCATTGTTTATTATATTATTACACTTCTTTTATTTTCTAGTCCACATCTAAGTATTGAAGATAATAAGAGGATATATGGAAAATGTAACCATATCAATGGTCATGGCCATAATTACATTGGTATTGGCTCTTTTTTTAATTCACATTAGTATATTGCAATGTATTTTTTTAGTAAAAGTTACCCTTTATGGAGAAATCGACCCCAAAACTGGTATGTTAATGAACTTGGCCGATTTAAAGGAATATATGGAGGAAGCAATAATGGAGAAAATGGACCATAAAAATCTAGACCAAGATATCGAATACTTTAAAAACGTCCCTAGTACAACAGAAAACGTTGCAGTATTCGTTTGGAATCAAATGAAGGACGTAATGGACCACCCCGAATGGCTGTACGAAGTTGAAATCCATGAAACAGAAAACAATATCGTCAAGTACAGAGGAGATTAAACACGTTTTTTGTATGTATCTATAAAATATATTGCTATTTATTAAAATTACAGTTTATAGTTTATCAAAGACCTCCTACTGTCTTTACACCAGAGCTTTACACCTTTATTTTTATCTCTGGGTGTCTGGGTTGGCTCCACAGTTTGCTCTATGACGAAATGTCCAGAGATATAGAGAAATATATCTTTACTTGTAGACTGGTCACCCCTAACAGCTTACGCCTTTAAATTAATAAAAAAAGAAGAATTTTTTAATTAATTTCAAAGCAAGGCCCTGTTCCCAGAAGAATCCCTGATTAGTCAGCGCGTTTTTTATTGGTTGAAATGTGTAGAAACCAGACTAACAATCAGGTTTCTAGGCATTTTAACCAATGAGAAACGTGCTGACTAGTCAGGGATTTTTCTGGGAACAGACCTTAAGCTGTTAGGCCTAACTGGCTTGTTAGTGTTAATCAATACAAAAACAATATAAATAACTAATTATTACACGTAAGATGCTAAAAACAGTACAGAAAAATCTAAAATCCATCTATTTCAGTCTATAAGCAAAGAGGAGATAAAACCTATTCTTAGTTCAAATAAAATAGCTCCTCCCTACTTCCACATCTCTGAGTTTAACGTCAAAATAAAAAGAAATCTTTTTTACCGGCGCCGTCAGTTTGACAATCAGCTGATTTTAGTTTTGTAAATGTCATTAAAAATCGTGCTAAAGGTCAGGATTGGTGACTATAATGACTATAATCGCAAAAATGTGTAATTAAACGAAAAATACACTATTATAATCTTATCTCTATGAAATGAAATAGAAAACAGCAAATTCGACGAACGTTTGGGTAATTTTTAACCTGTTTTTTACAATATATTCCAGTAAACTCTTGTGAGAAAGTTTTTGTTTATCAATGCACTATATAAACAAAAGGTTTATTTTATAACAAATACTCTGTATTTTAGGTATTTAGTTAGTTAATTGGTAGCTATGATACCAAAGATATTCTTCGTTCAGAGTGTGTTATAATTTATAAAGTAACAATGAATACATCCAACATGTTTGAAAAAAGTGAAGCTTCTCAATGGAACTCCACAATACATCAAATACCTCTGGACCATATCAAGATGGATTCAAACTTTTTAATGCTCTTATTCTCCCTAATTTTTGCAGTACTCTGGGTCATCTACATTACATATTATAACTCCAGAATTCTCGGCTATATTATAACAAAAGTCTTGAACAAATTTATCGTTGAGGGGTATTTCAAAGTCGGTAAGTACCTGTATATATATATATTTAATACTTAGAAAAATATATTATTTGTTTTATTATCAAATCTAGGGTCACTTAGTGTGAATGCTCTGTCCGGAAAAATAATGTTCCGTGATTTTATTTACATTACTCATGATTACACTCTAAGGATTCAGGATGGTTACTTAATTTTTCGATGGTGGAGGGCCTATGTACCTAGAGATGTGAGTGAAGATCTATCCCATTCAGATACTAGACTATCGGTAATGTTGAATGGCTTTGAATTACATGTTTACAATAGGTTAGTGTCTATGGATAATTATATGAATTTTTTTCAAAACTTTTTTAAATTTTAGATCGGATTTCTATTCCAAATTAGAAAAACTGTTTGGCTTAAGTTCTGACTTATTCCCTGATAACAACAAAGATCCACCTATCAATGAAGAAACAGAAAGGTCAGTATAAATGAATTTATGTCCACTGATTGGTATGAAAAATAGACACTTTAAAATTTTCAAGTATATTAAAATTCAAATATTTTTCGACCTAGTGGGCAATTTTGATGATTTTTTAAGCAATTTGTAGCTCAATTATTGGTCTTTCTAGCCTCTTTTTAAATTTTAAAATTAAAGTACAAATCTGTCTGTTATAAGAGGCGAAACAAAGTGTTGTTATTTTGATGGTGAAAGTTGTTGTAAAAACACCCCGTAGAATAGTTTACTAAAGCCAGAGCAACTTAAAACCGCTTTATCATGAAGGCGCATCTTTTCTCGACGATTTGCTTTTTGATTCATCTCAGTAGCTCGTTTTTTGTTGGAGATATTCGCTTTTTAAGAAGACAGTAACGATTATTCATTAATGTCTTATTAAAATGCGAAAACCTCCTATAAAAATAAAGCTATCGCGATAAATCAAAAAGTAAACTATGGACTTTAATTTTTATTTAAAAATAGAGATTAAAAATCCTCATCAGTGTATTTTTGAGCTTAGTTTTAATGTGATATATCTTGAAGGAACGACAACGAAATCCAAACCAGGAAACAGAAAACTAAAAAACAACGACCCGAGGCTGCGATGGCGCGAACGTGGAGGGATCTGATCCCTGTCATTAAGTGTGACGTCATTTCTAGTCGGCTTGTGTTCGGTAACAGACTGGTGCCCACTACTCTAAGTATTACATTCGAAGAAAGTCATTTTGTGTACTCAACCAAGCCCGCTGTATGCACTTTGGACAGGTTTATGCACTTCGTCAAGTGCAAGGCGGAGAACGTGAAGGTTATGTTAGCTCCCAGCTTAAAATATACAGGTAGAATTATATTTATGTATATGTTTACTATTAATCAATCTTAAAATCATTCTTTTTAAGGTATGCTGGACGAGCCTCCGCGCTATATGGGCGAGGGGTTTGTCCTGATGTCGTCAAACGATTTAGAATTGTATTTTTATATGGACGAGCCGGGTTTGGTACCTGAAGAACCCGTTTTGATCACTCTAGCCAATGGAGACATAGGTAAACTAATATTAATTTAAGTTTTGTAACTCAACGATTAGATTTTTCAAAATTGCGAGAAATTACACAGGGCTACGATTTAAAATTATTTTCAAAAGGTACAGGGTGTCCCAAATGAATAAAAAATATCAAAGTTGTATTTTTTTAAATGGGACGCCCTGTTTATTATTATATTTTTAGATTTTACAATCGAAATAAAGGTAAGTTTAACCCTTGTTTAACTAAGGTTTACCACACTTAAGCTTTGCCGTTTTTGAAATATTTACGTTCAATTTCATTTTGTTCAAATACAGCAAGAATTTTAATGCCTTTTTCTCTAAGCGTCTTTAAGTTTTTTAAACCAAATATGTACCGAAATTTTTTTTTTATTTGCTAAATATCGTGTGTGCAATAATAAAAATAATTCTACCTTATACAGGGTGTCTAAAAATCGGTTTTAAATACTTCCTACCTTCGAACGGCAATAACTTGTTTAATTTAAATAGAACACCTTGTATATTTTGTATGCATCAGATGCAGTATTTAATTATCTATCGAAAAGTATTATACCATTTTTTCACTAACGTCTCTGTTTTTCTTAAAAAAAGGCATATAATTCGAGCCTTTATTTAATTTTTTTTTCATAAAATCATAAATATTTCATAAACGGTATTATTTAACTGGGGCAAACGTTAGTGAAGTTTACCTTTATTTTAATCGTAGAAACTGAAACCGTAATAATATATAGGGCGTTCCATTTAAAAAAATACGACTTTGATATTTTTTTTTATTTAGAACACTCCCATCATCGATCCCATCAATTATAATTTCGAAAAATCTAATCATTTGATGTCGAATAGCACTAATAAGCCTGTATAGCTAATATAAGTATTTATACGGTTGTGTCAACTTTAGTTGAATCAACACCGCCTCAGTGGGGAGTGGATATTAAGTGTGGAAAAGGTACGAACTTTAGTTACGGTCCTTGGGCTGATAGACAGAGGGAACATCTATATAAATTTTTCTATCCACAAGACTACTTGCCAATGGAGGTTAGTATAATTTACTTTATATAACTTTTAGTACATTTTTTCTTAGACAACGCCGAAGAAAATGCAAAAAAAAACGAAAAGCACGGCTAAATAAAACACTTTTCTTTGTTTCACTTTTATTTAGGTTACTAAAGCTCTGAAACCAGGGGTCAAAAGAGAGATGCAATCCTTTGATGTGAGGCTTCTGATGCAAAACGATGCAACCATTGACGTGCTGTTCACCAAGGACAAGGAAACCAATGCCGTGCACATAAACGTCGGTGCTGGGAGTTATTTAGAGGTATTTAAAATAAAAAAAAATATATTCCCTGTTTTTTTACTTCTTAATTGATATTCTCTCTGTCAATTTCGACAGTTGACAGAGTGCAGGCGTACTGTATGATCAAATCCAATCATTATTCCCCTATTAACTGAATATTTTTACGGAAAAATTACTGATTATAAAGCCCAGTATACACGTAACGTTTTGCCTGCCAGCTTTAACCCTTCCGTTTTGACCGGCAGGTAAAACGTTAGGTGTAGAGGTAGCTTTATACAAACAAGAGGCAGAAGAGTTGAAATTTTGTTTATTTTTTTGAAGGTTACTATACCGTGGGTAACTAAAGAGTCTGGTTTTACTACAAAAATCAACGGGCAACTGTTACACTTGGAAGCGACTACGAGTTTACAATTCAGGGACTTGGTAGAGAGCGAAACTCTGGAATTTAGTATCCTGTGCCATTATCCGTTGATCTGGAACGACCATCAACTCTGGGAAGTGAATCTAACTGGTTGTAAAGCCACTGTTAATTTGATATTCGCGCACAAATGGTTCTTTACAGGTGCCTTTGTATTTTATATGTATTTTTCTATCGTCGATATGCATTGTCTTATTTCTTTTTAGATCTTATCAACGATTGGTCGTCCAAAGTTAGGCCGGATTTGATGCACTTTGTTCCATACACGTGGAGATTCGGATTGACGTTAAAACACTGCGAATTACTCACTATGATCAACCAGTACAACTGGATAGATTGTAGTAGTGCCGGTCAAAGAAACAGGTATTTTTTGTACTAAAAATGGTACATTTTATTAAATTGAGTATTCAAGGTCAATAATTTACATCAATAATCCGAACGTATCTTAGATGACTTCGTGGTCGTAAGTCTCGAAAATGTACTAAATAACTTTGCATTAAGTTAATAATTTTTAAGTATACAAAAAAATATATTTAGTTTCTTAGGTGACTGTGTTTCTTAAATAATTACCTGGAGATATTATACAATTTTAACGCTATTCTTTCATACGATAAAATGTAGTAAATATTGTACAAAAAATTAGTCGATCACATCCCTCGCATTTTTCGGGGCAGGTATTTCTATATTATCTCTTTCTCGAAATACGTATATACAAACTAGACAATGACTTGATGAATTTTGACAGACCTTGAATCGTCTTATTGTTTGAAATCTTTGTTTGAAATGGATTATTGTAAATTGGTATATATTTTTATACAGTGGCGTATATTTAAATTTTATTATTTTTTAAGGCTGGAAAATACACAGGTAGCGTTGTGCGCCCATTTTCTACATCTGTCATTCGATCTACCCTTTGACGAGTTTCTTCCCGATACAGTACCGATTAATTTAGCTATACAGGTTGGATTTTTATATATAATTTTCGATCTGTTAGATGTATTATTTTTGTTTATTTTTTTAAGGGTGAAAGTATAGATTTAAGCTTATTCATTCCGGAATTTCATACCAGTAGAAATGTGATTTCTTCCCTGGAAAAACACGCTAAAGTACTGTCAAAAGACGGGTCGAGTACTACAAAAAAAACCGAGATTATACCGAAGTGGAGAAATATATGTCAGAAGTCTGCGGGTTGGGTTGATTTTTGGTGGATACCCATAGGTATAAACGTATAAAAAATAAATAATATTTATTTACTGGCTATTTTTATTTAGGAGCGATTAATATACTGTACGTTTACCATCCATGTCCGCCTTTAGGGCCTCAGCCTCAAGCCGATATCTCGACTCCAGTAAAAGAGGAAATTTTATTATCTCCGATGAGATTCCCTCACCACAGAAAGAAACATAAAAGGTTTATATACATTTATTTTTGACTCGCCCTGTAGAGGGTGTCTCCCAAATTTGCGGGCGAAAGAGGTCTGAAATAAAGGCAAAATTAAATTCTTATAATTTCAGGTTATCTGTCCCAAGGTTCACCCGCAAATTTTTGAGTGTATTATTTTTTTTTTATTTTTCGTACTAATTTTTATAAATTTTAGATCTTTGGAGAGGGGGCAGAAATTCGATCCAACCACTTTAAAGGCCGATATCGTCACCGTGGAGCTAGAAATCGGTCCTTCGGTTCTGCTTTTGTACGGCACCGCCCTAAAGAATTTCATGATATTTAAGGTACGATTTTGAGGTTATTTTTCTGCTCGAAAATCACGTAAATTATTTTAGGAAAACGTTTTTGGCGAGGACCAAGTGTTTACCGATATGCAACAGGCCTCTTCCAACGAAAATAACGGTACCGCAGACCTAAAATCCGAGGATAGTACTAATAATATTCCTCTGGAATTAAGGGACGATTTCGATCATCGCTATTACAGACCTCTCGAGGTGGACGTTTCCATAGTGATGCACGATATCCAGGCGCATTTGTTGAAGGTAAGGTTAAAGAAAGCGTTAATCTTTCGTATTGAAAAAATGTACTAAATACCGTACAAAAATTTGGGGTAATCACGTCCCTATTTTAGGATTGTACAGAAAAGGATCCTCCTTGTCCCGTAATCCTGGTCGAAAGATTCGGTTTCGAAATGAAAAAAAGGTACGATCAAACCGAACTACAGTTGTTACTGAGTCCCGCCGTGCTTTTAGTGTCCGACAATGTTGTCAGACCGTCCAAAGACCGACACTTAAGTCAAGGGAGACTGACTTTGTCTTCGTTACAGGTAAAATCAATTGAATAAATTTAATAAACGTTTAATTAAATCAACTTGAACGAAAATAAAAACAAAACTTATAGAAAACGTAGTACATAATTGGAAATTTTTATTAATGTGTGATGTATTTAGATCAGGGGACACGCCATGTTCTCGGACGTGGGACAAACTCTAGACCAGGATACCATAGAGTATGCTTGGCTTGTTGAAATTCAGCTAGGTAGGTTTGTAACAACCAAATAAGACAGTATTTATTATATTAATTACAAATTATGAGCGTTTGTGTATAATAGACACTCGATCGGTACTTTTACTAAACGTGCCAAAATCAGTGAAAAAAAATTATCGAAACTTGAGAGCGAATTATAAGAAACGGGACCATTATCTCTGTTCATATTGTCTTTAGGTTTATTTATTCTGATCTTTTACAAACATTAATTATTATTAAAGGTAAATTCTCCGGAAAACTAACCACTCCTCAACTCTATTCGATTTGTGCGAGTCTGGAAACACTTTTGTTACTCATCATGGATGACGAAAACGAACTGAACTCTCCCAAAGACGACTTGATTTTGAATCAACCAATAGTAAAAAAGAAAAACCCGTCTAATTCACAAAACGTACATGTACAGCATGTTCAACAAGGTAAAGACATGTTATATTTTGGTTATGGATATGTCCGAAAAAGTATACTCCTCCGCTGGAAGGAGTATAGAATAAATTTATTTTATATTTTTTCTAACTAAAAAATATGTATTTTTAAGCGATTCAACATTTGCTTCAACCGAAAAATAGCGGGACTAGTCTGATGTCGCGAAATTTGAATACTAGTTCGAGCGCCACTAAAAACGAATTAAAAAATAAGAAAAAAGATATCGACGATAAAAGTGTGAGAGGATCGGTGAGAGTTCCGGCAACGTCGCAAGAAGAAACTACCAACAGTACAAACAACGCTGCCTCAACGTATTCGGAACACACCCTTAAGTACAAATTGGTCAGGGTTGCGATCGACGCTGTAGATTTTTGGCTGGTCGAGACGGGGGCAGCTTTGCAGTTATGGGTACGTTTTAATGATGATTTATTTTGAGGTTATTTTATTACATTTTGCGTTATAGTTGTCTCCGGTAAGGTTGGCAAGTTGTAATTTGCACGGGAAACAAGTCAGTTCCGGACTGTCATGCGTCATTTACAGCATGTCACTGAGACAGCTGGTCTGGCATCCTCACAAATACAATCCAAACAAGTAAGATCAAGATTTTATATATTTCAATTAAAAATGTACGAAATATCGTACAAAATTTTTGGGTAATCACATCCCTTCTGTTAACTTTTGCTTGAAATGTACAATAGTTTTGTCGAGTATACCTATAGCTCGTGTAATAAAGAACTGGATGAACTTACACTTGTACAGGGTGTCTCAAAAAAATGTGAAATATCACCTAGTTCTTCGTTATAAGAGCTGCAGAATCTAGACGCACTTTTACAGGACCTGTAGATGTAAAAAATAAATAAAAATATTTTTTTAGCTCTTCTATAGGTCTATAGGCTCTTCTATAAGTTCACTTGTACAGGGTATCTGGAAAAAGTGTAAATATCACCAAGTTCTTTGTTATATGAGCTACAGAATCCAGGCGCACTTTTGCGGGACCCTGTGTATGTAAAAAATGAATAAAAATATATTTTTTAGCTTTTTTATAGGTCTACATGTTCGCTTGTACAGGGTGTCCCGAAAAAGTGTAATGTACCTACGTTCTTTGTTATAGGAGCTACAGAATGTTTGAAGCACTTTTGCAGGACCCTGTATATGAAAAAAAATAAAAATATATTTTTTTAGCTCTTCTATGGGCCTATAGGCTTTTTTATATGTTTACTTGTATATGTTTACTTGTACAGGGTGTCTCGAAAAAGTGTAAATATCTTTAAGTTCTTTGTTATAGGAGCTAAAAAATCCAGACGCACTTTTGCGGGACCCTATATATATATATATATATATATATATATATATATATATATATATATATATATATATATATATATATATATATATATATATATATATATATATATATATATATAAATATAAAAAATATATTTTTTTCAGACCAAATTCATCAGAATCTCAGGATTTGTGGTTAGAAGTAGGCGCAATAAATTGTGGACCTCTAATAATTGAGTCGGCAATATCTAACGACATTAAAGAACAGCATCTGTATCAAACTCAGCAGAAATTCTTGAAAATACACGACGAGAAATTGAAAAAACTGTGGTTTTTGTGGCCCGAACTGAATAAAACTTCGGGAAATTGCGGATGTACAGGGGGTTGCGCTTTTTTCGGCGGCAATAGGAACGGACCCCGATTTTTTAAGCCCAGCAAAAAGGATTTGGACGAAGGTCTAAATATTGCGGCATTTAGGTTAGAACATTTTGTTTTATTTATTTTGTACTAACAATTATTATTTTTTTTAGGATAAATGAACCGGGGAAAGATCCAGGATACGGCCAGAGTATTCTACATGAGAATGCCCTAATTTTTAGAACGCCCCCGTATATTTTGAATGAAATTACGTTGCAGGATACGCTGAGCTACAATAAGAGTGAAAAAAACAGTGACAGTCCTAGGTTATGTTCACTGGACACTGATAATGAAAATGTACAGTTTATTAGTCCTATAGGGACGAGTGAGAGGAAAAACAACCGAAGATTTTCGTCTACTTCCATGAAGTACGTTAATTTTTATTTTGATATATCCAACATTATTAAAAAAATGTACTAAATATTGTATAAAAATATCAGTTAATCACATCCCTTGAATTCTTTTTTAGAAGCGCATTAATGAAGGAGGTGCCGTATTCGAGACTTATCGATACGAGCCCTTCCAACCTGCCCACCAAGCTCGACAGCGATTCGAAATTACACTCGGACAAGACAAAATTGAACGTCACGGAAACCTCCGACTTGCTGCCGAAGAATAGTGCTTCGGATTCCAAGTTGGCTGTGGATTACTTTACGGCAAGCGAAAATAATACGATTAAAATCGACTTACTTAAAAAAAGCAGCGAATTAACAAAAGGGGGTACGACTAATGACGTGTCTGTTATGTCAAAAAGTTTTAACGGAAGCGACAGCCAGTATTCTTTAGGCGGTGAACTTTTTGATGAGAGTTTACTTAAAGAGGTAAATATACAGGAAGTTTCAAAATGTTTGGCTTCATGTTTTTTGAAACACCCTATATATATTTGATCATATTTTAACGTTATTCTTTTATATGAAAAATATACAAAATTTCCTACAAAAATTTTGGGTAATATCATCCCTTGTTAAGCCAATAAAGTTTACTTAAAGAAGCATATTAGCACTAACTTTTTACGTAAACTTTTTTAAACAAATCGTCTCGAATTAACAAGGGATATGATTAGCTAAAATTTTTGTACGATCTTTAGTACATGATAATATCTTTTTAATTAATTTAGGTGCAAAGAACGACCTCAATGTCGAGTGAAAACCATTCGGAAGCATTTTTTTCGGCCGACGAGGATATAAACTTGAATTCGAGAAGTTCGAGTTTAAGAAATTCTATTTTAAGTGCCGGAGACGCTTTTACCAAGCAGGAAAGCAGTAGCGTCCCGCCGCAAAGGTAACTACTACAGTTTTTTTTCGAAAGGGTATTCTAAAATAATATTTTCTTAGGAAAAAATTCTCCAGCGAGCTTAATATAGTGACGGATAAAAATCGGTCTACTCCGGTTGGTTCCGGTTCTGTACCGGAAACAGGGACGTTAAAACCTTCGATGCACCGGAGCGATCACGAGATTCACACTCCCGAGCACAGGTATAGTCCGTTTCCCTCAAGATGACGTTTAAAGTCGGAAATATTGAAATCTAACACTATTCTTTTTATGTTAAAAATGTACTAAGCACCGTACAATTTTTTTTTGTCATAACATCCCTTGGTTCAGATCTCTTTAGCTTCCCTGATAAACTATGTTAAACGAGAACGTGACAATAAAGGTCCTTTATTACCCTTAACTGCAGTCAGAGAAGTAAGTTTGATTGATAAGCACATTACAGCACTTTCAAAGTTATTTCTACGTTAGTTTTTAGTAAATTCTGTTATTATTAGTTTGTGCATTAATAGCACCCTCTTGTTATTACCACTTATGGTATTGTAAGATGTACATCAATAAATAAATATCCCATAATAACGCTTAGAATAATCTTCATAATGGACTAGTTTTTGCCAATATGAGTATAGGCATCAAAATAAAACGTAAAAATCTTTAAAAAATGATATAATAAATATATTGTTTCTCACTTTTAAATTAAGATTGATCTCATAAATCCATCACAATCTGGCAGCGCTGTCACCATCGCTTGTCACTCAAACTTGATCACGTGCATCGGAAATTGTTTTGCGATTACATACCTAATATTTCTGTACAATGTTTAGTAGAAGGGATGTGATTCCTTCATATTTTTGTACGATCCGAGGGTACAGAATGACTTTGAACTGTCATTTTTCGTGAAATTGATTTTATATTCTATTTTTTGAATAATTTTACGTGAAGTACTCTGTTTAATTTAAGATCTTTCGTGAACCACCAACACAGAACAGTACAAGGACTGGTGACGCCATTTCGACAGCCCTCCAATCGATCTGTCAGTCCTAGAATCGTGTCCAATAACGAATCGATTAATTTCCAACTACAAAAGGATGAAATAAATGACACTTACAATGACACTTCGGACAGCGTCAGCGATACCAGCTACGTATCGGCGGTGGGAAGTCAGGAAGATTTCACTTTGGTAGATCTTCATATGCAGGTAGGTATTTTTGTACTGTAAATAATAATGTACAGTGTTTCGTACATTTTACCCCCGATTTTAACAGGCTATAACTTTTTTATTTTCGGCGATAGAACAGAAGTTCAAATAGGAAAGTTGTTTGGAATTTGAATCTCCACACTATACAGGGGTTTTCAAAAAACAATATACAGGGATTTTAAAAAATACTTATTGTTTTTTATTTTGTTCAGGTAAATCGGTTTATAATCGATTCTCCCATGCTGATGTCGAGTTACGTCACGCATTTGAATCAGCTGAGATGCCAAAACTGGCAAAATAAAAATAAGGCGGATCAGTTTTCAGCCCCGATGTTCGAGCGAGATCCTGAGGGGAAACTTGTCTATGCTGGTAGGTTACTTGGCGGTGTTTTTTTTTATGAAAATGTACTAAATATCGTACAAAAATTTTTGGTAATAACATTAACCACGACAATTAACCTAAGGGATGTTATTACCTAATATTTTTGTATAATGTTCAGTACAAGGGATGTGATTTGATAGGTGGAAGATTTGTCCCTAATATGGAACTGGTTAACGACGGAATTACGTCTTTGAAAATGGTGTCCCGTTCCGATTCGGGTGTCCAAAATAAAACTCCCACTTCACCGTATGTTTACATTTGGGACAACGAGGATATTGAAATTGATTCAGGTTAATTATTTTTTTATTAAATTTTTATTGTTTATTTTTCTTCTACTTGAAAATATATACAGGGTCGTTCCAAGAAGAAGAATTACTAATCGGCCAAAATAATGCGGGATCTCGAACAATAGTCATCGTAAAACTCAAAGGCGATCTCGATATCATGATCAGCCCCTTACTACTAGAGACGGTGCAACGATTTATCGATTCCCTCACTCCTACCGTATCGAATCTTCATCCGTTGACCGTAATAAACCATTTACATTCCTCCTGCGTCTTTCAGGTAGGCGTTTTTTATTTTTCTCACCCTGTAGGTATAATTATTTTACGATATTTCTCAGGTAAAATCGGCAAACATGTTAAAAACTACGTCGAACGTTGCGAAAATTTGCCAGCCGGCCGTAGAGGGCGGAACTAGTACTACCCTGTACGAGGAGACCGTGAAAAAACAAATACAGGCTTCGATAATTTTGCCTAAAGTGAGTATTTTTGATATTGAAAAATGTACTAAATATTGGTACAATTTTTGTTTGGTAATAACATTCCTTGTGGGAAATTTCTGCGTCAAACTTTAACTTTATTTCGAACTTCATTTTTTTATTAACCCAAGGTATGTTATTACCTAATATTTTTGTAGAATTTTAGTAGATTTGGAGGTACAGAATAATAATCTTGAAATAAATTATACATTTTTAAGGTTTATAAAAAAATTGATATTTTAAAATGTACGTTTTTTTAGGTGAATGTTACACTATTGCAAGTCTCGATCGTGGAAGAGATTATATCATTTTCGGCTCTGGATAATATAAAAGATTTAACTTGTGTGTCTCTTTTCTCTGTTTGTTTCGATAATATATCTATCAAATTTCATTCAGATCATCAGGTTGGTACAATTTTTAATTTATTTTGTATTTTTTTTTTAATTAATAATACCTATTTATTTTATTCGCAGACCAAAGAAATTCTAGAAAAATTTCTTAGGCCTTCCGTGGTGAGAACGAAAAATAAAAGTGTGAATCTAGCGAGATTATTACGTCTGCAGACTCACACGAATTCCGATGTGATACAGGGCGAGCCAGTATTTATAGAGAGCTGTGAAAATCAACAGTCGCAATTGGTAAGTATTGTGTTTCAGCTTATTCAGCCATTTTCAATTATGGTGTAGCCACTCTGACATATTTAGATAACCTCTCTGTACAAGTTATCCCTGCTAGGTTGTAAGTCAAAAAAAAGTTGACCTAATCATATACGGGGTGTTTCAAACAACATGTGAGGAATCTCTCCATGAGATGTTTTTTGAAACATGTGCCTGTATAATTTTTTATATTGTTATAATTTTTTTTAGGTTGTTTGTTTGAACATAGGAAAAGCTCACGCTCAATTGAGACGTTTGAGAAACGAAAGTTCCATTCTAAACGACGCCATAATTACAGCTATCCCCCCGTACAAATCCAAAGTATCTTTTATACCAACTAAAATCAAACCGATGTACAGGGGTTTGGAATATTACTTGCAACCGGTTCCTCAAGAAAACAATGTAAAATATTGCAAATAATGGTTTATAAAGATTTTTTTTTAATTTTAATAAATTTCTAGGTATCCGAAATGGATGAGTTTGGTACAGAGGATAAACTTGGGTTTATTATGTTCGAGGGTGGATTGGAGGGGATATCTATCAAGATAGTTAAAAAGTCTAAGTTTGAATACACCGAATCGAGTGTGAATGCTTCCACAAACGTGCCTAGTGTCGAGTCAATGAAGTCCAACGAGAATTTAGGTAGGTTTTTGTGGGTTAAATCAAGAAAATAGTGTGTTTTTTACTAAAGATTACAGTTTTAGATAACTGCATCCCTTGATTTTTGGGATCACTCTCAAACTTTGCTCGCAATATACTATTCTAACATTATTCTTTCATATTAAAAATGTACTAAACATCGTACAAAATTATTTAGTAACTACATCCCTTTTATCTTTCAGAAACTCTGAATTTTCCTTATATGTACAGTTGTAACCATATTCCTTCATATTAAAAATGTACTAAATATCGTACAAACATATTTAGTAACTACATCCCTTGGAGCTTTCAGAAACTCTGAATTTTGCTTATATGTACAGTTGTAACCATATTCTTTCATATTAAAAATGTATTAAATATCGTACAAAAATATTTAGTCACTAGTAACTTTAGTGAAATGTACTGTATTTATTCTAAAGAGAGAAACATTTTTTTAATATAGATTCTGCCGCTAATACGCCTAAAACCAATCAAGACACCTCAAAGTCAGCAACAAAAGACGGTACTACCCCGAATTCCACCGATAAAAAGAACCCGGAAGAAGAAAGTCGTACCAACGAGTTAGAGAAAGATCCTAACCTAAAAGACAACGGAAATATATCGTCGGGCGTTATAGAACTTAAGACGGTGTGGTTCAATTTTGCAGCGCCCCCTAGAGCACCGATCACAAGAAAAATCGATTACACCAGGTATATAGTATACAAATATGTGTACGGGTTGTTTCAAAAAGTTAATAAATAAATTTAGATTGGACTGGAACCTGTTGAGTACCGCTTCTCCTGCTATCAATGCCTGGATGAACCCTAGCAATCGTCTTGCGATCCGGGTGGTACATATGGCGAGGACTTTGTACAAACGATCGACGGTTGTCATTGCCTGTCTTATGGCGGAGGCTTTGGACGGACAACATATACACGAAGTACCGAAAGTACGTTTAAAAAACATTTAAACGTACACTTTTAATTTTTTTATTTTTTTTAATGTATAGTCTCGCTACGGAAAGTTGACACCCTTAAGTCAAACCTTGCACGAGGACCCTAGTTTGCAGCTTTGCCAGATTTTAAGGAAATACTATCTGGAATGCGACCCGACGAATATAGAACTGAATCTTAGAGAAAGCGATTTGCCAACCCTGTTTACATTGAGACAAGTATTTATTGTTCTAGTTACTTTTTTGTGGGATAATTAATTTGTATTTTTTAATCTCAGGGTGTAATTGTATTGAGTCGACAGTGGAAGAACACCCTGTACACGCCTCTGATGACGCAAAACACTCTAAAATCTCGTTTGAAACCTGTCAATGTTACTATTGCCGTCCCCGATATACAGGAGGTAAGTAAAGTGTTTTTTTAAGTATTATATATTAAAATTATAGTACATGGTATAGGACTATTTTGAAAAAATGTTTTTTATATTGTTATGTATATTTTTCTTATTTAGGTAAATTATAACCTCAATCGTGACACTAAAAATGACGATAACGTTAACAGTAAGATATCAAAATTTTATTCAACTTATTATTTTCACTCTTTGTATCTAATATTAATTTATTGTGTTATATATAGACTTGTAGTATCTGTCACCTGTTGTGCACTAACCAATCTCAATTCGGTACATATTTTTATACAAGTTTTTTGTCTCATATACATAGTACTATTCACGTATCATATTACATACTACAGCCTTTGTCATATAATTTTCTATTGGTCCTTAAAATTTTAACACAACATTTTTGATGTTCTTATTTAATTTTAAAGTCCAATATTAAGTGCGCATTTAGCATAAAAATGTCATTATCGCTGTCACTTAACCGTTTTCAATGAACCAGGAGAGCTGTTTGACAGACGGCGAGGCGTCGGGCAACGAAGAGACCGACATTACCGACGAGCACGCCAGGCTTCTACACGCAGGCATCATTTTGCGACCGAACGCACCGCATAGAAACTTGGGTAGGTTGAGGGGACCGCTGCCGCTGTCAAAAACGCTTCGGGTATCAGTCTGGATGACATTTAAAAAATGTACTAAATAGCGTACAGAAATTTTAGGCGATCACATCCCTTGCGGGACTTTCATATCCAGACTGATACCTCTAACACCTACTAATATAATATAACACGCTTGTACTTAGCTGCACTTTACATTTACTTATTCTTTTGTACATATCTACACATTAGGACATTAATGAATGTTTAATTTAACTCTTTTAACTCAAACCTGTCACATTTTATCACCCAAGCTTTCTTGTTTTTTGTTTGTTTTATAGTAATTTCGTATTTACAATTTTATTCTGAACTTTTTTAGTTCCCTGTGTAACTACAGGTAAAGATATAAGTTCAGGGACGCAGGCGGCTCAAAAAAACGCCGGACTGTCCGAAACACAAGTGGCAGTAGTTTCCGGTGGGGTTGAGAGTGTTTTGGCCTCACCTAGTCCACCCGGTAAGTCGACATTATTTTAGATCATAAAAACCACCCGAATTAAGCTATATTTCTTAAGTTTTTGCACATAACTTCGATTCTATGAGTACTAGACACGATATCGAAGCAAATTTACTTATCCGCGTGGTTTATATGATCTAAGGTCATTGCTTTTTGGTCCGATCACACGTTTAAACTTGCTTTTACGAACTCTGTGCCTAATCCCGATGCTTGTACGTCCCTGTTGACTGTTTTAGTGCCAGTCAGAAAGCGCAAAAAAAGTGTCGTTCCCTCTGTACATCCCCCGTCCAAAGCCAGCGCGGTGTTGCCGCTCTTAACCGGCGCTAATCCCTTTACGACTAAACGTGCGATTGATGATAACATTTGTAAGTAACAGTGTCATAAATTTGTTGTATCGTTTAGTGGTAAATGTTTTGCTGTACACATTTCATTAAATACTTGATTGAAATAGTTATATACCATACGATCGAAAAAAAATGGCGTCGAAGAAGGCTGGGGAGTGACAATCGATGATAATTTTGGCGAGCCATTTTTTTTTTCGATCAGTAGGTAGATATATATTTCGATCAAAGATTAAATGCTTAGCAGGTCAGGTCTAACTACGAGGTTAATGTATTTTTTTAGGTTATGGGACCCTTCATGAGGATACTGTCATAAATTTTGGATCCGATCCCAGCGATGGATGTAGCCAGTCCAGTCCTGAACTGCCTTCGAGCCCCACCCACAGGGCTATTGGCCACGCCCATTCCAGTGAGGATTTGTATAGCTGGATGGCGAAACAAGACGCCGAGACCGACGTAAAGAATTTAGAGGGTAGGCAACCAGATATTTACAAAAAATGTTGTACAGATGATTTCAACAAAAGATGACCATTGAAAATCAATAATATTTACTTAAAATTAAAATATTTCATCCTAATCTAAAGGTATGTCTTCCAGATAGGGTCGTAGAACGTACGCTAATTTTTCAGATACATACTGCTTGAAAAATACAATTTAGCACTATTTTTTGTATTAAAAATGTACTAAATATCGTACAAAAATTAATGGTAATCACATCCCTTGGATTAACTGTAGTTTTTCAGGGCTCGTATTTGTATTGAAGGTGATGGTTGATCTTGAAGCATCATAGTCATCTCTCTTGTGAAATTTACTGTAAATAATTTAATTTTAATTAATTTAAATACATGGAAAAATTATATTTTTGTATATAATACAGGTTGTTTAGAGAGTAAGGTAGATACGTTACATACCGAGTCCTCAGGAGACGTTGGAACATTACCCAGGGAAAATATAATAGACCAAGAAGCTTTGTTACATCCCATCCAAGAATCCGTAAGATTATTGGACGCCAATCAGATATTCCAGCCTCTTTTATCCAGTCTAGGAGTCATGCCACAACAATTAAGATTCACTACGATGACAGAATCCGGTATATTTTTTTAATCCCCCGTATATATATATTTTCGGTACTTATTGTATTGTTTCAGGTGTAAGCAATGACGTCACAACTCTGGATGCTCTAGGGTCGAATTTGTGTCTGGTTGGAAATATGGAAACGTTAAAAATTGATATAGTCGTTTCGGAGCATGGGAAAATCGAGAAAAGGAAGGGAAAAAATAAGGGAAAAAAGGGCCTTTTAATAGGTATGTTTTTTTTAAATTCGTCTTTAAAAATGTACTAAAATATGAGGTTTGTAGAGATTAATACGAACGATGAAATACCTGCCTTTGTTTGCGAAAAAGTTCTGGTCGAATTGGAAATCGACAGGATAACTGACATGGCTGTCAACGACTTGATGAAAACTAAAAACGTCCTGTATATATCTAGAGGGCAGTTAAAAAATCACACGTCAACTGCCATTAACTTTACTATCGGTATAAGATACATACACCAGAGGGTTAATATGCCTCTATTGAGACTGTTGCATCAAATCAGCAACATGTATCAAAACGTTAAGGATACGCAAAACGAATTGAAGGAACAGCAGCCTGCTATAGAGATCAGAAGGCCGAAAACTAGCGCCAGTGATCACAACGATCAGAAGCATCACAGTTCCACATCGGACTTTTTACAAGTAACTATCTCACTTAAAAATATTAAGGAAGGAGTATTGTAGGCGTATTGTGTGTTCAGGACTTTGGCCAGTATCTTAGACGGCACGAATGGTTGTTTTGTTTTGTAGCTACTAAATCTGTAAGAATATGTCGTCAGAACTTTTGATACACTCCTTCCTTAATCTTTTGATTCAAGGCTTTCTCGACGCTGTTTTTTTTTGTAAATACGAATTTATTAAAAGGTTTTTTTTTCTAGCACGATGCGGGTTCAAATATTATCGAATCCAAACCATTAACGTTGAAAATATCAGACCCTGGATCTTATACTTCTCAAAATAAGCCGGTTATTTCGCCAAGTCCTAGTTTGAGGTCCAGACCTCAAAGTTTTGCGCAAAAATTGAGGTCTACAGGTATGAAAACTTGACTTTTCTCAAAAAATCAAAGGAATTCGAGTAATTTTTTGTTTATACTCGTTGGTTATCCCGTAGTGACGTTTAGTAATGATTATAAGCAAAAAATCCCTTGAATTTTGTTAAACGAAATAAAAACTTTTTTTGGTTAAGTAATATCTTTTTAAGGTAAAAACGTGAAGGGTTACGTGAACCTAAATGAAGGTTCGGGTACGCCGATATCGGTAAGTACCCCGACGGGTTCGGCGTTAGAAAGGATAACCGTATCGTCGGATAAAAGTACCGGAAGATGTTGGAAGACTATCTATTATTTGTTGGAACTCTATGCTAATATGCCCGATACAAAAACTATTAAACACAGGTAAATACAAATATATATATAGTTCATTTCAATAAAAATGACGATTAAGAAAATGTATTTAATACCGTACAAAATCATTCAGGGCTGGTATTTTTTATTAGAGGTAAAGGTTGAAGCCCTTGATTCGTCATCTCTTGTGAAACGAATTGTATAGAACTTTACTATAGTCTGACCAACGAAAATGACACAAAATACGATTTGCCTGTGACTTAAAATGACAGACACAACTGTCAATGTCAGGGATTCTCCCCCGTTGGACAGACTCTACATATAGTGTCCCTAGGAATACTATAAATATATTTGTATTCTAGATTCTCGGTTGGTACTAACGATATATCCGAACACTACAAGGGAAATCGAAAGTACGACATTCTGACCGAGATGAAATCATCGGAGGATATCGAAAAACTGGAAAATACACCTCCTCCCTACAATTTACACAGAGAAACCAATCAAACTGCCGTCAACGAGCATACAAAGCTTATAGTTTTCGGCGTTGCCAGAATACACAGAACCAGACTTTTGGCAACGCTGTCCGGCTTGAAGCTCGAGGCGGAAATCACCAGTTTGCACAGCAGTTTAACCGTGCGAAAAAAATCGATACCGCAGATGATGGAGTGTTCCCTAACTGGTCAGGTCGGTCGTACCATGATACTGCTTCTGGAAGGGGGTTCTTTGAATCTACAAACCGTAGTCAAGGTGAGTGAAAATAATACTGCAATAGGGACAAGGGTGATTTAAAAATGTACTAAATATTGTACAAAAATATTAGGCAATCACATCCTTTGTGTTAATCTCAAAACTGAGGCGAAATGTAAGATTTTTTTCCCTCTAGGTAACTATAGGAAAGTCTCAAGCCCTGTATTCTTCTGTTAACAAACGCAATAAGGATAAAAACTCAGGACTGCTGACTATCGGTGCGGTGAACATTGATATTCCCCAACACCCTGTAGCTTTACACGGCATGGTAACCAGAGGTAAAGTGCCATAAAAATCTGTATTTGTAATTTTCCGACTAAATAATGCTTTTTAGGAAGTAAACAATTGAGTTCTACGTTGCAAGAACTGAGAGTACCCAGAAGCCGAGTATCTAGAGGTGCTCAAAACGAAGAAGATCAACAAAATTCACCTAATCATCCGTCAAGGGATACGCCATTGACTGGTCAATTTACTCAACTTAAAGGAACTGTGGGGGAAAAGGGTTTACTTCAACCTCTAGTCATGCAGTTTTCTGTAATTTTACAGGTAAAATTCTCTCAGTTGTAAAAATGTGTACTAAATATCGTTCAAAAATTTTAAACAATCACATCCCTTGTCTTAAGTGTAAACTCATTTTTATTATTCTTTTTTTAACCAACTTACAAAAACTTTCTTGTTGAATAGAGCTTAAGCATCACCGCAGCACTGTTGCCATCACTTCAAGCCCAGTACAAAATGGACCAAGTAAATAGTACCGGATTTACAGGAAGCAAGGCGAAATTTACCATAGATTTACCGCATCACACTCTAAGTTTTACCACCAAGTTACCTCAGGTAAATAATTGTAAATTGTGTTGATTAAAAAATATTCTGAGAGTTGACAGTAAGCGCCATCCAAAAGATAAAGAAGAGTACTACGGGCCATTTAAATGATTTCTAGGGCTTCAACTCGCTTCAAAATTATCACGGATTGTCGTTGCCCCGACCTTCTTTGACGGCGTTTTTTTTTATTTACAGGGCTACAGCCAGACGGAAAAAAAAGAAGCTAACCTCCCTTCCGAAGCTAGCATAGCTCTTCCGGCAGTGCACGTAATGGCCGAGTATATACCGGAAACCGCAGCCAATGGCTTAAGAAATCCAGAGGGCGTGGTGTTTAAACAAGGTGGATACCTCAACGCCAACGCAGACATAGGCGTATTCGAACATAGCCTTACCACGGATCTGTTAAATCATTTGGTGTTCGTACAAAAAGTTTTTATGAGGGTAAAACATACTTTATAAAAATTACTTTGCGAAATAAAATTATGGTTTTCTAGGAGGTGAACGAAGTAGTACAAAAAGTATACGGGGGAGAACGACCGGTACCAATCTGGCTCGACGATTCGGAAGAATCTTCTTCTACGTTAAACAGACTGTTATTTTCGCTGGTTATCAAAATACAGCGTATTCAATTAACGGCTACGACAGCTGGTAGCTCGGCTGTTAGATTAGAAACAGGTAAAAATTTAGTTTATTTTATTTTCTCAGGGTTTTTAACGTATATACTTATCTAATAAATTCTTATTACTTCAGGAGCGGTAGTTTTGGAACTGTCGAACCGAGTACAAAACGTGTCCGGAGCCAACCCTGGCGGTACAGCGTCTAGGCTGTTCGGTAAAGCTCAGGTAGACTTGAATTTATCTCTGGGTCAAATTATAAGGAACGCTGTGTTTGAAGAGGCGGATATCGAGTACCAGCACGTCGCCTTTTTTAATACGCGCATCGGTTTGAGAAACGCTTTCCAGGTAATTCTATTTTACGATAATAATCATAAATGTATAGTCTCTTTTAGATTACTCACATTTTACTATAAATATACAATTGCAGCACTATTCTTTCATGTTAAAAATGTACTAAATTTCGTACAAAAATGTTAGGTAATGACATCCCTTGATTTGAAAGTTAAGACTTGAAGTCGAACATCTTAACTCGAAGGATGTATTTACCTAATATTTTTGTACTGTAAATTAATTTTTGTACTAATAATATTTTTTAAGGACGAAATTATCGAGGGCGAAGATAAAGAGGTGGTCTTGATCACCCTAAAAAGACCCTTAATTTATATCCAACCGGTGGCCGTGGACAAAGCCATTTTGGTGTGGCTGAACTACAAAAACGCCTACGATTATTGGACGGAAAAACGGGCCAATCTGAACAGGGAAATGAAGGAGGAAAAATTCCAGTTCGGACAGATCACCAGCCAGCTCGGCGCTCCTCATTTGGGGACTTTATTTTTGCAACTCACCGTAGAAGACATGGGTAATATATATTAATAATAATTAATCGCTGAAAGTTTGTTTGGAATATACGATGGTAACGCTATTTTTTCATATTAAAAATGTACGAAATTTGGTACAAAAAAAATAAGCGATCACATCCCTCGGATTAAAAATTAAGACTCATTTATTTTTAGGTATATGTCTGCCGTTGAATCCTTTGCCTATATCATGGAACGGTCGATCTGGATATGAAGAGAGTAGGGGCGCTGTAGTAGTTACTCTGGAAAATACCAGTATTTCCGGTAAGACGTATACTAGGTGTTTTTGAATCAGTGTTCGGTATTTTACAGGGTGATATACGTGTTTATATGAACTTTTTTCCTTAAAAATACTTGTAAAATTATCCTGCCATATGTCGGACACTTATTCAGAAATTTGCTGTTCTTTTTAATTATGCGCATCCACCATTTTTTTTTAAATTTTATATAGCCTACTAAGAGCTGTTACAAAATGTTTTTTTTATAATTTTTTTCTTTTAAAGCCTGTAGTTCCGGTTCGTTGGTAAGTAAAGGCAAATTCTCGAATCTATGTCTTCGTTTTGCCGAAGATTTCGAAAATTCTTTGGATGACTGGAAACCGGATATGACAGATGCTTCAATCATGAACTTATGCGTGGTCAGCGACGGTACCTACGAAGTCTGTAGTCGTACTATAACCTCGAAAGGCCCTAACGGTAAAAATAATTGAAACAATTTTTTTTTTGCCTGTTAAACTTATTTTTTTAGATAACGCAAAATGGCTACTAAATGTGCAATGGCAGATGGAAGGGGTTGATACACACCTTGATATAAATGTGGGGAAACAGTTGTCAGCCTTAGGGCACACCCTTACTATGTTAACTGGTATAAAAAAGTTTTTTTTTTAAATGAAACTTGTTTTAAGGTAATATAATTTTAGGTGCAGAAGACACGGGCATTCCGTTTGATTATGATTCGGACGAGAACGATCCCACAGACGGTACCAGAACTTCGCAAGAAAGTATTTTGCCCTCGTTTATGTTCGATCCATCTTTAGATAATCGAAGCAGATCGAAATTAATCGAAAAAGAAATGAACGAACAGGCGAAAATTATAACAGATTTAAGGTAAATATTTCAAAAACGTACTAAATTTCGTACAAAAATATTAGGTAATATCATCCCTTGTTAATCCAAGAATAACTCGGAAAATACAAGTCTAACAATGTTCCTTCCTAATCGCTCGAACTTTGTTTGATGTTGTATTTTTCTTATTAAAAATGAACTAAATATTGTACAAAAATTTGAGGTAATCACATCCCTTGAGTTAAAAATCGAGACACGTAAATCGGAAGTTTCGTTCTTTGTCTAACACGTTGTCTGAATAATCGTCATATTTTGTTAAATATACTGGAGGGGGGTATGATTTTTTATATTTATTTATTTTTTCTCTTTCTAGATCACTGGGGGCTTCCCATGGCACTATAGAGTTAGAAATGAAGCGATTACAAGAACTAGAAGCCATGGTGTATAAAGATTTTCGAAGGTAGATATATATTTTTAGTCTGAATGTATTTTTTTCTTTAAAAAAAATATTTTTAACAGGGATATGATCCAAAAACTGAGAAGGCAGAGTATGAGAGCTTCTTCAATAAAAGGAAAATTTGGTTTGGGCTCTAAGAATAGTACGTTTAGGTCGAAATCTTTTGTGGTGCCCAGCCCTATGCCAGAAGATCAAGGAAGGTAAATATAATTTTTTTTGTACATAGTGTTTAAATCTGGAAAAAAAACGTTTTTATAGTGGGAATTTTCTCTTTTTTTACCTAAAAATTGTCGTTTTAGCCCGGGAAGTATTAAGCTGGATACGAATAATACTGGCAGTTTTGACAGTTCCCCCCGTTCCGGTCCGTCAAGATCCGCATCATTGCGGGTAAAAACGACGGAAAAAGGGCCGCGTGTGACGTTTAGCGACACGCAAACTATGAACAGGTATTAGTATAATAGATAAATAATGATACAGGGTGTAAAAAATTCGTGTATCAACTTGAAAGGCACCCAGTGAAGTTTGGTGCATTTTTTATACACTTATATTTTTGTTATTTTTAGCCCTATTTTCATGAATTTTTTAGCAAGCTGTATATAATTATATTAATTTAATTCGTAAACTCAGCTTTTTATAAACTTTAGTATTTGGCATATTATACAGGGTTAATCAAAGGATTGTTTTTTGTCCCAACTTTAAAACACCCTGTGCAATAATTTTGTCTGTAAATTTTTCCAAAATATAATTTTACACATTTTACAAAATGCTCAGGATATATGATTCTAACCATAGACTTAGAATAAAATATAGACTGAGCATCTCATTCATAAATAGCTGGAAGATGCGGACAGACAACGTCTTGTTATTGTTGTGTTATTGTTTTTGGCTCTAACGAGTGCGACACGAGCGATAGATAGGCTGTCTCCGTCGTAACGGTCGTTTCCTGACGGCTCTGCCGCCCAACGCAACACTGTCTTTTGTTTCTTCAGTGCACCTGCACTCTCCGTATCATAGGCGGGGTATTTTTTATTTTAATGAAGCTATAATTCAATTAAAAATATATCGTATTTAAACTTTTTATATTATTAAGATTTAGGATAAAGAAAATAGTTTAATATAAAGCAAAGTTTAGGACTTAGAAAAAAATACGTCTTAGAGTCTAAAAACGATAAAAATAATAAAGTACGTGTTATAGAAGAAATTTTAATAATCGAAATTATTTAATTTTTGAAATTGATGATAAATTATTAATTTAATAAAATATTAATTTTAGTCAAACATTTACAACTCTAATATTAATCAAAACAGGATCTATTCTATAGATATAATAGAACAGAAAGAGAAAAAACTTTATAATTGTTTAATTTTTTTTTCCGGTAAAAGTGATGTCTTATTATGTAAATTAGAAAAAACAGGAATCTGTTCCATTAAAGCAAGCTTTTAGGAAGTGAATAAAATGAAAACTACATTTATTTAACTCGTTACTGTCTTTATTATAGAGTAAGTATAATAATGGTAATGGTGACTATACTTTATTCAATGGAAATATGCACCAAATTCAAACAAATATAAAAGGCATGAGTATAAACAGTATTACTACAGTAATATTGAACATTGGTTCAAAAATATTACATTAATATAATACAATATTACTGTAGGTATTACTGTCAACGTGCAAGCTTGTTTGAAGCTTGATGTATTTGTATGCGCTTGGTACATCTTGGCGTTGGAAAATGTATAGAAAATTATTAAGAAAAACTAGTACGTAATGGGGGATATCTTGATATACAGAGTGGTCGGAATTGTATTCAGGAAACTTTGGCAGCATAATCTGCAAATAAAATCAGTAAAAAAAATAGTATAAATTTATGTCCTAAAATGCTTCGTTTCAGAGATACAGAGTGTAGAAATTTCATTTTTATTTCGCTTTTTTCCAAATAATTTATGAAGAATGTATTGATTAATTCGTTTCCAAATATCTTGAGAACTATACTTGTGGCGAGTGTCAACAAGAGACCTTATTAAGTAAAAAACGTTGGAAATGTAAATTTTTCTCAGTAGTTTTATATAGATACAGACAAAAAGTATTACTCTTCAAATAACTTAAAAAATATGTAGGTGGCGCCCCCTATTAGTAAAAGTCAAATTGACATCTAAATCTAATTTTTCATGTCAAAAAACTCCCAAACGCCAATTTTCGTCCAAATATTGACGTCACTTCAGAAATTATTTGGAAAAAAATCGAAATAAAAATGAAACTTCTACACCCTGTATCTCCGAAACGAAGCATTTTAAAAACTTACAAGTTCATTTTTTTAGAAAGCCAATGCAACATTTCTGAGTTTCAAATAAAGATAAAAAACAGTAAAACATATAATAATAATATGTAAATTATTTTCTTGGATACATACATATATGGCAAATAATAACAGATTGTTTTATTAAAGATTTACGTTTTGGTTAATTCTAAAACTATCTTCAGATTATATGTGATATTACTTAAGTGATATTACATTATAAAAGAAAAAATGAAAATTATACCTTATAATCGAAAAAAAACGGCGTCAGCGATGGCTATGAAATGAAGATCGCTGTCATTTTATATGTAAAATTATATGGAGTATGTATCGATGGTTTTTTCCAAGCCAACTGGACGCCGTTTTTTTCGATCATACGGTATTACAAATTAATAATAGATTAACAGTCGAGAAAAAAAAAGAAAAAACTCTAGGTAAGTACTGGATAAATTTTAAAATGGCATATTTATTTTATCTTTGTTTAATATAAAAAAAACGAAATATCTACCTGGTTTACATAACCCTGTATAATTTGTGAAATAATAATGGACAAAAATGCAAGCGGTAAGAAAAATATTTACAAAAAATATGTACTTGTTTACATTTCTGGACCATTGTTCGTCATTTTTGTTATCATAATGGTGACCCTATCATAAAAACGTAGTTATTTCTATACCTGATGTGAAACTATAGGGAAAAAGTAATGTTTGTAAAATATTTTAGTCTTGAAAAAAAATAAGGAATGTTTGGTATTTTAAAATGTTTGGTAGCTTGTAATTTTTTCGACTTTCTCGATTGTTTATAGTTTATAATAAGCCTTAAAAATTGTTGTTTCATAATGGAATATCATTCTGGAATTCCTGTATGTTATTTTAGATTCTAAGGATGGTTTTAGAATAAAAAGAAACACATTTTTCATAAAAAAAAGCATTAAATTAACCAATGCCCAAGAAAATAATGTGTCTACTTCTTATGTACTTAATAATGTATCTACTCGTTATATTAATAACGAGGTTAGTAAGAACCTTTACGTAAATGATAAATATAAAAAATACAGATTTTCCAGGGTTTATAATTTACTAAATTATTATCTAAATAAGCGCCTTTCTACAACGCCACTGACGCCAAAATAGTAAATTTGACTTACCTGTGGAATGTTGTTCCAGGACTTAAATAGTCCAATTTCTTACAAATTTGGCACTGACGAACCTGTTTTATAGTTTTTAAATAAAAGTAATCAAAATAAACACTAAACCGACACTACACACTAAGAAAATCGAATCCAAAAAAATACAAAATCAAAACATCCAATAAAAACAATAAAATAGCCATGGAGAAACTGTGACAACAAGGTTTTACGACACGTGCTTTACTCTACTATGGCTCTACTACGAGAGAATAAAGAATGAACAGGCGACCCGGCGATTGATGGGTGTTGCCAAATTGTAAAGAATTTGTCATTTTTAAATAGTCTCCGACTTATAATTTAGTAGTATAGGGACTATTTAATACATCTTTCTACTATTAAACACTACTTTATTAAAATACAGTTTTAATATCTCAATATATGTGTATAACAACAAAAAAAATATTAATAATATTTTAGACGTGACAACATAGGCTGGAGGCGAAAGACTGAGGGTGCAGCCACACTATCCTAAAAACGGCGTATCGGCGTAACGGCGTAACGACCTTGAATCGATTTCCAGTAATTCTATTGGCTGAAACGTTCATCTGTCAGAAATTTTATCTGTCAAATTCATCTGTCAAAAATTTCAGCCAATAGAATTACTGGAAATATATTCAAGGTCATTACGCCGTTACGCCGATACGCCGTTTTTAGGATAGTGTGGCTGCACCCTCAGACGGCCGAGGTCAGCTGCACCCAGGAGTAAACATGTTTACAAAAATTAATATTGGACCGCGCTTAAATGTAAATAGTGTAGTCTATATTTTATTCTAAGTCTATGATTCTAACCGTAAAATTATCTTTTAGGAAAATTTACACACGAAATTATATGCACAGGGTGTTATAAATTTAAGGTAAAAAACAACTCCTCGATTAAACTTGTATAATATGCCAAATACTAAAGATTATAAAAAATGAGTGTACGAATAAAAGGTGAAAGAATTATATACCTACAGCTTGCTAAAAAATTCATGGAAATAGGACTAAAAATAATAAAAATATAACACTTTAAATTTGGCCAAACATTTCTCTGTTGCGTTTGCAACTGAGTGTAGTTTATGAATAAGTCTTCGATATATTACAGGGTGATTTTTCAAGTATTTCCAAGGTAAAAAGTTCATATAAACGTGTCCTAGAATGCTTTGTTTTCGATATACAGGGCGTCAAAATTTTTAAACAATTTCGCCATGCATTAAAATGGTTTTAATTTTTTTACGAGTTAGCGGTGCGTGTGACAGAAAAATCCGAGAGACATAATTTGTTCTCAAATAAATAGAGAATCTAAAAATAATTTTTATTTCGAGAAAAATTGTACCGGGTACCATTTTTTTTCTCCAAAAATATCCAGTAGATACTTACCTTAAAAATACTTGAAAAATAACCCCGTGAAATTTTGTACTCCGTGAAATATTTATAAACACCCTGTATATTTCGAACACAGTGATAACTACCGTATGATAAAAAAATGGCGTCAAAGACGGCTAGGGAATGATAATGGATAATAATTTTGGCGGGGTCGTTCTCTAGACGACATTTACTAAAAATTGACTTAAAAATTAAGGCAAAATTAACACTAATAATTATAGAACGATTGAAAAAGGATAGAACGTTTCCCAGCCTACTTTGACACTGATTTTTTTGTCGATCGTACGGTAGGTACAGCTGGTTCCAATAAAATTGAATACACTTTAAAACATATTTTTATTATTTCGGGCAGTATATTCTATGATACCAGTCCCCCATTTCTCTACTCATGTCATACTGACGTTCTGAAAAATGTATTTGCGACTTTGTCAAAAGCAAAGTTGTTTTCACTTGTTTTATACCTTGTTTTATACAATGTCACAATAACCTTAACATGTCAAAATACTTGACACATAAATATACACCAATATACACTGCCCAAATATTCAAAAAAAAATGTGTAAAGAGTCATATTCATTTTTTTTTGGAACCAGCTGTACCTCGTATCGATTTTATTTTGGGTTTGTGTATATACCTAGGCAAAAATCGTTACCCAGCGCTAGTTCCGAGATCAGTTTACCCGAAACCCAATTGGATTGGATAGATCAATTGGATATTGATGGGGAAAAAGTGACTTTAAGAAAAAAACTACCCGCATCGTATGAATCCGTCGATGGGTAAGGTTTTAATATATTTTTTTCTTGCTGGTACCATGTTGAATTCTATTTCCCCCCCTTAAAATAGCTCTCTTTTGGACAATTTCGAGATGGATCAGGCCCTAAATTCCAGTCCCATCCAGACCAACGCGAATTTCTCGCAAGGTACCGCCGGGCCTCAGAAGTGCCAGGAACCCACCGTGGACCTGGAACTGGACGTTAAAGTGATTATAAACAGTGGGAAATGCGTGTTGCATACCAAAGATCAGTTGCGCGAAGACGAAATAAAGTTGTAAGTTTTTTTTCTCCTGTGTATATTTTTCAAAAAACATATTTTTGTTCTTCTTAAGTCGAATGCGGAAGGACAGGTCTTCTTCGGCCGCCGGTTTGCTGGAATATTCCAGTTCGTCCAGTCCGGATGCGGTGAGAAAGAACAAGGAAAAACTAACCTCACAAAGCAGCGCATCGAAATTGAGAAGTACTTTGCACAACACTCTCGTGGATTTAACTATATTTCATATACCGGGGCTGGACGTGAAATTACAGTACCAGTCGAAAGTAAGCCTGAAAAAATGATTTTATACAGGGTTGTTCACCACATACGACACGGAGTATTGTAGCTAAACGATTAGATTTTTACAAATTGTAAGTTTTGTGTTCGTTGAAGGACTATTAGAGCTACAATTTAAAAATATTTTTACAAGATACAGAGTGTCCCAAATAAATAAAAAATATCAAAGTTATATTTTTTTAAATGGAACACCCTGTATATTATTACATTTTTAGTTTCTACGATTAAAATAAAGGTAAATTTGATTAAGGTTTACCGCACTTTAATCTTACCGTTTTTGAAATATTTTCAATTTTGTGAAATTCCAGTCAAAACTTTAAGGCTTCATTTCTCCAAGGGTATCAAAGTTTTTAATACTAAATATTTACTGAAGTTTATTTATTGATCAGTTATTGTGTTGCAATAATAAAAATTATACTACCTTATACAGAGTGTCTAAAATTACATTTTAAATAATTACTAGATTTAAACGGCAATAACTTGTTTAATTTAAATGGAACACCCTGTATATTTTATGAGAATCAGATGCACAATTTAATTGTCTATCAAACTGTATTATACCATTTTTTACCTATCTCTTCAAGTTTCCGTAGAAAATGCATTTTCTTGTAATTAAAAACTCATTTATCAATATACCCATGGGATACTGACATTTTAGATTATTTTTAAAAATGTGGCAACTTTTTAAAGAGTACAGATACCAATATTGTCGATCTACTTTGTTTACTTCATTAAAAAAATATAAAAAGCTGTTTAAATATTTGTTAAAGAATGATTAATATGATTCCAGTATTCGAACTATATTAATTGACTGTTGCGTTGATTTATAATAATTGCTCAAATAGTAAAAAAACTGAATTTTGTATGTGTATTAGGCAATGTGGTAAAAAGTAACACCTTAAAAATGATATTTCATTTTTTGACAAAAGCTTATATTTATAACAACAGAAACATTCATTTTCATAACTTATTATTATTTGATTTCTGATTCAAATCCACATCTATTGAGAATAATTTATTAACGAAGCTAATTAAGTATGTAATTAATTAGTATTTGGGCGGAAATAATGGTGGTATATTTAATTATAGTGGTATACTCTTTTATAAAGATTTAAATAGTTCTCTTCTTGCATACAAATGGCCTAGTAATATTATCATTTTGCTAAAAACGATAATATTACTAGCCTGTACATTTTGTACATTTGTCGCTTTAAAAACAATCTAAAATGTCAATATTCCATGGGTATATTGATAAATGAGGTCTAAATTATAAGAAAATGCATTTTCTACGAAAACTTGAAGGGATAGGTAAAAAATGGTATAATACAATTTGATAGACAATTAAATTGTGCATCTGATTCTCCTAAAATATACAGGGTGTTCCATTTAAATTAAACAAGATATAGCCGTTTAAAGCTAGAAATTATTTAAAATAAATTTTTAGACACTCTGTATGAGGTAGTATTATTTTTATTATTGCAACACAATAACTGATCAATAAATAGACTTCAGTAAATATTTAGTATTAAAAACTTTGACACCCTGGAGAAATGAAGCCTTAATTTTTTTACTGCAATTTCACAAAATTGAAAATATTTCAAAAACAGTAAGGTTTAAGTGTAATAAACCTTAATCAAATTTACCTTTATTTTAATCGTAGAACCTAAAAATGTAATAATATACAGGGTGTTCCATTTAAAAAAAATGCAACTTTGATATTTTTTATTTATTTGGGACACTCTGTATCTTGTAAAAATATTTTTAAATTGTAGCTCTAATAGTCCTTCAACGAACCCAAAACTTACAATTTGTAAAAATCTAATCATTTAGCTACAATACTCCGTGTCGTATGTGGTGAACAACCCTGTATACTCTGTCTCGCGAGAGATTACGTTAATTATTACTTTAATTCGCGGTTAATATAATATTTACTTGAGATTAAAATATTATTTCAGCCGTTAGTTCAAATATTTTTCAAAAACTCTATTTGAAATATACGTATATTAAAATTGTACTAAGAATCGTACAAAAATTTTAGCTAATCACAATAATCCTTGAAAGGAAATGAAATCGAAACTTTCTTTGTCTAACGACACGTATTATTTTGAAGGCTGTTCTAACACTATCCTTTATTATTAAAAAATGTACTAAGTATCGTACTAAAAATTTAGTTAATCGCATCCCTCGATAGACACGAAAATCGAAACTTTCTTTCTCTAACACGATGTCGTATTGAATAGAAGGCTGTCGTTTATTTAAAAATACAAGTTGACCGTGAATCGTATTCTCTCATGAAACAGACTATATACTTTAATTAAAGTAACTTATGGTAATCACAAAACAATTTCCGATGCACATGATCAACTTTGAGTGAAAAGCGATGGCGACAGCGTTGCCAGATTGTAATGGATTTATGAGATGAATCTTAAATTAAAAGTGGCAAACAATATATTTATTATATCATTTTTTAAAGATTTCTGCGTTTTATTTTTAATTTAATAATTAATTGATTTATTTGTTTTATAGCTTATTTTACTTATTACATCTTACAACGCCATAAGTGGTAATAACAAGTAAGAGGGTGCCATTAATGCCCAAACTAATAATCACAGAATTTAATAAAAAATAACGTAGAAATAAGTTTGAAAGTGGTGTAATGTGCTTATCAATCAAACTTACTTCTCTGACTGCAGTCAAGGGTAATAAAGGACCTTTATTGTCACGTTTTCGTTCAAAACATTTTATCAGGGTAGCTACAAGCTCTTTGCTTCGGCTGTTTAAATGCCTCGGCATATTTTCAATACACAATTTCAAGAAATGCAATACAAAAACTCGAAGATTTAGTTCTTAAAAGAAAACTGTTTGTGCTTAAAAGTACAATTAAAAAAAAGACTATGCAAATAGGCAAAAAAAAAACAAGAATTACTCACAAAGGTTCAACAACAACACGATATTATACAAAATAATGACTGATATTAGGATAATTGTCAAATAATAAAGGACAACCTTGCTGAAAACGGCGCAATGTGACCAACATAGCGATAATAAAATTCGGTTTAAACCATAGACTTAAAATAAAATATAGACCGAGCATCTCATTCATAAATAGCTGGAACATGCGGTCAGACAATGTCTTGTTATTGTTGTGTTGTTGTTTTAGGTTATAACGAGTGCGACACGAGCGATAGATAGGTTGTCTCTGACGTAACGGTCGTTCCCTGACGACTCTGCCGAGAAATACAACACTGTCTTTCGTTTCTCAAGTACACCTGAACTCTCCGTATCATAGCCGGGTAATTTTTTTATTTTAATGAAGCTATAATTAAATTAAAAATATATCGTATTTAAACGTTTTTATATTTTATTAAGATTTAGGACAGGTTTTTTAAATAAAAGTTTAGAAAAAACGTCTTAGAGTCCAAAAAGGATAAAAATAATAAAATACACGTTATAGAAGAAATTTTATAATCGAAATTATTGTAATTTTTTGAAATTAATAATAAATTATTAATTTTAGTCAAACATTTACAACCCCTAATATCAATCAAAACAGGTTCTATTCCACAGATATAATAGAATCGGCGACAGGAGAGAAAAAAAATATGATTGTTGTAATTTTTTTCTGGTTAAGTGATGTCTTATTATGTAAATTAGAGAAAACATAAATCTGTTCCATTAAAGCAAGGAAGGTGATAGGAAGTGGATAAAATGAAAACTACATTTATTTAACTCGGTACTGTCTTTATTATACCGGGTGCGTCCCAAAAGTGGCTCATCCCCATAATTTTTTTATATTTTCAAATAAAGAAACAAGATTTAGTATGTTAGTATATGACATAAATTAGGATTGATTGACGCATTCAATTGTTTTTGGTCACTTCCTGTTTCACCGGAAATGACTTTAACTTTTAATTTTTATACGGCACCCTCGGTATATTTCTACTTTATTCGATAGAAAATGACACTCTGAATAGAATGACATATCATATGTCAACTTTTGACATTTTCGCATATGGTTTAATTGTAATTGTAACGCGGTTCATAACGACAATTTGACTCGAATTACCAAGCGTGTGGTATCAATATATTCATAAGAAAATGCTTTTTCCTAATATGCTAATGAGTCACCCTTGTTCCATTTGAAAAAACTGACATATGTATGATTAAAAAACAATTTGTACATCTTTTAACCTGCCTAGACAAGACATGAAACCCATTAGACGATCAAAACTATTTTTCCAAGGCTCCTTGATTAAAACTTAGTGTTTTTAACAACACCATGGCACCCTGGATTGAAATTTAAAATACGATTTGTTTTTAAGCGACAATGTCAAAAATTGACATATGATATGTCGTTCTATTCTGAGTGTCATTTTTAAGGACTACAAGCTAAGAAAATGCGTTAATACAACCGGAGAGATAGCGGCAACAAAGCTTTACCGCACACATGCGACACGTACTACAAGGTAATGAATGAATGAACAGGCGACCTCGCCTCTAATCGGTGTTGCCATATTGTAAAGAACTTATCCTTTTCAAATAGTGTCCGACTTATAATTTAGTAGTACAAGGACTATTTAATACATCTATGGAATATTAAAACCTACTTTATAAAAATGTAGTATTAATATCTCAATATATGTGTATAATAAGAAAAAAAATATTGATAATATTAAAGACGTGACAACATAGGCTGGATGAGGAAGGCTCGGTCGACTGTACCCAGAAGTAAACATGTGTACAAAAAAGATTGTTTGACTGCGTTGAGATGTAAATAGTGTAGTCTATATTTTATTTTAAGTCTATGGTTTAAACTAATTTTTGCAGCCTTAATCTAAATAAAATATCTGTTGCAATAATTTGCTCTTTAAAGTAATCTTAAATTATATACAATAAATTTAAACATTTTTGCCAAAATTTCATTTAGTCAGGTTTATAGACTTTAGTGTCAATGTCGATATGATTGATGACGTGCATCGGAAATTGTTTTGCGATTACAATATCTATATTATTTTAAATAGGTGGTAATGGAGGATGACGATAGTCAAAATCAGACTCAATCTGACTTCGAAAAAACCTTTTCCAGTACTTCTAGAACCTCATATAATAACGATTCTGATCAAGAACGAATAGATCACGCGTTTAAACGCCAAGAGAGTCAATCAGACTTAAAATCGCACAGTCTCAATAACTCGGACTTGAGAAGTTCAACATCGATGCACGGAATAACCAATCCTAATTATGGACATTCACCAACCTCTAGGTATTTTTTTTGATAATCAATTTTCGGGTAACTAAATAGTTTTGCTTTTTTTAGTCTTAATAACCTTCAGTTCGGTAACTATACGCCGCCAAGTGGTGATAATTGTTTTAAAAGTTATGCAACCGGCAATACGTTTACCAGTTCGAAAAAGCAAGGCATTAAAAAGGCGTCCCTGTTCGTTTGGATGACTTTGCAAAGCGTACCGGAAGAGACGATTATCAGTCCTCATATTTTAGAGTTCTTGGAGCAAACGTTAGAGCCCATACCCGCGAAAACTATGAACACTACAGGTAGTACGAAAAAAAAAGATTTAATTCGATTTTATATTATTCTTTTTTTATTTTTTTTTATATAGATACTTCGTTTTTGTCTTCTGACCAGGATATAAACTACGGAAACTATGTCTATGCCAGTTTCCCTGTGGATGTGATCGTGTATTTCCACATGCAACCTAGTACATTCAGGTTTAGTTGTATCCCGGTATCCAGGGTGGAATGCTTGTTGCAATTACCCTCTTTGGATATTGTTTTTAGTTCGAAAAGAGCCGAGGATGAGTTTTTTACCAGGTAAGAATAAGAAAACAGAGCTCAAACTTGACGTTTAAGAGTCCATTTCACTAGTCGGAAAAGTGGCAAAATAAGCGTTCGGTATACAACGTTTTATGTAAAACTGGCTAGGTATTTTTACATAAATGAAGAAGGAAATTAAAGATAAAGGATTATACGAGCCCTAACAACTATACAGGGTTGTTCACCACATACGACACGGAGTATTTTAGCTAAACGATTAGATTTTTACAAATTGTAAGTTTTGGGTTCGTTGCAGGACTATTAGAGCTACAATTTAAAAATATTTTTACAAGATACAGAGTGTCCGAAATAAAAAATATCAAAGTTGTATTTTTTTAAATGGAACACCCTGTATATTATTACATTTTTAGTTTCTACGATTAAAATAAAGGTAAATTTGATTAAGGTTTAGTATACTTAAACCTTACCGTTTTTGAAATATTTTCAATTTTGTGAAATTGCAGTAAAAATTTTAAGGCTTCATTTCTCCAAGGGTATCCAAGTTTTTAATACTAAATATTTACTGAAGTTTATTTATTGATCAGTTATTGTGTTGCAATAATAAAAATAATACTACCTTATACAGAGTGTCTAAAAATTTATTTTAAATAATTATTAGCTTCAAACGGCAATAACTTGTTTAATTTAAATGGAACACCCTGTATATTTTACGAGAATCAGATGCACAATTTAATTGTCTATCAAATTATATTATACCATTTTTTATCTATCTCTTTAAGTTTCCGTAGAAAATGCATTTTCTTGTAATTTAGAACTTATTTATCAATATACCCATGGACTATTGACATTTTAGATTATCTTTAAAGATGTACCAAATTTTTAAAGAGTACAGATACTAATATTGTCGATATAATTCGTTTATTTCATTAAAAAATAAAAAAAACTGTTTAAATATTTGTTAAAGAGGACCAATTAATATGATTCCAGTATTCAAACTACATTAACTGACTGCCTTGATTAATAATAATTGCTCCAAATACTAAAAAGTTGAATTTTCTATGAGCATTAGACAGTGTGATAAAAAGTAACACCTTAAAAATGATATTTCATTTTTTAATAAATGCTTATTTATAACAACAGAGACTTTAATTTGATAACTTATTATTATATTGATTTCTGACTCAAATCCACATTTATTTATAATAATTTATTAACGAACACAATTAAGTATGTAATTAATTAGTATATGGGCGGAAATATTGGTGTTATATTTAATTAATGGTATACTCTTTTATAAAGATTTAAATAGTTTTCTTTTTGCATACAAATGGGCTAGTAATATTATCGTTTTGCTAAAAACGATAATATTACTAGTCTGTACATTTTATACATTTGTTGCTTTAAAAACAATCAAAAATGTCAATATTCCATGGATATATTGATAAATGAGGTCTAAATTATAAGAAAATGCATTTTCTACGAAAACTTGAAGGGATAGGTAAAAATGGTATAATACAATTTGATAGACAATTTAATTGTGCATCTGATTCTCCTAAAATATACAGGGCATTCCATTTAAATTAAAGAAGTTATTGCCGTTTGAAGCTAATAATTATTTAAAATAAATTTTTAGACACTCTGTATAAGGTAGTATTATTTTATTATTGCAACACAATAACGGATCAATAAATAAACTTCATTAAATATTTAGTATTAAAAACATTGATACCCTTGGAAAAATGAAGCTTTAAAATTTTTACTGCAATTTCACAAAATTGAAAATATTTCAATAACGGTAAGGTTTAAGTATAATAAACCTTAATCAAATTTACCTTTATTTTAATCGTAGAAACTAAAAATTTAATAATATACAGGGTGTTCCATTTAAAAAAAAACTTTGATATTTTTTATTTATTTGGGACACTCTGTATCTTGTAAAAATATTTTTAAATTGTAGCTCTAATAGTCCTTCAATGAACCCCAAACTTACAATTTGTAAAAATCTCATCGTTTAGCTACAATACTCCGTGTCGTATGTGGTGAACAACCCTGTATATTGGGACAAGGTCATATTATGGAATTATTGCCCTGGTTTTTCAAAATGACTGAAAAATATATGTTTAATTTTTTAAATATAAACATAGCCATATATCCTAAACAACTTGACAATATTTTTATGAATTTGTAAATCAATCCATATTTACAGTAGCGGATTTTGTTCATAAAAGGAAAAATTTGCTGACAACTAAATGTTGGGACAAGTATTTTTAAATAATTAATATCATCATAGGCGGCTTTACTATAAACGTCACAAATGTCGCAAACTGTTTACTTCAGCATTGACAGCTTGTAAGTGACTCGATACTTTGAGTAGTGAGATTTACTGTAAGAAATTTACATTTTTTTAATTTTCAATTTTGTTAATTTAATCCAAAGTAATGGTCCGTGGAAAAGCTACAAATCAAAAACTACGCGAAATTATCAATCGTCAATACAGTACGGGAAAAACAATTCGAAAAATTTCTGATGATTTAAGTATTCCAAAAACCACGGTCTTTAATATAATAAAAAAATAGGGCGAATCTGCCAACGTAGACGTTAGAGGTAAAAGTTCCGGAAGGCCAAAAGTTGTATCTCAGAGAGATTTACGAAATTTAGTAAAAATTTGCAAGTACTCTACCCGCGAAGTAATAGTTAAATGGAATACTGTAACTGGTTTAAATATATCAAGAGAATGTTGCCGAAAATATATCCACAAATGCGGTCTGGGGTTTTACAAGCTAAACTTTATTTTGTGTGGATAATCAATTACCTGAAGATTATTGATACAAATTCTTATTTAGGCCAAAGAAAAACCGCTACTGACAGAAATTCAAATAAAAAATCGCTACAATTGGGCAAAATCTAAATTATCGTGTACACAAAATGATTGGAATAAGGTCATATTAGCGATGAGTCTAAATTTGATGTTTGCGTGAGAGATCATCGAAAACGAATAATACGAAATAAAGCAGAAGCCTTTCATAAAGATTGCTTAAAGAGGGTTGTTAAATTTCCTAAGGGGATTATAGTTTGGGGGTGCATGTCAGCAAGAGGTTTGGGCAAATTAAATTTTATAGATGGCACTGTTAACGCCCAAAAATATCAACATATTCTTGAGATCTCACTTTTGCCTAGTGCTCAAGAATTGTTTCCAAACGAAGACTATATTTTCCAACAAGATGGAGCATCGTGCCATTCAGCAAGATCAACTAAAAATTGGTTTGGTAATAATAATATAAAAGTTCTATCCCATCCTTCAGGTAGTCCGGACCTCATTGTTATAGAAACTGTGTGGCATAAAATGAAGCAATATTTAAGAAACCACCCTCAACGAACAATTTTTGATTTGCGGATAAAACTGCAGGAAATTTGGGATAATTTTTCTCCTCAAATGTGCCAATCTTTGGTAAATACAATGCCATTAAGAGTTCAGGCAGTTGTTAAGGCGAGAAGTGATATAACTCCTTATTAAACAAATTTTTTGTTGTGCTGTCCCAATATATAGTTGTCAGCAACATTGGCTTGATTTTGTCAAAAAAAAGCTATTATCAAAAGTGATTTGTTTGCAAAGTTATAAAAATATAGTAAAATTGTCTAGATCATATTGTAATGTTTGAATTTAGAATAATAAACAAAATAAAGTTAGTCGTTTTAACAAATTACTATTTTTATTGCAAAAAAAGACCTTGTCCCAACATATAGTTGTTAGGGCTCGTACTATATCCGTATTGTAGCAAATTTTTAGACAACTTATTATTTTTAAGATTTTGATGGTCAAACATCAACAAAATATTCCTTATGTTTGGACTAAATTTTCTCGAAAATAAAACATAATTTAAAATTCCGTTACAATACCGAAATAGATTGAAGTTTTGTGAATACAGTGATATATAATTTATATGGTTTTGTAACAAATTGTTCGCTATTTTATGGCAAATGCTGAAGCTCTGCAAACCTTAATCGAGCCTTAATCAAAGCACGCGTATTTGGAATTTTGGATGTGGCTTAACACGACAGGATCGGGCTAAGCTTTAGGCAGATTTCTGAAATATAATATATATTTTCTTCGGCCACACACCCGCTTAACCCCACCCCTGAAAACGACCCGAAAGTACAGCGTAATAGACTCAATACTATTTTTTCGTATTAAAAAGTACTAAATTTCGTACAAAAATATTAGGTAATCACGTCCCTTGAGTTAACTCGTATTTAAAGGTATATTTTTTGCATTACCTCATAACAGATTTTTTTTTATTTCACGTGATCATTTCAATAATTATTTTATTGGTATTATTAAAACATAAGTATCAAAAAAAAAATAGATTCCTGTGTTCTGAATTTCTGAATGACAATATCTACTCATAGTATTTTTATATTAGATCATTCATACAATCGAAAAAAAACGGCGTCAGAGGTGACTTGGAAATAAAGACAGCTGTCAAATTATATGGGAAATGTCGTCGTTTGTGTCGTTTTTAGGCCTATTGGACGCCGTTTTATTACTACGACTAAGTTAAAATTATTATAGTATTATTAAAATAATAATTGGTTACAGTGAATTTGGAGATGGCACCCCAAACACAGCTGCTACAGCTGTAGGTGGTTTGAGCGTTACTGGTTGCCTATCCGACTTCTCGGTATACATTTTCCATCCCTATGGTGGAAAAAAATCGGCTTTAAAAGAGGCACAGTGGTCTCCGTTGTCTGATAGGTAAAATCGATAAAAAAAAGAGGCAGAATAATTTCAAACTACATTTTTTTGTAGCGAAAGAAAGGATTCTCTGTCAATCAACGTGGAATTCGTAAAATTCCACCTGTCTAGATCTAGAATGCTCAATTTTAAACAGGATATCAATAAGGGTTTGAAGAGTTCCGACCAAAGTAGGGCGGTAATAAGGTTTTCCAGTAAGTTTTTTAAGCGTTTTTTTTCTCGGTCACACTGTAGTTTTGTGCTATAATAATATATTAAACTGTTTTCTAGCTATCATAGATATTGGCTCAGCGTCATTTAAGTACGATATGAGACGTTTGACTGAGATTTTAGCTTTTCCTAAGGCCTGGTATAGAAGATCTATAGTTCGTAGAATGTTCCTTGGGGATTTGAGCATGTCAACGACTTACAGTGAGGAGGGTGAAGTTATGGCCCAAAAAACGTCGCCGGGAACGTCAAGAAATGACAGGTAAAAATAATTATTTAAAGAAAAAAAATTTAAATTTTATAATTATTTTTTTTACAGAAATTCGACTACACCACTGCTGGGCGGCAATAGAAACCGCCAGGACGATTACATGGCTCAAAAACAGAATAAAATGCGCGAAATAGGTGGGTATAATTATGTACAATATTTAGTACATTTTAGTAACATATTTTTCATTAGGTAAAACATTTAGTACGGATTCTACGGCGCAAGATGACGCTCCAACACAGTTCGATAACAAGACTGTGACAGCTTGGGAGACTTTGGTACTTTTCGCTGTCAATTTTAAAAAACTGAACGTCCATATGAATATGGGAAACGTTATGGGAAACGTTCTGTAAGAGTTTTATAATGGTTTTAAAAGAATTGTACGAATTTTACGTGATTTTTAGATGGATGACCAAGGAATTTCGAAGCGATGGTCGTCTAAGTATTGGATCCACTGGACACAAAAATTTATACATAGCGTTCGGTTTGGGAGGGTCCAGTTTGGATGCAAAGGGCGGGATTGTTGGTGGAAACATAGAGATCGCTAATATCGATACTTTTAGTAAGATTTTTTCGTTGTATTTTTATATTAAAATCTAGTTAATACATATATGTTTTTCTTATTTTAGTTCATATTCGAGAAGAACCGGATGTAGAGCCTTATCATACCGTAGGTTTAAGACTGAGGGCTCTGGAATTACGTCTGGACTACATGGTATCCTCTGTTTTAATGTGTCGAGTTAGTGATTTAAACGTCAATTTACGAGATGAATGGAAATTGAACAAACCCACTGGAAGAGAATCGTTCATGCCTACCAGAAGGTAACCATATTATACAGGGTTGTTCACCACATACGGCTCGGAGTATTGTAGCTAAACGATGAGATTTTTACAAATTGTAAGTTTTGGGTTCGATGAAGGACTATTAGAGGTACAATTTAAAAATAATTTTACAAGATACAGAGTATCCCAAAGAAGTAAAAAATATCAAAGTTGTATTTTTTTAAATGGAACACCCTGTATATTATTACATTTTTAGTTTCTACGATTAAATTAAAGGTAAATTTGATTAAGGTTTATTATACTTAAACCTTACTGTTTTTCGAATATTTTCAATTTTGTGAAATTGCAGTAAAAATTTTAAGGCTTCATTTCTCCAAGGGTATCAAAGTTTTTAATACTAAATATTTACTGAAGTTTATTTATTGATCAGTTATTGTGTTGCAATAATAAAAATAATACTACCTTATACAGAGTGTCTAAAAATTTATTTTAAATAATTTATAGCTTTAAACGCCAATAACTTGTTTAATTTAAATGGAACGCCCTGTATATTTTAGGAGAATCAGATGCACAATTTAATTGTCTATCAAATTGTTTTATACCATTTATACCTATCCCTTCAAGTTTTCGTAGAAAATGCATTTTCTTATAATTTAGACCTCATTCATCAATATACCCATGGAATATTGACATTTTATTATTGACACCTATAGAATATTGACATCATATATTGACATTCTAGTAATATTATCGTTTCGCTAAAAACAATAATGTTGTATGCAAAAAGAAAACTATTTAAATCGTTATAAAAGAGTATACCATTAATTAAATATGGCACCATTATTTCCGCCCATATACTAATTAATTACATACTTAATTGTATTCGTCAATAAATTATTCTAAATAAATGTGGAATTGAGTCAGAAATCAATATAATAGTAAGTTATCAAAATTAAAGTCTCTGTTGTTATAAATAAGCATTTATTAAAAAATGAAATATCATTTTTAAGGTGTTACTTTTTATCACACTGTCTAATACCCATACAAAATTCAGTTTTTTTAGTATTTGGAACAATCATTATTAATCAATGCAGTCAGTTAATGTAGTTTGAATACTGGAATCATATTAATTGGTCATTTTTAACAAATATTTAAACAGTTTTTTTATTTTTAATGAAATAAACGAATTATATCCACAATATTAGTATCTGTACTCTTTAAAAATTTGGTACATCTTTAAAAATAATCTAAAATGTCAATATTCCATGGGTATATTGATAAATAAATTCTAAATTACAAGAAAATGCATTTTCTACGGAAACTTAAAGAGATAGGTAAAAAATGGTATAATATAATTTGATAGACAATTAAATTGTGCATCTGATTCTCGTAAAATATACAGGGTGTCCCATTTAAATTAAACAAGTTATTGCCGTTTGAAGCTAATAATTATTTAAAATAAATTTTTAGACACTCTGTATAAGGTAGTATTATTTTTATTATTGTAACAGAATAACTGATCAATAAATAAACTTCAGTAAATATTTAGTATTAAAAACTTTGGTACCCTTGGAGAAATGAAGCCGTAAAATTTTTACTGCAATTTCAGAAAATTGAAAATATTTCAAAAACGGTAAGGTTTAAGTATAATAAACCTTAATCAAATTTACCTTTATTTTAATCGTAGAAACTAAAAATGTAATAATATACAGGGTGTTCCATTTAAAAAAATACAACTTTGATATTTTTTACTTATTTGGGACACTCTGTATCTTGTAAAAATATTTTTAAATTGTAGCTCTAATAGTCCTTCAACGAACCCCAAACTTACAATTTGTAAAAATCTCATCGTTTAGCTACAATACTCCGTGTCGTATGTGGTGAACAACCCTGTAGAGTCCCTTTCACTAAAGTTAACTTCAATTCGAGGTTATTTCGTTTATTTATTTTGAAGGTACAGATTAATTAGATTTTTGAGCGTTTTTCAATATCTTGTAGGCCAGCGAGTATTTTTGTTCACGGAGTACTCAGCTGGGACCAGCTTCAAATGATGATCTCCAAATCGACTACAGTGGACTTGCTGAGGATATTTAACAAGCTTGAAGAATTTTTCTCGCAGCAGTTCAACAGCAGCAAAAGGGCATTTAGTGGATTCTCCGGCGGTAGACCACCCCGAGTAGTACCGCAAAAAAGTGAGTCATTAGTGGGCACCCTTATAGTGGTTCCTTCTTGCATTTTTATCTGTTTTAGGTCGGGAATCACAGTTTCCATCGTCACAGTCACAGGTACCGTTAAACCCGCCGTCGGACGCCAGGCATCACCGTCACTGGCAGAAAGTGTTAAGCCACGTTGCCGGCTTGCAATTGAGTACCATGCACGTACCGCTACCCAATTTCGGTACGGTGTTAGGTAAGTTTGTACGATATCCGATAAAATTGTACGGAATAACGAGCGATTTTTGTACTAGGAGGAACCATGGAGCTTCACGGTAACAACGTTTCGTTGGCTTGTTTCCACGGCCTCAATTTCAAGAGTAAATCTTGGGCTTTGTTCAGTTTAAGGGAACCTTCTATTAATTTTAATACGGAGAGTCAAGAAATACCATCCACCAGCGGTGAGTTTCGTTCCTTTCTTATTTTTTTACGCAAAGTAAGGTCCTCGATATATCCACGTAAATATACAGGGTGGTCCGACTTGTATTCCGGAAACTTCGGTAGCATATTCTGCAGATAAAAATAAGTAAAAAAATTCGTATAAATGTATGTCCTAAAATTCTTAATTTCGGAGATACAGGGTGCAGAACTTTTCACAGTGTTGCCATTGGGATGGGACTTCTAATAAAAAAATTCTCATATGTTACACACTTAGCGGATCACACTGTATATGATCTAGAAATAAAATAGGATTTTTTTACAGAAGAAGCGCCGGCCCAAGACGTGCACGTCGTCCAGACTTTGTTGTGCAGTCTCGGACTTCATTCTTTGAGGCATTTATCTATGGCTCAAGTCTGCAAAGTAACCAGTGCGTTAATATTTCCGCCACAGTTTAAAACCCTTCAAGAATGGTTCCATTACGCCTTCGCTAACAGCCAAATCGACGGTATTTTTTTTTGCGTATTTATGCAGGGTGGCCAATTAGTGCCAGAAAGTCCAAAATATTCATTTATGTAGATTTTTTTTTCAATTGGACTTGCTCGCACGAACCGGCCACCCTGTATAACGGTTTTTTTGCAGAGGTCGATAAATTTCCGTCGTTGGAGAGAGAAAAAGAAGCGTCGAATTCGATCGAAAGAGCCAACAGGAGTAGCAGTGCACCTCCTAAGCTCGCCGATCCGAATCACACTAGAGAAGTTATTTTTGCTCTACCCGGTATGCAGATCCATCTAAAAACCGAGCATCTCCAGTGCGCTAAGTTACCGGATTTAATTGGTAAATAATTATTCTAATTTTGTGTATTTTTTTTATAATATTGTTATTGATTGTTATTGTTTTTTTTTAGGGGAAAAACCTATTGTTGAGTGTAGTTTTATTACAGAATTCGAAGATCACATTTTCGTTACTGTTGATGCAGAGGCGTTTTTCTTTTTACATGATCTTATTACTTCGTATCTACAGGAAAAAGAGAAAGTGGTAAGTCCTATGTAGGTTAAATTTGGCCAATATACACGGCGCAAAAGAATAGTGTACCTAACTTTAGAAAGTGATTCTACGTACAGATAAAAATAAATGAAATTGTTCCTATGAACATATAATATATGCTTCCCTAGGAAGTTATGCCCCTCAAAGAGGTAGATAGAAATAAAATATACCATTGTAGGGACTGTAGATACCAGATATGATCTAAAAAACACAAGACATGTTCCTTGTAAGGGGTGTAACGATTTTCAAGGGCCGTAACTTCCCCAGGAGGTCTCTTGGGGCTTATAGGTCATATAGGAAATGTCTTGTTAATTTTTGTTTAAAGTATTAGCCACCGAAGTTCGGTACAGTTTTCTTTTTGCGCACCCCGTATAACGAATTAAAATTTCAGCTGGGCAGTTTCGATAAGCGTTTAAGTTCGGACAATTCGGAGAGATTGAAACCCACTTTGGGCGAAACTCCGAAAAAAGGATCGATAGATGGCGACATTTTCGCAAACGACTGGCGAAACTATAACTGTAAAACTTGGCACCTCGAGCCCACGGTTCGTCTCCTTAGCGTGGCCGGAAAGTATATCGAACCCTATGGTAAGTATCGTAAAAAAATCGTATTATAAATGTACTAAATATTGTTCAAAAATATTAAGAAGTAACGTCCCTGGTTGGAAAAGATTTTTTCGAAAAGAATAACGCCATTCTTTCGTATTCGCCATTCTTTATGTACTAAATTTAGTAGAAACTTTTTAGTTAATTACGTCCCTTGAAATAGACGAAAGTCCAAAGTTTCTTTGTCTAACACGTTGTTGTTCAGAGCTGCAACAAGTCAGTTTTAAAAAGACTTAAATTGTAAGACTTTCAAGTCAAGTCATTTTTGTAAAGACTTAAATTGTATAAGTCTTTTTTTTACTTAAGTCTTTTTTTACTTAAATCATGATAATCTGCAAGTTAAGTCAGTAAAATGACTTAAATCAATATAATTTCCCTCAAGTCAAGACAACCAGAATTCAATTTAAATACCTATTTTTTAAATGTTAATATTAATTTTATTGTATTACCCATTACCGATTGTTTTTTATTATCTATATTAATTTATTGTAGATACAGATTAGAATAAAATATTATACAGGGTCCGGCAGTAGTGCGTCGGGCATCTGTAGCTCCTAGAATAAAAAACTTCAGAATTTTGGTTAAGTGCAAACCTATAGTATGTACCAGGATGTATCTCAGGAAAATATGTTAACTTCTATAGGGTGGCTCAAAAAGTATGAGTGGACCTGGATGATTTTTTTTAAATGGAACACCCTGTATATTATTGCATTTTTGGCTACCTTTCAGATCACTTTACATAACACTAAGATATGAATAAATATATTTCTATTAGTTTTAGAGATATTAAAAAATAAATCAAAAATATATATTTTTCAGCCCTTTTAAATTTTTTTTTTAAAAATACAGGAACTGTTCTGAAATCAAAAGTATATTAGGTATTTACTTTAGATGCTCTGTTCTTACTTTGCTATAAATATGGTAATCGTAAATCATACAGGATGTTCAATATTCTACGCCAAACTTTCTAAAATATAAAATATTTTTTCTTTGTTTTTTTAAATGGAACACCCTGTATATTATTTTTTTATTAGATCGAGAGTTAAAAAATGGACATTTTTTGTATTTAGAGTATTTCAAAATTTTTAACGGTTTCGCAGATACACGCAGTATTATTTCATAAGGCGCTTTCAATGGTAAAATACGAGAGAAAAATCATTGGCTGGCTTTGATAAAAATTTACTGTGGAAAATGCCATATGAAATATAAAACCGCAAATATCTGCAGAAACCGTTAAAATTTTGAAATACTCTAAATACAAAAATGTTCATTTTTAATTCTCCGTCTATTGAAAAAAATATTATACAGGGTGTTCCATTTAAAAAATGAAGAAAAATTATTTTATATTTTAGAAAGTTTGGCGTAGAATTTTGAACATCCTCTATGATTTACGATTTTCATATTTATAGTAAAGTAAGTACAGACTATCTAAAGTAAATACCTAAAATAGTTTTGATTTCAGAACAGTTCTTGTATTTTTAATAATTTTTTTAAGAAGGGCTGAAAAATATATATTTTTGATTTATTTTTTAATATCTCTGAAACTATCGAAATTTATTTATTCATATCTTAGGGTTATGTAAAGTGATCTGAAAGAAAGCCAAAAATGCAATAATATACAGGGTGTTCCATTTAAAAAAAATCATCCAGGTCTACTCATACTTTTTAGAGCCACCCTATAGAAGTTAAAATATTTTCCTGAAATACATCCTGGTACATACTTTAGGTTTGCACTTAAACAAAATTCTCAAGTTTTTTATTCTAGGAGCTACAGATGGCGGAGGCACTATTGCCGGACCCTGTATAAACAACTATAATAAACAATAAAAAAAATAAACGCATCAAGGACTATATAAAAACACACACATATAAAAACATCAATGACTTAAATAAAATTAAATTTTGTGGTACTTTGTACAGGTTGTCCCATTTTTGTGTGTTTTACAGGGTGTCTCGTTTATGAGCAGCGGTACAAAGATACGGTTTTCACAGTTGCTGCTTTTTTATGAAACTAAAGATGCTAAACACATACAGTACATCTGCTGGATCTGTGTGATCGTCTATGAAAGGAATGCGGACAAAAAACATTTAAATAAACAGCAATATATTTTATACGTCGATTTGACGAGTGCGTCACCGCAAATCGCTCCGCCCACTCATTTTATTGGCTACTTGCAAATTTCTTGAATTTTTATTGATGGGACGCGTCGTCTATTTTTTAGGAAAAACATCGAGAGACTATCGTTTCCCCTCTCACGGATACCCCGTAGCTACAGAACGGACAGACGTACTGTACATATTTGATGCCCGCTGTTAAAAATTTACGATAAAAATATATGAAAAAAAAACCGAAATCTTTTCAAAAAAGACTTAAATTTTTTAAAAGGTTTAAGTCTTTTGTAAAATGACCTATGTCGTTAAAAAAAATTAAATCTTTTTTAATGACTTAAATCTTTTCTAAAAAGACTTAAATCTTTTAAAAAGACTTAAATCTTTTTTAATGACTTAATAAATCTTTTTCCATTTCGGAAAAAAGGCTTAAATCGCAAGTCATTTTGAAAATGACTTAAATTTTATGTCTTAAGTCAGCTTTCGAAATATGACTTAAAATCAAATGATTTAAGTCATTAAAATAATTTAAGTCAAAAAAAAGACTTAAGTTTTCAGTGAGCTTGCAGCTGTGTTGTTTTTATTTGTAGTTACAGGTTTACCTTGAATACTCATCTCTCTTGCGAACTATACAGGTTGTTAACTGGACAGTTACTTATACGGGAACAGAATGGCAACACTGCCTATTGAGAACGCATGCACTTATAGGGTATTCTGCCGACTCGTCCCGTCGCGTCGCGTCGCGTCGTCTATCGACGAGCGGGCCGAGGTTGCCATATTTCAACTATGAAGCTCTTGTCGCGAGTAATGAACAAATTAACAACCTGTATATCTCGGACTATAATCGGGTCTACTCTCGGACTATATACAGACCGGACCACCGTTGGAGTAACATAGGCAGAACCGGACGAATTAGCGTATACCCGTACGCCGGATAAAAAGCGAAAAAATGCGATCAAATAAAAATAGGTCGATGTGTGATAAGAATGTTTCAGAATTTGTATTTATTCGTGTTTTAATAGCCAAAACCACGGGGGTGTCACTTGTATGGGAAAACAGGCAACAGTCAAATTTAAACGTGCCAGGACTAACGACAAAGAAAGCAACATCTGCCAGGCATTGGCTTTCTTTGTCACTCACATTGCTTAAATCATGATACCGCGGCCATTTTGTCAACAAAGAAGCTGGCCGGGCTGTCCTGGCAAGTGATTTAAAACAATTTTGCTTTTTTACAATATTAAATTACCATTTGGATGTATTTAATGCGATTATTCAGTTAATTGGTAAGTCAGAAATTACACACAAATACTTTATTCGTAAATACAACTAAGATGTAAACGTATTTTTGTATTTTTAGATTTCAACTCTTGCAAAGACCCGCCGGTAGAACTTGCCTGGCAGCGTATTATTTCCTGATAATAATATCAAAACACGTAAGTACCTCTATAATTTATGATGAAAAATGATTTTGATTATGTTTTATATTATTTAAATACTTTCTAACCTCAAATAATAGTAAGATCCTTGTTTATATCGCACAGCCCGTTCAAAACTGTATTGTCTTCAAAAAATGTTTACAAAACACACAATTATTAAAAAAACAATGTCCTTTTAATCTGATTTATACCTCAGAAGGATGCCAGTAAAATTTTATTACATCAACATTATATTATTTGGCCGTTAATATGCAAAAAGGAGCATATTGCCTTAACTTAAATTTTCTTTTACTTCTCCTGACAATGTTCTCTATATTCTCTATTTTGAGTTAGTAAACTTTTGAACGGGATGTGCGATATATAAAATACATAATATATCCAAGGGTATGATCTGATAAAAGTATTTTTTGATGCATTTTTTGGTTGTTTATGCACGTTGGGTTGTATAACAGCTTATATTTATTTGGTCATTAAAGGAATTTAAAATAGCATATATTTTTGGTCATATTAGTGTGTTATCATGATACAGGTAGTTGTATCATAGTGCCTTATGCATGTTATTTACCTATTATATACTTATGTAATGTATTATCAGTAAATAGATGATAACATACTACTAAAATGTCTTTTTAATAGTATGTTTATCTTTCCAATTCACTAGTTATTTGCAAAATGTATTTTGAACTAATTTAAGTCATTAATTGATCATCTTTCTTTTCAGGTTCCGGAATATTCTTTTTCATTGTTAAAAAAATATATATATTTCAATATTATTGTAATATAAATCGCAGCTCTAAAAAATAAATGATATTGTTTACTAATGTGTAATTTATTTACTATGAATTTTCTCTGAAAATAATAAGTCTTTAATAATATCATTGATTTGCTGTGTAAAGTTAATAGACATATTTTTTAATACATTAAATTATATTAAAGTAATAAAAAATATGTTTATTAACTTTAAACAGTAAGTCAGTGATACTTATAAAAATATTTTTTTTTAAATTTCCCCTCTTTTAAGCCCCGCCCCTCCAATTCCCCTCAATTTAGCTAGTACTGCCAGGCGACACCAGGTGGCGTCTGTTTCCATTTTTTAACATTTCTTTAATGTACCTATTCTCTGGCCAAAACGAATACGTAGATTCTCGCGACAGTTCTCGTGTAAAATTTATTTTTTAAGTATAATAATGGATGTTTATGAAGTTCGTGAGAAAATTCAAATTGTAAAATGGTATTTCCAAAATAGGTCTTATCGGGATATACAAACAATTTTTCCACAAACTTTTGTAAACAGGCCAATTCCATCTTTATCTACTATATCAAGAGTTATTAATAATTTTGAAACACATGGGAGCGTGTCCCCACAAAAACACAAAAAGCCTGATGTGTTGATTAATGAAGAACAGGAGTTAAAGCAAGTGTTCGTTTGTGCTACCGCGGATCAAAATCCCACGTTTTCAAGTAATCAAATTGCTGAGGTGGTTGCCCTGCCCACAATGCCCGTATTGTTTAAGAATATTTGAACAATACTTTTTCCCAACCGGTTAATTAGTGGATATGGAACTATTTTGTGGCCCGCTAGATCACCTGATCTTTCTCCCAATAATTTCTTTTTGTGGGGTTATGTAAAATCCAAAGTGTATGGTCATAATAGGGCTAATAATCTGGATGAATTTCAAGTAAAAATACGAGAGGCTTTTCCAAACTAATTAGCCAATGTCAGACGGGGATTTTACGACCGCCTAGGCTTCTGTCTAGCTCAAGAAGATGGTCTTTTTGAACACTTGTTATAACTTTTTTTTATTTAGAGTAATATTTTGTTTTTTTTTTGGGGTTTAGAGAATTGATTTATTTTTAGTTTTGGCTTGTAAACACACTCAAATAATAAATATTTAAGTATTTTCATTTTAAATGTTACCTTAAGTGAAGGTAAACACTTAAAATGGAAATAATAAATACTCGGCACTCTTCCACACTCTTCGCGTCGTATTCCTAGTCTGTCACGAGTGTCACGACCGACCCGTCCAAGCACAACTGCTACTGCGTACTGCCTGACCAGCCGACTAGCCGGCAGTGAATATCGACCAGTCTCGAGTACGAACGCAAAACGGGTAAACGTAAATTCGTCCGGCAACTTGCTATGTTACTAGTAGCCTGGTCTTCTCTGTATAGTCTGTCCAGCGGGAGCATCCCTGATTGTGATAGTCGTGTCTGTCATTCTAAATCATAGACAAATCGGTTTTTCTGTCATTTTACGGGTGTAATCTGTCAAAATCTTCCCCGACTTGCTGGACACACTACATAGTTTAAAAAAGCGTATGCATGTTATTATACCGTACGATCGAAAAAAAAAACGGCGTCCTGTTGGCTTAGAAAAAACGAACATCGATGACATTCCGTGTTATTTGGCATATAAAAGACCATCGCTGACGCCATTTTTTTTTCGATCGTATTGTTTTATTTTGTTGATTAATATTATTTTAATGGTGATAAATTGTAGGTATCGATTATATCCTGCAAAAACTTGGATTTTCGCATGCACGTACCACCATTCCTAAATGGATGCAAAGGGGCTTTATGGATCCACTGGACGCCATTTTGGCGGTGCTGATGCTCAGGATGATCCACGTGGTGAAGGGGGATCAGTCGCATAGAGAAGAGAAAAAACCCATTGAACACAAAAAGTAGTTTTCTCCATATAAGTATTGAAGATAATTAAATAACCGTATAGCAGTATATAGTGTTGATAAATCATAATATACAGAGTGTTTTTGATTGAATAGGTGTCCGATATTTCGCAGGGTGATTTTTTCACTTCAGCAATCACCCAGGAAAATATCAGAAACGCTCTGTGCACAGAGCGTTTAAAAACCTTTTTTTTTGTGTTTGTTTTGAAACACCCTGTATCTTGCCGTGCTATTTTATCGCAAGTATATTTGAAATAATTCTGATCTTTTGCAGGTGATTCTAAATTTAGTATTAATTTAAATTATTCAAAAAATTTGGTTGTGAGGCAAAACTTACTATTACCGAGTTAATTTTTATATATGGTATAAGGTGTAAATATCTTTTTTTGACAGTTTCATTGTCAATTTTATAGAGAATTTGTTACAATATTTTTGTTGTATAGTTTCCTGTAAATTTTGTTATATATTGTTTAAAAAAATGCAATATAGGTATGTGTATTCAATTTGACTTTTATTTCATTTTATTTTTATTTTTTCTTATAGCGAAACGAGTAATTTGGAGCAATATATGTACTATTTGAAACGATTGATATTGTTAGTAGTCTTAACACTTAAAATGCAAAAAAAAATCTATGGTACAAAATAAAACTTTCAAACATTATTTAACATTGTATTTATTTAAGTCGTACATTTTTTATATCAAGGGAAATCACAGGAACAATATAAAAACAAAACATTTTTTTAGTAATTAAAACTAACTCAACTAATTTTGCAATTTTTTAAAATCTCTTCAGAATCCTCTGGCTTGATTTTCTTAATTTCTTCGAGCAATGCCTTTTCAAAATCAATCAGTCTCCTGGGCTTTTTGTACTGAAAAATTGCAAGAGAAAATTACGGCAATATACTTATAGATGGGCCTTAAAAAAATTCACCTACCGTTATAATAAGGGTGTTAAATCTGTGGGAAAAGCTGACATTTTCTTGTTCTAATTCTATGCAAAGTCTTTGCAAATCTGGTACTATTATCTTCTTGTAGTACTTTTTATTTGTGGTTTGTACTATCAGGGCACTTAGCTCTTTATCAACCAGAACCGAATATACCTCTATAGGATAAGGCAGGTTCCTTATCCTCCATTCTAGATTGATTCTGGTATTTCTCCTAGTAATAAAGGGCTAAAATACCCAAAATTTAATATATTAACGTATGGACGGATTCTTTTTACTTATTATACCTGGTTGGAATTTTCTCTGATAATATATTTATTATCCGAATCATATGATGGTTCAGGATCTCCGATCTCTATTTCCCAAGAATTTTCACCTTTTAATTGTCTATTTATTCTCCAAGCTCTTCTTGTAACTACGTTTGTGTTTAAATCGTACTCTTCCACCATTTCCCTGTTATCATCCAACTCAAAATGGATTCTTTTTAGATTGTTCTGGACGATACACTTTTTTCTGGCCTTTTGTAATTGAGAAAACCAATCCACTGACATTTTTCTAATGTTCTCAGCGTTCTATATTCACTAGAAATCCACAAATTTTGCTATAAATGTTGCAGACAGTGTGCAACAAAACAAATATGTCTTTTAGATTGATGTACACATTTTACAGTTAAAGTTTTTTGTTGATTACATGTTGATTACTATGGTGTTATTGATGTAATATCTGGTAACGCATTGTACCATGAGAAAGGGACAAAACAAACAACCTGTAACCGTTTGTAACATCAAACATCATTTAAGTCTCTTCAGAGAGAAACTATATTTATTTTTCTATAACGCTATTGTACTACAATAACTTGTTAACTAATATCAATTAGCCCAGTAAGTACCCAATAAATAAATACTTAACACAAATCCAAAAAGAATAAATAATAAAAACATAAGAGAAAGACAGTTTCGAAAGCAAAAAGAGGTTATCGTTTATTCTTCCCCTTTTTTTTTTGTTTTCTTTTATTAATTTGATGGCTTAAGCTGCTAGGACTATCCAGCTTAGAGCTTGTTATAGAAGATTATATCCATATCCCTGGGCTTTACCATCCTTAACGTAATAAACTATTTTTTTCGTAAAAAAATTATTTGTTACACGTAAAAAACTTATTGTTTCTAATAAAAAAAAAACTTTTTACGCAAAAAAATTATTTTTTGCGTGTAAAAAACTATTTGTTACACGTAAAAAACTAATTTTAACGCGTCAAGAACTTATTGTATCAATGCCTTCTATTAAAAGATCAGCCTACGGGCGAGATTTATGACGTCACGCTAGTTAGATATAACGGATTAATAAATATGTTGTAGAATACATGGAAAACATAATTATTCCTCAGATTTTTGGTTTGTATTTTAAAAATGATATAGTTTAAATGAAATATACATAATATACAGTTAATAACTACAACATATATACCTATTTATAGTAATAAATACTTTGGCAAATAAACTATGAACCATACATATGCAGCAAATGTTTTACAATGTACAAATAATGTATAGGTACATAAGATAATGGGTAAAATGTAAATATATTTTAAATTTTGGGGTTTGAAAATCGATCTAATTTAACAAAAACATTGAATATCTACTAATAGTGATGTATTATTATTTGCATTCACAAAATTTATATGTATATTTTGCAGAGTATCAATGTTCGAAAAAATTATATTTACAAATAATACAATATTATCTAAAAAAGGCGTCAGCGATGGCTATGAAATGAAGATCGCTGGCATTTTATATGTTAAATTATTCTAAAAATTTTTTGATTTTCTTGGGATTTTTAGGTTCGGGAAAACGTTGATTAAGTTTTCATTTGGGTTTTCATTATTTTTATTTGGTTTAAAAACGTTTCGGCTAACTATAGTTTTTTCACAGTGTTGTGTCATATGAGAAAAATAGTGTCGAATATAATCCAAAAATTACATATACAATATAATTCACACCTCATAATGTTTACTGCAATTAATAAACTAATATAAACTTATCAAAAGATGACCACATATTTTTTAAAAATTATTATTCTTAACACTAAAATTATCTACATTGACTATGGAGTACGCAGTAAACATTATGTGCGTGGTGTGCATATTTTATATGCAATTTTTGGATTATATTCGACACTATTTTTTTCATATGACACAACACTGATGGAGGCTATAATGTTAGCCGAACCGTTTTTTTTTAAACCAAATAAAAAAAAAAATGAAAACCAAATGAAAAAATCAATCAGCGTTTTTCCCGAACCTAAATTCCAAGAAAATCAAAAATTTAGAATATTTAGAATCAAGGTTCAAGAATATCAAATTTTCCAAGACTGTAAAATTCTAGTTAATTATTTTATGTGTACAGTTATTTCGGGAATATCATCGATGTTCATTTCCAAGCCAACTAGACGCCGATTTTTTTCGATGATACGGTATAATTCTTACGTAAAATGTAAATAACATTAGACCAATTAAAACAAAGAAATATGAATTTCTTAGTATTTTTAGTAGCACCTTTATTCTTAAACTTAATTTTGTATTATGCAAATATACCAATTTTATTGTTATTTTATTCATATTGTATTCAGCCATCACTTAAATATTTGATATTAATTTGGTATTATAAATAATCAACACTATTCATTAAAAATTACTGAACAAATATATGTTATGCTTAACATACATTATATATTATCAAACAAAAACACATTCTTCTTTTTAAACTGTATCAGTCTTGTCTTTACAAAAATCTTTTTTAAAATTTGAACTCAAAATAATAATCTTTTTCATGATCTCTAATACACATATTTTTTATTTTTCCCTAGATCATAATACCTACTTACGTGTTTGAATCTATCGAAGCTGAACCAGCAACACTTGGAGTGGAGATTCCACAATATGAATAAAATAAACATAATTGTCCAGTTTTCATTAATACCATCATGGGAGAATATTATTTTTAAATTTATTAAAGATATTTTCAATAAAATTCTCTTGATTTATAACTCTGTACCCACTTTTCTTGCTCTTCCGGACACTTTAGGCTGCCTAGTATAATAACTATCCTTTCCACCAGGAACACAACAAAGATGAGGCATAGCACCAATAACACACTCCACTTAAGCTTTATTGATGAATTGTTAGAGTCTTAAAAACACACACAAAAATCACGATAAGTAAAAATGTATGGGCACTTTTAGGTTAAATCACTTGCACAACGTGTAATTTTTAAAATTTCTATTTTTTGTGCGAAACCGAGAGTGACCATATATCTGGTAGTAGTTTATGTCACTTCAACACCAAAATAATTAGTTTTTTGCACTACAATAATAAATAATACCAAAAATCAAAGAGTTAAAACCAAAAATCAACCGACAAAATATGAAACGGAATCTAACCCAATATCTAAGTATGTACAGCTGATGAAGTAAACAAAAGTCCGCCCGTAGGCTGATCTTTTAATAGAAGGCATTGATTGTATCTGATAAAAACCTTTTTTACGCAACAAAAAAAATTTACTTGTAAAAAACTACCGCATGATCGAATAAAAAGGGCGTCAGCGTCAGCGATGGCTATGAAATGAAGATCGCTGTCATTTTATATGAAAAATTATATGGGAAATGTCATCGATCGTCATTTCATGGCCATCGCTGACGCCGTTTTTATTCGATCATACGGTATTTTTTGCACCTCGAAAACTATTTTTTACACGTATAAAACTATTTGTTACCCGTAAAAAACTATTTGTTCCGCGTAAAGAACTATTTGTTACGAGTAAAAAACACTTTTTAGACATAAAAAACTATTTTTTACGCATAAAAAAATATTCCTTTAATTTATTACGTTTTTCAAACATTTCCTTAAAATTTTTGAATTTAATAGAATCTTCCTAAACAGTAGATGTTCTCTATAAGAATATTTTTAGATAATAGGTACCCTAAAATGACAAAAAGAATACTATTTTAATTTATTTTTATTGTATTATTAAATATTACGTCCGCCTATGACGGGGTCTCATTTAGGTGCATCCATACTATGGCAAAAGATCGATTTCCTGAAGAATCGATTTAAATCAGACATCCTAAAGTGTCACTGCCGTCTTTTTAAGCCCTCCATACTGCCGTCCATAGCTGCCGTCGGTCGTCGATCAACTGTCAATCTGTCAATTAAGAAGTCAATGGCTGAGAGTCAATGGTCAAGGAGACGTCATATTTTTCATCGCCTTGCTAAAATTACCGAGCAGGAAATTAATAATAAATCAATAAATCAATAAATCAATAAATCGATAAATCGATAAATCGATAAATCGATAAATCGATAAATCGATAAATCGATAAATCGATAAATCGATAAATCGATAAATCGATAAATCGATAAATCGATAAATCGATAAATCGATAAATCCATAAATCCATAAATCGACAAATCGATAAATCAATAAATCAATAAATCAATAAATCAATAAATCAATAAATCAATAAATAAATAAATCAATAAATCAATAAATCAATAAATCAATAAATCAATAAATCAATAAATCAATAAATCAATAAATCAATAAATCAATAAATCAATAAATCAATAAATCAATAAATCAATAAATCAATAAATCAATAAATCAATAAATCAATAAATCAATAAATCAATAAATCAATAAATCAATAAATCAATAAATCAATAAATCAATAAATCAATAAATCAATAAATCAATAAATCAATAAATCAATAAATCAATAAATCAATAAATCAATAAATCAATAAATCAATAAATCAATAAATCAATAAATCAATAAATCAATAAATCAATAAATCAATAAATCAATAAATCAATAAATCAATAAATCAATAAATCAATAAATCAATAAATCAATAAATCAATAAATCAATAAATCAATAAATCAATAAATCAATAAATCAATAAATCAATAAATCAATAAATCAATAAATCAATAAATCAATAAATCAATAAATCAATAAATCAATAAATCAATAAATCAATAAATCAATAAATCAATAAATCAATAAATCAATAAATCAATAAATCAATAAATCAATAAATCAATAAATCAATAAATCAATAAATCAATAAATCAATAAATCAATAAATATATAATTGATAAATCGATAAATCGATAAATCGATAAATCGATAAACCGATAAACCGATAAACCGATAAACCGATAAATCGATAAATCGATAAACCGATAAATCGATAAACCTATAAATCGATAAATCGATAAATCGATAAATAATAATAATAAATAAATAAATCAATAAATCCATAAATCCATAAATCCATAAATCCATAAATCCATAAATCCATAAATCAATAAATCAATAAATAAATTCGATAAATGTTGAGTTTTTGATAAATTAATCAATAAATCGATATATGTATAAATAAACCAATAAATCAATAAATTGATAAATCAATAAATCGATATATAAATAATCAAATTAATCGATAAATCAATAAATCGATAAATTAATCAACAAATCGATAAATTAATCAATAAATCGATATATAAATAAACCAATAAATTGATAAATCAATAAATCGATGAGTCGATAAATCGATAAATCAATAAATCGATAAATTAATTAATAAATCTATATATAAATAAACCAATAAATCAATAAATCGATAAATTAATCAATAAATCGATAAATCAATAAATCGATATATAAATAAACAAATAAATCAATAAATCAATAAATTAATCAATAAATCTACAGGGTTGTTCACCACATACGACACGGAGTATTGTAGCTAAACGATTAGATTTTTACAAATTTTAAGTTTTGGGTTCGTTGAAGGACTATTAGAGCTACAATTTAGAAATAATTTTACAAGATACAGAGTGTCCCAAATAAGTAAAAAATGCTATAGTTGTATTTTTTTAAATGGAACGCCCTATATATTATTCTATTTTTAGATTCTACGATTGAAATAAAGGTAAATTTTATTAAGGTTTATCACACTTAAACCTTACCGTTTTTGAAATATTTTCAATTTTGTGAAATTGCAGTAAAAATTTTAAGGCTTCATTTCTCCAAGGGTATTAAAGTTTTTAATACTAAATATTTACTGAAGTTTATTTATTGATCAGTTATTGTGTTGCAATACTAAAATTTAATGAAATAAACAAACTATATCGACAATATTAGTATCTGTACTCTTTAAAAATTTAGTACATCTTTAAAAATAATCTAAAATGTCAGTATTCCATGGGTATATTGATAAATAAATTTAAAATTACAAGAAAATGCATTTTCTACGGAAACTTGAAGCTATAGGAAAAAAATGGTATAATACAATTTGATAGACAATTAAATTGTGCATCTGATTCTCATGAAATATACAGGGTGTTCCATTTAAATTAAATAAGTTGTTGCCGTTTAAAGCTAGTAATTATTTAAAATAAAATTTTAGACACTCTGTATAAGGTAGTATAATTTTTATTATTGCAAAACAATAACTGATCAATAAATAAACTTCAGTAAATATTTAGTATTAAAAACTTTGATACCCTTGGAGAAATGAAGCCTTAAAATTTTGACTGCAATTTCACAAAATTGAAAATATTTCAGAAACCGTAAGGTTTAAGTGTAATAAACCTTTATCAAATTTACCTTTATAATTAATCGTAGAAACTAAAAATGTAATAATATACAGGGTGTTCCATTTAAAAAAATACAACTTTGATATTTTTTATTTATTTGGGACGCTCTGTATCTTGTAAAAATATTTTTAAATTGTAGCACTAATAGTCCTTTAACGAACCTAAAACTTTGTAAAAATCTAATCGTTTAGCTACAATACTCCGTGTCGTATGTGGTGAACAACCCTGTATATATAAATAAACCAATAAATTAATAAATCGATAAATCAATAAATCGATAAACCAATAAATCGATAAATCAATAAATTAATCAATAAATCGATATTTAAATAAACCAATAAATCGATAAATCAATAAATCGTATAAATCAATAATTCGTAATCTACGACCTCAAAATAGGGTGTACACCAATTATTTTGTTGAAAATCTGACGATTTCCAGTTTTCCCAATAATTACCTAAATTTCAATTCATCATGGTGAATTTATAGCTGAACTGATGTCGGTTTATTTTTTCTCTTTCAGCTACTGATCTTTTTCTATTAGAAATGATGGATAACATAGACGAAGTAATAGATTTAAAACCGTAAGTATGAATGTAAAGTAGTTCCCTTTATTAGATCCCAGTTACAATAATAACTCCCTTCAAATCTGGTGTTTTGTTTAGATCACTCGAAAGGCATACAGTTATAAGAATTTAATCAAAACAAATTTGAGGATTAACAAAATGTTTATTTTAATCTGAAAAAATCGTAACCTAGTCAAGTATTCTATTTATTATTAAGTTTTAAGCGTTATAGTTAAGTATGCAGCGTGGCAGGCTGTACCTCAAGAAGAGATCGACAACCTGATCAGGAGCATGGAGAGACGATGTAGGGCTGTAATGAACAGTAGAGGAGGCTATACCCTTTATTATGTAAAAATGGTTTTATCTTTTTTTTAATTCACAGTTTAGAATAAAAAAAAGATGTGTGTATTTTTTTGAGTTCAATAAAAATCAAGGTAAATTTGAAAAATTCGGCAAATTTCGCATTTTTATTTCCAATACGTCCTGTAAACTATTTGTTTATTTTAATTTTATTATATCAGAAATGCAAATAATAAAATTACTGACGATGGCTGGATAAAATTGTAATATCCCTAGACTTTTCTGGTGTGTGTATATCAGATATATATCGGATATATATCCGATATTTGATATTTATATAAATATCATGATCTTTGCCAACCCTGGACCTTGGTTAACTACTCAATATTCAATTATTCTCGAGTGACTGAATTGGCTGCAAAAAATTGCTGATAACTTCAGTGTTCTGAGGCGGTGCTTCGTCTTGCTGGAAAAATATGTTTTCGAATTCCATTAGGGGCAGATCATCAATAAGGGGTCCAAAGCCTACTAATTAAAAGTGGCGAACTTTTAAAAATTCTGTACTTCGAAGGGAACTATAACAAAATATCAAATGTGCTATATTTTTGGAAAAGTAATTTTAAGTTCTTTTCACTTAATTAAAAATATACAGGGTGTCCCAAATAAAAAATTAATTTTTATGTTGATAACTCTTAAATTATTAATTTAAAAAAATATATACTTAAACTATTAAATTCTATGTAAAAAGATACTTTAGAAATGTTTTCACAAAAATACAAAATTTTCCATAGCAAAAAAGTTAAAGCAATTTAAAATTGCACATTTAACACCCTGTAACTCATAAACGGTAATAGATATCGATGTGCGGTTTTCACTATCACGTTTTTGACAAAAATTGAGTTCCAGACACCGATATCAGTTTTCGTCTATTTCCTATAGAAAAGGGTGTTTCCCTTTAAAAGCGTCCAATTTGACCCACCCTGTACATACTGGAAACTTATCTGCACGATACTAAAGAACAAACTATATTTTTCATAGCCAACTTATAAAATTGATTTGTAAATAGCTTTGAATAAGAAGACTAAGGAAGGAGCATAATGCTATCCATGTATTCATGCATGGTGGTGGGGATCCTTGACAGTTCTGTTTGACGATTCATTTGACACATTTGAATTTGATTTGAAATTTTGTGGATTTGTCAGTCTTTACGGAGCTGATTTTATGTTATTTATTATTTATTCTACTACTGATAGTTGTATAAAGGTAGTAAATCTAGATGGAAATTGTGGCAGAACTTAAATTAACTGTGACACTATCGCGATTTATCGAAAAAATAGTTGGTTGTGTAGCGTGCGGTAGATCTCGGCAAAAATCGAGTGAAATAATGGAACAACTTTTCGCTAGTAAGTGAATATATAATATACATACGTGTAGTAAACCTAATACGTGTAGATCATTTATGAAATTCACTTAAATTAACTAATTATATATTTTTTCTTGCATTTTGCTTGTCAAAGATTAGATGTCAAAGAATTTAGATACGTCAATTTGACTTACCTGCTTTTTAGTAGCGTATCGGATGTTTGTGTTAATAAATAATTATTAAAACTTATCTATTTTTATTATAATAATATGTTTTTATAACAATTTTAATAACTACCAACATTTATTCACAACGTAAAATAAAAAAGATATATTGAGTCTCACTCCCACGTCTACCCTACATAATAGTTTTATATTTTTAAATAAAATTAGAACGGCACTGATAAACCGGAATTTAAGTCGGTCCTATTTGAGTCCCATCGCGGTGAACCTAAGATTTTTGATTCCTTAGTCTTCTTATTCAAAGGTAAATAGACATTGCTCCTACATGATCTCTGGATCAAATTAAAATTAAAGAACTAAAAAATTGATTTTAGGTCAAAGAATCCGCAGGAAAATATCCATAAATGTGCCTATTTGCGGCTACCAAAACAATTTACGACATGTAGCACAAAAAAAATGTTCTAATATTTGCATACCAAACACGACATGTAGCACAAAAAAACTATTTAAAATATTTAAATTCAACTATTCGAGAACACTTTTACTTTATTAACACAGATGCGTCTACAAGAAACCATTGAGGTTCTGTTCAAAATTACCTTTCGGCCTTTTTCAAAAAATTATTATTAAAAATACTAGAACTGTCCTGAAATCAAAACTATATTAGGTATTTACTGTAGTCGGTCTGTTCTTACTTTTTTACAAATATCGTAATTTTTAACCATACAGGGTGTTCAAAATTGTATGCCAAACTATTTAAAATATAAAATAATTTTTTCTTGTTTTTTTTTAAATGGATAACTCCCTGTATATAATTTTTTATTAGATGGAGAATTTAAAAAATGAACACTTTTTGTATTTAAAGTATTTCAGAATTTTTAACGGTTTTTCGGATATTCGTGGTATCATACATATGGGGTTTTCAACAGTAATTTTTTATCAAAACCACCCAGTGATTTTTTTCTGGTATTTTACCGTTGAAAGAGCTATATATAATAAAATCGCGAATATTTGCGAATTATAGTTTTTGTTCTAAAATAGATTAAAAAATGACATAATAAAATTTAGGCTGTTGTTATCGGGTATTTGCTTTGAATAAGAAGACTAAGGAAGGAGCATATCAAAAATCTTAGGTCCACAGGATGGGCCTCAAATATGGCCGACTTAATTTCCGGTTTATCAGTGCCGTTCTAATTTTATTTAAAAAAATGTAAAACTATGATGTAGGATAGACGTTATAGGTAGATTCAATAATTTTGTTTTTATTTTACGTTGTGAATAAATGTTGGTAGTTATGAAAATTCTTATAAAATATAAAATTCTAATAAAAATAGATAAGTTATAATAATTATTTATAACCATAAACATCCGATACGCTACTGAAGCAGGTAAAGTCAAATTGACGTATCTAAATTCTTTGACCTCTAATCTTTGACAAGTAGTAAATAAAAGCAAAAATGCAAGAAAAAATATATAATTAGTTAATTTAAGTGAATTTCATAAATGATCGGTTTACTACACGTATGTATATTATATAGTCACTTACTAGCGAAAAGTTGTTCCATTATTTCACTCGATTTTTGCCGAGATCTACCGCACGCTACACAACCATCTATTTTAGAGTCTTTTTCGATAAATCGCGATAGTGTCACTGTTAATTTAAGTTCTGCCACAATTTCCATCTAGATTTACTACCTTTATACACCTATCAGTAGTAGAATAAATAATAAATAACATAAAATAAGCTCCGTAAAGACTGACAAACCCACAAAATTTCAATCAAATTCAAATGTGTCAAATGAATCGTCAAACAGAACTGTCAAGGATCCCCACCTTAGAGTGCTTTTTCCGCCCACCATGCATGAATACATGGATAGCATTATGCTCCTTCCTTAGTCTTCTTATTCAAAGGGTATTTGTTAAATTTGACATTTAAAAAATATATGACTAAAAAAGTGGGTTTATTGGGCGAATTTTGAAACACTTTATATGAAAAATATTTTGTAGGGTTACAAGACTCACAAGACTGTAATATTTAAGTATTCTTTTATTAGATCGAAAGAAGCTGAGGAAAAAGTCTTTCATTGTACCACATGTGGCTTTCAAACGCAATATAAATCAAATTTTCTCAGACACAAGAAAATTAATTTGCTACTGAAAGACCGACAGTTGTTTGCATGTACACACTGTAATAAGAGATATACAACAAAACTAGGCTTACAACGTCATCTTGATCATAATCATATTGATTCCAGGTAAATTTATTTTGTGTAATACACGGATCATATACAGTGTCACAGATAAAGTCTGAATGCTTTATTCATTTTCTTTACTCCTTTTACATATACAGGGTGTCCCAGGCTGAGCGCGCATTAGAAGTTTCTAGAGAACCACAATATCTAGATCGGAGATTTTTTGCACATCATTGTTTTACAACGAGATCTGTCGATTAACAATATTTTCAATATGGCGGCACTTCCGGAAATACCGGAAGTTGACAGCAACTTTCTTATTTTAAATGGGTGCCCCCAATTTTTATTACACACTTAAATTCTTTGTAAAATTTTATGAATTTTGATATTAAACACTCTATATCTAATATTAACCGTTTTTGAGAACAAAAAAATATTTAAAATTTTTGGACGAAAAAAACTACCCGTCAAAAAAATTTGTATAACCTAGAAAAATATTATTGATTACCATAGCCACTGTGATATAAAGACACGTGGCTATCTATTTCAAAAATTAAATTGATCAAATGTCATATAATAATGACGGTAGCTGTCATAAAATTGAGCGATTAAAACATAAAATAATACATTATTTTTTCCAAATGGAAACCCACTTTTTTTTATTTCGCGCCCTCTACACGAAGGAGTCATATTGACGATATCAAAATCAAATTACTCATGTCAAAAAACTCCCAGACACCAATTTTTATCTGAATATTGACGTTGCTTCAGAAATTATTTGGAAAAAACCGAAACAAAAATGAAACTTCTACACCCTGTATCTCCGAAACTAAGCATTTTAGGACATATATTTATACCTTTGAATAAGAAGACCAAGGAAGGAGCATAATGCTATCCATGTATTCATGCATGGTGGGCGGAAAAGCCACCATAAAAGCTCTCTAGGGTGGGGATCCTTGACAGTTCTGTTTGACGATTCATTTGACACATTTGAATTTGATTTGAAATTTTGTGGATTTGTCAGTCTTTACGGAGCTTATTTTATGTTATTTATTATTTATTCTACTACTGATAGTTGTATAAAGGTAGTAACACAGATAACACATAATAATGTGTTATCTGTGGTAGTAAATCTAGATGGAAATTGTGGCAGAACTTAAATTAACAGTGACACTATCGCGATCTATCGAAAAAGACTCAAGACTAAAATAATTGGTTGTGTAGCGTGCGGTAGATCTCGGCAAAAATTGAATGAAATAATGGAACAACTTTTCGCTAGTAAGTGACTATAGGTATAATATACATACGTGTAGTAAACCGATCATTTATGAAATTCACTTAAATTAACTAAATTATATATTTTTCTTGCATTTTAGCTTTTATTTATTACTTGTCAAAGATTAGATGTCAAAGAATTTAGATACGTTAATTTGACTTACCTGCTTCAGTAGCGTATCGGATGTTTGTGTTAATAAATACTTATTATAACTTATCAATTTTTATTAGAATTATATATTTTTATAACAATTTTAATAACTGCCAACATTTATTCACAACGTAAAATAAAACAACAAATTATTGAGTCTACCCCACGTCTACCCTACATCATAGTTTTACATTTTTTAAATAAAATTAGAACGACACTGATAAACCGGAATTTAAGTCGGCCATATTTGAGGCCCATCGCGGTGTACCTAAGGTTTTTGGTATGCTCCCTTCTTAGTCTTCTTATTCAAAGATTTATACGAACTTTTTTTTACTTATTTTTGTCTGCAGAATATGCTGCCGATCAAACCACCCTGTATATATTAAATATAATTCCATGACTAAGTGGGAAAAAGGGGTCCACTTGACGTGATCTTACTCAGTTTTAAATATGAAGAGAATGCCAAGGCCTTCAGGCTTATTTTTCTAATACCCTAAATTTAATGTTACTGGTTTTAAAACTTCAAAGTATTCAAAATAATGGCACTTATCAAAAAAAACTTATTGAAATATTGCTATTGGAACAAAAATATCCATTTTAGTCATTTTAATTGTTTATTGTTTCCAGAAATGCCGATTGTACATCTTCAACTGATGAAGAAGTGATATTAGATGCTTTAAAAATCGAAATTGATGATGTCGCTTCGCCTTTGGATGACTCTAAGTATGGGTTTTAAGTAAATTTTTACTAATTTAGTTATAATAATGTAACGGGTTAATTCCAGAAATTCTGAATGTTTAGCTGTGACTAATGAAATAAAATCAGAAGATTTTATAAAAACAGAACCCGAAGATGTCGCTCCGATTATGAAGACAGACGTGCACGACGACTTTAAGTATGTTTTTTACTCGTATTTTTATTAATGGATACGGCATTGTGTTTTAAATATTTTCTTATTGTTTCCAGAAGTAGCGAAAATGAATCTGCCACTCGAAATGTGAAGCAAGAAGATTTTATAAAAATGGAACCTGACGATGACGTCTGACGTTTGTGGATAAAGATACGCATTTTTCGACGAAGAAAATATTCGTAACACTAAACATTTTGAAAAGTTTAACTTTTGTTTTTTTTTCAACCTAACCTAACCTTTACATTTTTAAGCTGTATAAATACCATAGATAAATGCAACAAGTTTAGATTGGAAAGCCCGTAAAAATTTTGGGTCGCGAAATTATTTTGGGTCGCGACCGTTATACGCGATCTGGCGCTGCTATAGCGGTCGCTAAGAACAACGGCAAACAAAAACAGAAATAATTTTCTCTTGTCAAAGTCAGAATCTTCAAAAATCATAATAATCTTTCAA